TAGGGAATTAACTCAGTGTTCACCCATACGAGTCCAAATCATTTCACTCACGAGCATGATTTCCAGTTGCATCCATTTCCTTACAAAAGCTTTGAGATTATCCTATTTTATAGATGGGTAGCTTCCCATTGTATGAATATACTGTATATTTCTTATCCATTCTGCAGTTGATAGGCAAATTATCCTTGCCCTTTTCTGGTCTCCTGTCATGTGGAACAATTGTTTTCTCTTTGATTTTCAGTCTATGAATTTCCTTTTGAGTTAAATGTGTTCCTTGTATATAGTATATTGATGGATCTTCATAAACAGACTCTTCTATCATAGACAGAGCAAAAGTTGTCAAAAAGAGAGAAAATAATTTGCTCACCTAAGTAAATATTTACTGAGTTTCTCGTGTGATAGGCATTGTTTTAGGTACAAAAAAGAATGGGGGGAGGGGATTCTGCCTCCAAGGAACTAACAATCTAATGAAAGGGCATTAGTAGACAACAAAAATCTGTCTAGGATATACTAAATGTCAGAAAATGACAAGTTATGAGGGAATAGAGCAGAAAAAAAGAATCATGGGTCTCTCAGAAACTTTCCTATGTCCTATATCCTATGATCAGAGGGATTTTCAAGAAAATGTTAAAATGTTCATTTGTAGCATATGCAAAAAAAAGCACAGTAAATGTTCTTTGGGAAGGGTTGGCAGATTTAGCAAAGAAAAACACAGAATGTCCAGTTAAATTCAAAACTTAATAAACAACAAATACTTTTTGTAGTGTATTATGTTTCCAAAACTATTCGCAAATCTTGTGCTTTATCTAGCCACTCTATCATGAGGGTATTTCCAGCCTCACTTTAGTGACTAGGTTTTGATTCTCTCTTTTTGAGTTGCTCTGACATTAATTCTTTGTTATCAAAGCCCCCTGCACTGATTTGGGCTGCTCCTTCAACTCTACAAGAGATGTTGGTTTTGAGTACATTCAGAACTTCAGTACTTTCCTGTTGTGACATATTAAATTGTTCCAAAAAAAAAATCTAAGGACATATGTGTAGCAAATTCTTTCATTCATAATTAAATCAGTTGGCACAAGTGAACAGGGCAAATAGTACAAATTCTGTGAGGGAAGGCAACGGGAACAGATTTTAAATCTAGAAGACCACAAAAAACTACATTGAGGTGAGCGTGTAAGTCAGTGGTGCAGTGGCTGCCAACCATGCTCAGAGCTCTTTGTTTGATCCCATAAAATAACAACACAAAACCAAAAACTAAACGAACAAATAAAAATCACATCTATATTCAGAAGCAAGGACAAATGAGTGGAAGTTTTAATAGCAATAAAAGCATTCAGCCTAAATACAAAGGCACAGTACTGTGACCATGTGGGGTGGAGGAAGCCGAGACATGCCAAGTCTTTTTTACTCTTCCCACATACCAACTGCCTGCTCTACAGTTCACAGAAATATTCCATCGAAGACAAATATCCTCTTGGTCTGTAAAAAGTTTAGGACAGTATCTCCAAACCACTTCTTCTCCTACTGTTTTTATCACTAGACTGGGTTCAAAGAAGGCTCCAAAGAAGAAGATGGGAGATTTCAATTTGCCCTGTGGAATAGGTTTTTAATTCATTACTCCAAAAAAAAGAATTTCAGAAGGCATTAGTGTGAGGCATAGGTAAACATGTGAGGCACCGTTAGAAACAGAAAATAAAGATAGGACTTTACCTTCTTCAGATCAGACTGGCTCCTTCACAAGAAAACGAGGCCAGCCCTTGCGGATTAGCTGAGGTGGGCTAGAAACAGGTTGATCATCTCAATTCTGATTTTGCAAGATGGTGTCCTTATTGTTTCTGGGGGTAAATTCAGTCTCTCTGAAGTGACTGTCTCGCTTAAGGTAGTCTCAGTCTTGTAGGTGCTCTGCTGGAATCTAAGATGACCTCAGCTTTAGAGTAACTGAGTAGAGACTTCTTTCTGGGCACTCAGTGGTAGTTGAATGCCCCTGTAAATCTCTTATCTCAGTGTCCTCAGCCTTGAAGGGCCAGAAGATAGGTTATGTAAGTTCAAGGGCTAATCATCCTTGTTTTTTCAATGTTTAGACAGATACTCTCTGATTAACATGCCTCATGCAGAGCTGAGCAACAATGTGACCCCATTTTAAAGTAATCAAGGACACAGATACAAAATGAAGGTCAAGCTTTGTTCTGCTTTTAGTTACCTATTGGACATCTGTAAGCCCAAATGAAGAGTCATTATTTTTTGGCAAAAACTGCTTATGACTGCCTCAGAAGCAAACAAAACTCATACTTTTAATGTCTAACTGGCAAAGGGCCTTGGTGTTTTGTTTATTCTCAATCCTTATGGTGGCACTGGACTGTCATTTTCCCGTTTCTCCAGTTGCCCCCTTCCGCTCAGAATGAGTCATTCTTCCTTTGCACCTCCTTCGATGGGTGCTTGCACTTCCTCCTTACCACTATCCCTTGATGTGCGCCCTGTCACCTCTCTTGGCTGATGCGAGCAAATGAGTTCCTTATCTATTTTAGAAGTTACTCCCTTGTAAGTTATGCAAGTATCTTCTCCCAATTCCTAGACTGACTTCTGTTTTCTTTGCTGTACGGAAGCTGTTCAGTTTGATGTAGACCCATGTCTTTGCTTTTGCTAGCTGTGTTCTCAAGGTTATACCAATGAAATCATTCCAAGGGCCCGTGTCATGAAGCCTTTCCCTTCTTTTAGGAGTTTTATAGTCAGATCTTAATTTAACTCTTCAATCCAGTTATGTTCAAATTTTTGTTCATTTACATTTTTTGTATGGTATCAAAAGCAAGGTTCAATTTTGTTTTTCTGCCTGTGAAGTTACTGCAGAATAAAATTCAGCATCTTTCATATAAGACTCTTTTATAGTCAAATATTATTTGTAGAGGTGGGAAAGGAGTACAATAACCCTGTTAGATACTTTAGTCTTGAAAGGTCTTGCCTCTGGTCAGGCATCCAGTGAAGCAATGCTACGAGTGAGACACAGACGATTCCTGGAACCTGCCATGGTTCAGTCACCAGTACCAGGGGTGGAGGGGTGAAGAGAAAATCTGGACTTTCTGCTTACATCCCATTCTGATGTTTCCAGCTCAGAGCACCACCCAAGTCTATGTTCTCCTCACTATAAACTGAAATTGTTTCTTACCTGTTAGCCTTTCTAATCCATCATACCTGTTCAATCTAAGTTGTATTTGGTCATGAGCATACATTCTGCACCTAACATGGTACCCCTACATAGGTTTTTCTTTTTTTCCCTTTGGTACCAGGGATTGAACTCACAACTTCGTGCTTACCAGGCAAGCACTTGAACTGCTGAGCTAAATCCCCAGCCACATAGGTTTTTCTTAAGCTTATATTTGCTGTTCTTTTCGCCTTTTTTTTTTTTTTTTTAAACGGTACTGGGGATTGAACTCATGACCACACGCTTGCAAGGCAGGTGTTTATGCCACTAAGCTAAATCCCCAGGCCCTGTTCTTTTTTGCTTTTATGATACAACCAAATGAACCAATGATAGAAATTAGCATAAGTTCACTATGTTTACTGGCTACAGTTGTCAAATTCCTTGCAAAGATATTAAGAAACTGAAATCTCTGAATATATTTGAGGTGATAGTGAGAAACGTCCCTTCCCTCAGTGCTAGTTATCAAACCCAAGGATTCTCACATGCCAGGCAAATGCTCTACCACTGAGTTACATCTTTAACCCAAAGAAATATATTTTTAGTAACTGTCATTTCTTTGGTCTTATAAGGAGAATACATAATAAGACATCAACAATGCATTGGTTTTGTTTGAGTCAATATAGAAGCTTTTCAGTGGGAGGTCTTCGAGCTTCACAGTGGGCATTCTAAGTATTACTTGATAGTCACTAACACTGGCTCTTTTCTGCTACTTTCCAAGGAAGGGATCAAACTGCTTCCTACCTTGACTATTTCCAGATCCTACTGGACTGGTTATGACTTACCTTCTTTCCACTAATATCCATCCGTGTATGGATATTAGTGTGTATGTACTCCACACTGTTCTTATAAATGGATTAGTCTCACATCTTCCTCAGTACAAACTTTCCATTGCTTTCCTCTGCTTACCAAATAAAACCTCATTCTTAGTTCTCATCATTTCCATCCAGATTCAACTTATAATTTTTTTCTATCCCAGCCAACCCCAAACCACAATAAGCAAAAGTACCAATAGATTCCATATAAATCTCATATATTTCCTGACTGTGCCTCTTTGTTTTTTGAAACTGAATTTCTTAGTTCTTTTTAACTATTATACATTTTCATGAAAGCTTAATTTGAGTTCCCAATTTGTCTATGAACCTCTTCTGACCTCATCACTTCTGCTGCCCTGTCAATCTTAAACTGCTGTCTCTTTCCCATGCACTGTAACTGCCTTAGTTCCTCTATTAAAGGCAGACAGAATCCTATTTTAAACTTTGTAGTACACTGCAGTTACACTCTGTTCCTTGCAGTGTTCAACACAGTTCTGTCCCCAGAATATGCATTTAAAGACAGTTGTGTTTTCTTTCTTTCTTTTTTGATAACTACAGATATTTTCTCTTTTTCCCTCCCTGCCTTTCTCTGTCTCCTTGAAATGCCAGGGACTGAACCCAAGGAGCAATGAAATACACTCCCAGATCTTTTTAAGACAGGTTTCTACCTTAGCCTCCCAAGTAGCTGGGATTACAGGCATGTACAACTGTGTCTAATAGAACACTGTATTTTCTATAAAGTCTTATAAAGTCTTTGCCTTTGAATATTACTTTAAATCTACTTTCATATACCATAAGCAATGCATAGCTTGCAAAACTATTAATAAGTTAAGCACATTTTTTAAAAAGGACAAAAACTGACTTAGGACAGATTTTTAATTGTTACTCCAAAATACAGCTAAATGTTTAAACAAATATAGTAAAAACCTTAAAAACAATTGTAAAGGCTTAAAGAGATAAAAGCTAACTTTAATAGACGTGGAGATAACACAGAAAGTAGCAGACTTTGTTTATTAATGTAGTGATCAAAAATATTTAAAAGAGAAGCAACTCCAAAAAACGGAAACAAACTTAGAAAATATACTTAGTATACACGTAATTCTCAAGAAAGATTACAGAAACCTTGGTTACCATTCCTAGACCACAGGCTTCTCAGAAAGAAAAAGCAACATCAAATATTCTGATTTCCAAATAATCTCAGCCCTTGATGTCTGATTAGTACAGAAGCAGAGACATACCCGTAAATTTCCCCAAATACTCATTTCATCATGATTTACATCCAGAGGTGTGCCTTCCAGAGATACTGACACCATGCACAGTCATCATGAGACAGGAGGGCATTCTCTTTCCCCTCGCCTTTGCTCTAGAACCAGGGAAAGTCTCCATGGAAGTACCCAGGTCCCTTGAGGAATCCAGTGAACCAACAAAATGCAGACAAGGCAATGAAGGTCCAAGACAAGACTTTGGCTCTGAATAGTCACTGGCTACTTTTCCAGCATTAGGCAAATAAGGTGATAGGTCTTCTTGTGACATTTCTAATCAGGGCACCTCTTCTAGTTCTACTGAGAACTCTGCGTCAATGTGAGAACCAAATACTGCCACTAACACAGTGCAGCTCTGCTGTCTCCCTTGGAAGAGCTCAGCTCTTCAATCCACTCCATGATTCAACTGAAACCCAAGAGTCCACATATCAAGCATGGTGCTACTCCTGAAGCAGGCTTCGAGAGATCAGCACCTTCATCACCTCATTGCTACCTGCAAAAAAGTGAAAGTAGGAAGGTTCAATAGCAGCAAAATAGCAGTAGACTGCACTAGAATTGATGCTCTTACTCCTGGGAGGAATGGGACTATTGCAAACTCCTCTCTAAAATACAGAAAAATGACAATGAAAAATATTACAAAACACGTCTCCTGATAAAAATGCTTGTATTTTAAACAGGCAGACTAAAAGTAGTATAACATTAACCTAAAAAACTATAGATTTACAATACCAGAAAAAGGAACAAAAGAAGTATAGTGCTGGGGGTGTAGTTCAGTGATATAGCACTTGCTTGGCACGGAGGTACAAGGCCCTAGGTTCAATTTTTAGCCCATGAATTTAAAAAAGCAAGAACATATACCAATGTAATAGTAATCAAAATGGTAATTCTGGATATAGAAACATGAGTGATCTTTTTTCTCCACATATTTTTAAGTTTCTTTGGTAATCAGAAAACTCAACTTTAAAATAAAATACTTTCACTGAAAGGAAAGGATCAAGGGCTGAACTGTTTGCTTTACTTTTAGCAGTGGCCTCTAGTACAAAAAAAATTACAAATTTAACCAACAGTCCATGATGAAACAAAGCAACAGAGAGGCTACTGCCCAATTGTACTAGCACAGAGAGCATAACCCAAGACAAATATATTTGGTTTCTCATTTAATATAGCCTAATTAAAAGAGTGTTATAATGAAGATAGTTTCCATCGCCACAATATTCTGGCGAAGTTAATCTGAATGATACGGATTAAGCTCAATAAATATATATTAGAGATAAGGTGGACTACAAGGCAGCGGGACTAAGCCTTAGAATGCTGTGATTTAGACGTAACACCAAAAGAGTGGTGTTCAGAATGTGGTTACCCCAAGCAAGCAGCAGCAGTCTACTTAAAAACTTGTTAGAAATGCAAATTTCAGTTCCAAGCTATGCGCACTGGAATAAAATCTCTCAGGATGGGGCCCAGTAATCTTAATGAGTCTGCTAGGGGCTTCTGCTGTGTGCAGCAGTTTAAAAAGAATGCACTGAAAGAGGCAGGAAAGTCAGTACTTAAAGGCTTCTCCTATGTCCCCATTAAAGTAGTTCCACACTGCTTCATTGAAGTCACTTAAAGAAGCCTCTGTCCTATCTGCTTTTCCTAAAGTGTTAACAGCCTCACCTACCAACACCAGCTACCAATAAGACTCCTGTCACTTCCACACTGGCTGAAGAGTACAGGAGACCACATTGAGCCTGTCTCCAATGGCTTATGCATTTTACAAGGAAATACTTGTATACTGACATTTTATTTTACTGGAAAATCTCTTAGCAATACTGACACAGAAATCATTTAGATCATGGGGCTTATAATCAATCAATAGAGCTGCTGGTGCTCATGCTAGCTTGTGTTTGTCTTGGAAGTTATTACCGAACTGCAGAGCTCCCTGAGGACCAGGCCCCTGATAACAGTGAGGAACAGGTGCTGTCATACTTTTCAATAGGAGTTCCCATTTGCTCTCTCAGATTGTACTCTCAGGTCCATAAAGAAAAAGAGTGAAAGTGGAGTAATAGGATGCCTTCCTCATGGAATCTGGGTGCTCCCCAGCTAGGGTTCTTTCTAATGCTGCAACAGGCCACTTCCAGAGAGGGGTAAGGAAGGAGGGAGCCAAAAGACAGACAGGGCCTGATGGGACCCAGAGGACTAGCCAGCAGAGGGACAAGACAGGTGAGAAAAGCAATGATCTTTGCACTTTCCCAACAGGAAGAGAATAACCTCTGGCAAATTTTACCTTCTAGAATTTGGTGGACCCTGGAGTCCCGCATGTACTGCTGAACAGCGTACTCTTTCAGATAGCCATAGCCTCCGTGCATTTGTACTGCCTGGTTGCAGATCTTCAGGGAGAAAAGAATCTCTTCGATTGTGGGAAGACTGTGGAGTAAGTGGATTTTCTCCCTAACTTTGCCCTATCTGACATCCTGCTATAAATTAACAGGAAGAAGAACAACCCACAGATTAACCACCTAACTCCAAAGCAAGGCCCCATATTCTCTATGGTCAGAGACAATAAGGAAATTTCACCTACTGAATTTACCAGTTTCTACTGGAGAGAAAATTCAGACCTTTGTCTTTCTTCTTTATCACCCCTTGGTAAGAACTTGCCACAGCCACCTTGGGTGAACTATATGATGCTCAGATGCCACCCAGTTCTAATTTACCTCCATGTGGAAATGGTTTTGCCCCTGACTCTGTAAACACAACAGTGTTAAACTTAGGCTAGAGGCACTGTTTGCTCTGTAACTCCCAAAGGTAGTGTTTCATTAGAACACAACCAGATATCAGTGCCATAACAAAGTGGGCTAAAAATCCAGCTATGAGAGATCCCAGACAGGCCCCTCACAAGATAGTTAAATGATATTTTTCCCCAAGCTATTTATTTATTTATTTTTGGTGCTAGAAGCTAAAACTCGGGGCCGAACCACACCCTTAGCCCTTCTGAATGTACTCATATCCACAAACTCCTTGGTAACTCCTGCAGCAACCTGAGGGCTGAGTTCCATACTCCACAGCTGACCTGCCTCTCCAGATTCCTGGGGCCAGGGGATGCTCCTTGCTTATCCCAGGTAGGCCTAAGGGTTTATCACTTACAGCAAAGCACTCCTCTGTAGCAAAGAGCTTAGCCATGGAGCACAGTACCACCGCATCTTTCCTCTCCTCCTGCAGAGCCACGGCTGCAGTGCGGACCATCAGGCGGGAAGCCACCAGCCTTGCTGCCATATCTGCCAACTGGAACTGCAGGTACTGCAGCAACAGGGCAAAAAGAACCAGACAAGCCAGAGGAGCTTAGACAGGCACCTGATCTGGGACCAAGTGATCCCACGATTCAAAAACTCCTGCTTCTTCTACAGAGAAAACTCACTGCTTTCTGCGTCCATTTTGCTTGCCTTGCACTTTGACAACATTGCCTCCAAAAAGATCAGTGGACACAAAGCAGAAGCCCCAGTTAAGATAGTGGCAGACCGACAAGGGACATTGTGGCCTCTCTCTCCTGGACAGTGTGGGTCCTCTGGCTCGTCTAAAGAGTGGAGAACAAATGCAGAGACGCCTGGGACCTTACCTGGTTACTGGCCAAAGGTGCTCCAAACTGCTTGCGGACAGTGAGATGATCTCGCGTGAGGATGATGGAAGCATGAGCAGCCCCCAGGGAACAGGAAGCTAAAGGGGAAGAATGCTAACATTTCAACTGAGCCTCAAGAGACGCTGCTGGCTCCAGCCCACTCCCTTCGGTCCTGTCCTCACCAACATTGATCCGCCCTCCGTTCAGTCCTTTCATAGCAATGAGGAAGCCCTGTCCTTCATTTCCAATTCTGTTGGCCACAGGGACAGCACAGTCTTCAAAGATTACAGCTCGGGTTGGCTGGGAGTTCCACCCCACCTGGCAAAAATCAAGGACTGAGTGGCTGCCTAACAGTCCATCTTGCAGAGCAGCATTCCCTGTAGAGGGAAGCCTGTGAAATATGGGGTCCAGCACCCCGGGACTTAGACCCGTGAGAATATAAAATGAAGAAAAAGAAAATGTTCAGATTTAAAGGGCTGTCAACATGCAAACACACTCATTTCAACTATGCATCTTAAAACACATTGAAAGAATCTACTTGCTAATGTCTACCTTACTAGATAGTCTACAAACATTTCTCACAACTTCTTCTTGTAGGACTGGGACAGGGTCCATCCTCACTGTGGGTGCTTCTCTAAAACTGCTCTTTGATACCACTGTTTTTACATCAAGTTTTTTTTTCACACAAAGTATTCAACACATTTCCTTACTTGACAAAAGAGCCCTTTTACATAAGGCTTTTATCATTTCCTTAAACCTCCTAACACCTGGCCCAATCTTCTCCTCCTATCTCCACTTTGATAAGCTGGCCTGAGCTCCTTATCTTTGGGTTTTCAAGCGCACTCTTGCTCTGTGCATCCCAATGGAACTTCCCCATTCTCACCACCACCCAGCTTGGATGAGGCCTCCTCACCTAACAACCAGATTTGCCCCTGAATTTGTCCATTTTAATTTCCAGTCTTCACCACTATTTAAAATCTTCTAACACTGACCAGTGTAGCAGTTACCTGTGTATTTATTGTGCCTCAGAGAATATAAACACCTAAAAGGTAAGAATCAATCATTAAGGAATAAATAGCTGCTACCTCCTAACTTCTGCTCTATAATTCTGCTTTGTGCAAAGATCCACCTTATTCCCTTCTCAGAGAAAATTCCGCTCCTAAACCTGTCAGAAGCTCTGGAAAGCTGTGGCCAGAAAGGGTGGCGATCCCTCTCTTTTGAGAGACCTTGCATACCTGGACCACTACTACTATAGCCCAATCCTGTTGTCACTCTTGTCTCTTCTTTACCTTATGATCTTGATACCCTCTGATAATTCTTTACTTCCACCACTCTAATAAAACTCATTCTTCTAATTAAACCTTTAGCAATTAAACATGAAACAGAACAAGTCTTCATTATTCTTCCATAGTCAGTGCAAAACTAGAGGTTTATAATCCTCAGCAGCATCGTGTTCAATATGCCAAATGAAAGGGTTCCACCGTAGGAAAGATTAACAAATAGAGAAGGAGAAAGGCCTGCTGCTCTGAACACCTCTCCAACTGCATCCATCATCCCTTTCTTGTTTACCACACTCTAGCAATACCTCCCTTTCTTTCTGTTTTTTCTCAGCTCTTCAAATAGGCTAATCTTATTCTCACCTCAGGCACTCTGAATCTGCTTTTATTGCTGCCCAGAATTCTGAAACAGTGTCTGCCAATACTCCAGATCTCACCTCAAATGCCATGGCCTTGAGAGTCCTTTCCTGAGTAAAGAAACTTCTCTTCAATCAGAATCATGTCACTCTGTTTAATTTCCTTCCTGACAGCACTAATAGAAGGGAACTCATTTGTGAGATGGCTGCCTACTAAAATGTGAGTTCCACAAGGTGAACTTCTGTGTATCTTCTTCACTGCTGGACAGTAACTTAAAAGAGTGCCTGGCGTACAGTTGGTATTTGCTAGCTGTCTAGTGAATGAAGAGATATTCTTCCAAAGTTCTCTTACATTTAAAAATATATGAAACAAAACTAATAAAAACAAAAGAAAGAAAATATATATACACTTAAAGGTGAGAGATAGTAAACAAGGAGGCCTAAATGCACTTGTACTTACTTAAAATATTTGTAATTTTTTGTAAACTGTCAACTTGTTCTATCAACAATACTTCTGTTTCGACAACAAGTATTGAGTGGATACTACCTACATGAGTTAAAACAGACATCACTCTTTATAAAAACAAATATCTGCACAGTATAACTTGATTCTGTAAAACTGGGCTGAGCTACAAAAGTCAGTTTTGTGTGTCTTTTCTCGTTACTCAAGACAAATATTTCTAGGATTAAAAAATCCAATAGTTATATACCACATATGAGCTTTCCCTATATCATTGAGTTTATATAAATAAAACAGCATGTTTTGGATAATCCAAAACTCTCAAGTTTCTAATAGTTTTGCATCCCCAAGGGTTGGGGGTATAGTGCAATGGTAGAACACTTGCCTAGGATGCATAAGGCCCTGAGTTTGATCCTCAACATCATAAAAAAATAGTATTTTTATTCACTGAAACTACCAAAAGGCTGCATATAGTAGATACCTAGCAAATAACTTAGTACCTTATAAATGCCTGTTATATTACAACAGTGGAGCTACAATTCAGGACTCCTTGGAAATTACAGAAGGGCATGAAAGATCATGAAAGAAAATACAGAAACACTAAGAGATACAAGAGAGTTATATTTGAGGGTCATTTCATTACCTGACTTTCCCCCAAAGTCCTAACAACAATTGGAGGTAGACTCTTTTGATTACCTGATCCAAAAAATCTGAGTAAGTTTCAGCCTTAATTAGTTAATTACCACTAATCTAGGAATCATAATAATTGAAATGCCTTATTTTTCAGAGCACCTATGGAAACACTGTCCTTAAGATTACTAAAATAACCACAATCCACTCAATGAGTTTTACTTTATTTTTAAAGAAAAGTGGCCCCTATGCTTTTCATTCCTAAGTCCTCTGGTTAATATCAAACTTCCTATAGTAAACCCTGCTTGAGATAAAGTTCAACACAACAGCACCTAGGTACGAAATACAGATCAACAGTAGATGTAAAAGAGATAACAAAAGTTAAATAGGCAGCTTACAAAGCTTAATGGCAAACTTTGTCCCTCTCTTCAGAAGCTTGGTGCTTTTTTTTTTAAACAATATCCTATTCTATTTTATATGCTCCTGTTGAAAACCATAATAGAAGCCCCTGTTCTAAAGGCAGATTCCGAAGTATGTGAAGCCTATTTAATGAAACATTGTAGGTGCTCAGAGGCCAGTGGCAGAGCCACATAGCTTGAACGGTTTCTTATCCCACAGCCACTCACCTTTTTCTCCTTCTTGCCAAAGCTAAGGCCAGGAGACCCCTTCTCAACAACTATGCATGAGATGCCTTTGGGGCCTGGTCCTCCAGTTCGGCACATGACCACATAGATGTCTGCTTCACCGCCTCCACTGATGAAGGCCTGTGTTAGAGACCAGGGTGGGGTACATGGGTGTCAAGGACCATGTGAGTTCTGACCATAACTTCTGAAAAAACATTTGAGTCCCTGGTTGCAACACAGAAACTGAGCTGAGATACCAGGTCACGGCAGTGAACAAAGAACAAGAATTTAGTTGTTAAGAATATAGAAAAGAGAATGAAATGAATGAAATTATCTGGAATCCATCAGCAGAGATAAATAGTGAGGTGATACAGGGAAATAGGTCAAGAGGCTCTCTTCCTGACACACAAAACCATACCGGAATATTAACTCACAGACTCAAGGGAGCAGGAATGTAGAAGCTCTGGGAAGACAGTCTGTAGGTACCTTAGAGCCATTGAGGATGTAATGATCTCCTTGGCGTTTAGCAGAGGTCAAAAGAGATGCAGCATCACTCCCACTACCTGAGGCACGAATCAAAAGGGAGTGAAGAAGTGAAATTAAACAAACCAACATGGTGCCACCCCCTAGAAAATTTTCCTGACAGAAAAAAAGCATGCACTACTTTATCTTTACTATTTTTTTTATTTAAGAGAAAAAAAGACACAGAAAAGAAAAACAAAAAGCAAAAGAGACAAACAACAAACCCAATACAATAACAGTATAGGTTTATAAAACAAGATGAGAGGAATTTGACAATGATTGTAATAATGCACATTATTACCTTCAAAAGAGTTGCTTAGATTAACAGATATAAACCTGAAAAACTGATCTAATCATGTAACTGTTTTCTCTAATAACTAATACAATTAGTAGCATAGTCATTTTAGCTATCTTATGTGTGTGTATATACATATAAAAGGAAAAAGAAATATATATAAATACATGTATTTATATATATTTATATATATTTACAGCTGAGTAGTACTCTATTGTATAAAAATACGACAACTTTTTTTATTCATTCTTTGATTGATGGGCACTTGGGTTGTTTCCAAGATTTGGCTATTGCAAATTGTGTTGCTATAAACATGGGTGAATATGTATCACTGTGGAATGACGTTTTCAATTCTGGGAATATGCCCAAAAGCAAGATAGCTGGGTCAAATGGAACCTCTAATCCTAGCTCTTTGAGGAACCTCCACAATGATTTCCACAGTGGTTGCATCAGCCTTTACTCCCATAAACAGTGGAGAAGGGTTCCTTTTTCCCTACAGCCCCTCCAGCATTAGTTATTGGTTGATTTCTTGATCCTGGTCATGCTTTCTGGGGTGAGATGGAATCTCCCTGTTGTTTTAATTTGCATTTCCTGAATGACCACTGATGTTTGACATTTTTTCCTATATTTATTTGCCATTTGTATTTCTTCATATGAGGAATGTGTATTCATCTCAGATGCCCATTTTAGGATGAGGTCCTTGAATTTTGGGGGCCTGATTTTATTTTAATTCTTTATATGTTCTAGATAAAACTCCTTTGTCTGAGGGACAGTTGGCTAAGATATTTTCCCAATTCATGAGTTTTCTTTTCACTCTGTTGGAGATTTCTTTTGACATGCAAAAACTTTTTAATAAAACAGGTTCCCAGTTGTTCATTGTGGGAAGTATTTCCTGTGCAGTTTGATTTTTGTTCATGAATTCTCTGCCAACTCCTATGTCATCAAGATTTCTATCCACCTGGTAATGTTTTTGTTTTAATATTCAGATTTTTGAACCACTTTGACTTTAGTTTAGTGAGCACGCACTACTTTAAAATCTAGATGGCTAAAGGAATTCTCTGTACTTTGTGAAAACTGCTTTCACCAAGCAAACCACTCTCTCTTTCCCAACACACCAACTTGCAGTGAGTTGCTTGTGAGGAGGTCTGGTCTGCAGCAGTCAGAGACTCTGATCTAAAGGCTTCTGGGTCCTGTGACATCAGGTCATGAGACTGTCATTACTCAGTGACCAAACCACTTGCTACAGTGTCTCTGTGTGCTTATCAGCAGAAGGGAGAGCTCAGTGGCTACACCAGAGTTATATCACTCTTCTTATTAGGTCTCATCTGCAGGATGACAAACCCACCTGGTTCAGTGAGGCAGTAAGAGGCGAACTTCTCCATGGTACAAAGTGGTGGACAAAATTTGTGCCTCTGTTCCTCAGTTCCAAAGCGATCAATCATCCAGGTACACATGCTGATTGGGTCACCAAGAAGGAAAAGACATTGACACAGATAAAGAAAAAAAGGAAATGGGGAGTAGTAGGGAAAGAGAACAAAGGACAGCAAAATAGAGTAAAACAGAGACAGAATGAGAACAGGAAAGGCACAAATGAGAAGATACAACTTAAAGGAAAGGATTGGATTAAAACATACTGCTGGAATATGTAATACCCAGAGATAACCAGGACCAAAGAATTTTCACCTGGATTCTATACTATTTGTAATGATATTAAATGAATATCTAAAATTCAATTATATGTGTTTTCTCAAATTACTAGAGGCTTTATCTATGGATGGAGGGCAGGGGCAACAGGACTGACTACTCTACTACAGAAGTCTGACAAACTTGATTCTCTGAGCAATGTAAAGACAGCAAAATCAAGTCCAAGTACTATTAATAGTTTAGGTCCTCAAGGAACTAGGGCAGCCCACCTGACATGATCAGTCTTTTCCTTGTGAATCTGAAATGTCCTATTCAACCCAAGTGAACACGACCTTGCGCTGTCCCAGCTTGGACACTCACTTGTGGATGCTTATGTAGGCTGTGGTGCTGGTACAGCCTGTAGCCAAGGCTTCAAAGATGACAGAAGTATCCAGTCGTGACAGTCCAGACCCACCAACATCCGTTCGAACGTAGACTCCCCCAAAGCCTAGCCGGGCTGCCTTTCGCATCACTTCAACAGGGAATAGTTCCTATATGCAAAAAGAAAAGCAGAGCCATCACTATTTTAGAGGCATATTCTCTTTTAGAAAATAAATAAGGGGGCCAGGGAATTTGCATTTGAAAGAGCAGAGAGATTCTCTTAAAGTTTCTGTCATTTCCTTTTTCCCTTTTTAATTATCCACAGAATTATACTGGTTTTAAGTATGTCCAAATCTTTGTTCAAGTAAAACAAAAAGGTATCTTATAAGATGACTGAGATGCCTTCTATGAACCGATTTACCCATTACCAGTCTCCTTACAAGTGCTGGGAAGAGGAGAATAGATACCAAGTAATTAGAATTATACAGAGATGACATAAGGGCCACCTTTGTTGGGACATCTAGCTGAAAGGAAAACTCTTACCTTTTGGTCCCACTCTGCCATGTTTGGCGCCATCTCCCGGGCAGCAAAGTCAAAAGCCACTTTTTGAAATTCTTTCTGTTCTTCATTGAGTCCTATGGAAGCTGTGGGCAGGATTGTACATGCTCAAATTTACAACAGGTGCTAGAAACACAGTACCACCAACAAGAAGCACCAAGCAGCTGACACAGGACCAACTGTAGCACTTTCCACACAGAGCAAGGCCTTAGCTGCCAGAGTATGACATCATCCACTGCTAAGTAGTTTCTCAGGTGGAGGGAGGAGGGACAATACATAGTGACTTCTGAAGGGCTCTTCACTTAGCAAAACGCAGTTGTAGTGCTAAACAGGCAGGGGCCATAGTGAAAAAATGAGAGAAATAGGATCAGAGTGGGAAGAGCAAGATGGACAATCACACCAGTGCTATAAACACAGAATTTAGTTTTCACAGTTTTCTCAAAGACTGCACAGAGTAAAATAGAATTGAACTAGAAGGCAGAGCTGCCAAATAGTTAAGGCCTAAAATATTTTTCACATTTTGCAAGATAATGCAAATTCCCAGATACATACAGAAGGTAAAAATAAGGATTATACTGACAAGATTTCTCTGCTGAGATAATCTTTTAGAAACTTTTAGAAAAGAGAGGATTGTAAAGCCTGGGAACCAACACAAGTCAATAGGAGCAGAAATTTGCAACGGGAAAATGAGATCTACTTTATTAGCAATTATTTTTGTTGTTGTTGTTGTGAAAGAATCACCTATTTCAGATATGCCTAGAAAAACTAAAAGGAGAGCATGGCTATTCCTGAAGACACAATGAATCCATGTCATACATTGGTGGCTGGGAAAATGAAAGGGGCAAAAGGGCATATAGGGCTTGGCATCATTTTTTTGGAAGTGCAACCATCATGTTTCAAGATATATAAATACTGTGAAATGATTACTAAAATCAAGTTGGTAACACAACAATTACCTCATATATGTCTCAGCAATTCTTAATTTCCTCTATGTAGAAATAGTTTATAATAGAACAAGTCAAAAAATACTTGTTAAAAAATGTGCTTAGCATCTCATTCCCAGAGAAAGAATAAAACACATAAATTAACACTATTCCAGATGCTTACTTGATTATTTCTACATATCGATGTCTTTTTAAAATAAAAAAGTGGCAATAACATACATATTGTTTCAAACTCGCGAGTTTCACAATTCAATAAATCCACACCAACATCATAGTTTCTTTTACTTCCTTTTCACATCATCCTCTCCTATTCCCTTCTTCTTTTGTAATGGGAGTCTCTTTTCTCCTTTCATGTCATCTTTTTTTAGACCCTACATATTTGGGAAAACGTGATACTTATTTGAGTGTAGCTTACCTGATGCCTCTAGTTTCACCTTTGTATTACTTACTACAGTATCATCTTTCAATGCTGAAATATTGGTCATTATTACTGACCAAACAAGACTAAAGACGACTATGGAGCTATGCTAGACAACAATCTACTTAAGCATCTGCCAGTGATGCAGAGTCCTAACAGAACACAAGTACAGGTGTCATGGTCGGCTTCTGCAGAGCAAACCCACGTCCCACTCATTCAAAAGAGAAACTCAGAAGTGAAGAGCTGTGAGGACACAAGATTAGGGCTCCTAAAGATGCCCAGGGCTGAAATCTATTGTACCAATATGGGTAGGGCAAAACAATTCATGATTCTCTCACTAGGGGGTACAGATCATTTTTTAAAATTAATGAATGTTTGCAGTACAGAATGATTACATTTTTCATTTTCATTTTCATGCACTTACAATACTGCTATGGATTATAGTTCAAAGATCACCCCAAAAAACATTTATTGGACTGGGGATGCAGCACAGCGGTACAGTACTTGCCTCACATGCATGATGCCCTGGGTTCAATGCTTAACAATATCAATAAATACTAAACAAATAAATAAATGTGTAATAAACTTATTGTTTTTTTAAAAAAGAATATTTATTGAGCATCTACCATGTAGCAATGCTGGGGTTCCAAAGATGAATGGTTCATTCACAAAAAGGATCACATAATTGTTAATACAAACATCTTATATGAAATGAAATCCTACACAATTTTAACCCCAGCAAGTGCTCAATAAATATTAAGAAATTTTCATCTTTCTCTTATTTGGTGGTGTAAACCACTACTTCCTAAGTAGTTCAAACAACCAAAGTGTGGGGACCAACATACTTAAACTGACAGAAAATATGCATCATCAACTTGTCCAGAGTCAATGGTACAATGCAAGGCGGCAGCACACGCACACACTAACAAGGCAAAGCTACACAGGGAAACGAACCAAGGGAGACAATTAAAGACATTAAAGGGACTGAAGGGTAAACACAAAACAAAATCCCACAAACCTCTGGGTAATATAAGCATTTTTAAATGCACCAAAGAAAGAAAATTAATTAGAGAACTGAGTTCTAACTGAGAATCCTGGTGTTCAAAAGAATGATTCCCAGTTGCAGAAAGCTGTAGTGCATGAGGACTGGACAAGGAATCAGGCTTTTCAACTCTAATTCTGAAAAGATTAATTGTACACTTCAAGTGTCAGGAAGGGGAATCTTAAAACCTCGGGCCACTGCAAAATCCATCATGCTAGATTGTGAGCAAATTTCCTAAGAGACACACAAACAACAAATATACATGGCATAGAAGAAAAAGAAATCTTCATTAAAAATCATTTAACATTAAAATAGGCAATGAAATAAAGAGATGTTAAACAACAATTACATGTATGCGTTAACCATTATTTAGCTTCATTTCTTACAGTACTGGGGACTGAACCCCTGGCCTCGAGTAAAAACACAAATGTTCTATGCTGAGCGGTATCTTCAGCTCCCAACTACTCTGATCCAAAAATACACAACTAAACAACTGCCTTAGAATTTGCCTTTAACAGTAATGAAAACTCACTTCTTTATTAAGCTAATTTCACTGGATATGAGCGGCTTCGAATAGCTGCTGCTGCCCTGCCCCTCCTGCCTGAGGGCATTTTGTGTGTCAGCCTACATTTCCCATGATCCTCATGTCCGCCTACATTACCCATAATCCTCTCCTGCTTACGTCATATATCCGGATGTGATGATGACCTATCAGATAACACTCTGTGCCCTCTTCCTGCCCTTGGCCCGCCCCCTCACCCTTTATAAGTTGTAGCCATTTTAAAAATAAATGAAACTCGATTGGAATTGCATCCTGTCTCCATCTCTCTTTTCTCTTGCCCTGCCCCCATCCCCGATCCCCTCTCCAGGTGAGACCCACAAACTGGTCCTCGGGCCGGATCAAGTGGCGCCCAACGTGGGGCAGATCAAGTGATGACCATGAAGGGACCCCACCTGGCACAAGGGATAACGACGCGGAACCGTTCACAGGAGTAAAGCACTGGCCAGCGTGACTGATTCAAGGACATCGTTCCTGTGATCCATGCAGACGGCCACCTTACGTCTCGCCTGAATTACAGTAGGTGAACGGCATTAGCATGGGACAAGCACTCAGTGAGCACAAATTGTTCGTGACTGGCCTCAGGGAGGCACTCAAGACTAGAGAGATTAAGGTTATGAGACAAAGATTTGATAAAGTAGTTTCAGTTTATACATTTAGTGTGTCCATGGTTCCCCCTAGAGGGTACCATTAATTTAAACAGGTGGAATAGAGTAGGAGATGCTCTTAAAGAATATTATGAAGTTTTTGGTCCAAAAAAAGTTCCTGTAACTGCTTTTTATATTGGATTTTAATCTCTAAGCTGCTGATACAACCTCACGCAGATCCCAGGTTGCAGAGAGGCTCGCCCAGGGTGAGGCTGCATTATCTGCCTTCTGCAATTGTACTCCACCCAGCTTATCTAAGGCACCCAGCCCTCCCGGCTCTGTGGTCCTTGATATCCTGGAGCCTTTTCAAGATGGCGACATGCCACCACTGCCTTTGTCTGGAGGCCACCACGTGCACCGCTCCAGTATTCAAAATGGCACCGCCTCCATACTGACTCTGGTGGTTAAAAAAACAAAACAAAACAAAACAAAACAAAGGTGCTGGAGATTTAGCTCAGTGGCACAAGTGCTTGCCTGACAAGCACAAGGTTGTGAGTTTGATTCCCCGGTATAATAAAAGTAAAATACAAAGCCCGGTACTGTTAAAAAAATAAATAAAAAAAAAAATAGTGCCTGGAGATTTAGCTCAGTGGCATAAGTGCCTGCCTTGCAAGCAGGCAGTCATGAGTTCGATCCCTCGTGCCAATAAAAAACAAACAAACAAACAAACAAAAAAACGGCGATTAGATGATGCAGAAGAAATTCATTCTAAAACCAAGTCAAGAAAACAACTGGGTAGGATCATGCTGAAAGGAGATAATATTACTCTGCTGCAAAGTGTCTCCAACTAGAAATGATCAATGAATTAAGACAGCAGTGAGAAGCAATGGCAGGCAATTAAGATAAATGTCAATTATAGTGTGTACCCATATAAAAAAGGCAGCTGATTAAGTGGTTTACCTTGGGAGTATTCGTAAAATGTTTGTTCATATTGTTTTGTCTACCCTTACGTTTTTACTGGGAGCAATAAATGTAGGGTTGTTTTTATTTAAAAAGACAAAAAAAAAAAAAAAATGGCGCTGCCATGCTCCCTTCTCTGTACCGCCCTATCTACCCTGGAAATGGGAGCTTATCCATTCTTACAAGTCGAGGTTTAAAAAAAAAAAAAAAAAAGAAATGGGAGCTTAGTCACTGGAAAGACCAAGCGGTGGTTTGGACTTGGATAGGATCAGGAAGTCCATGGTTTGCGCCCACACCCTATTGGTTCTTTCCAGGGCTCCGATGTCCCAAACAAAGTCATTTTTACCTTTGTCCCGCAGCAACCGGGGGCAGATCATATTGTAATTCCCCGGGAGAATGTTTTTGTGCTTATTGGGGCTGTGAAACAGCTGCAACAGGGTGGCAACCTGCCTTCCCCAATAAACACCTTAAACTGACATGGGGGCCGCCGGGGTGCAGCCTAGGTGACTACCCACTGGCCAATCAAAGATCCTGTCAGGTTCTAAACGTCACTGTCAGCACTCTTGAGGACCCAGGTTGGCTGACAGGACGCACCTGGGGACTGCGAGTTTATGAGTCAGGTAAAGACAGGGGAAGTCTTATTCTCATAAAAAAGGTTCCCCTACAGACTTCATTTGTGCCCATAGGCCCAAACTTTGCTCTAAAGCCAAAATATTATCCAAATCCAAAATACGATCAGCCCACTACAGATCCTGTTACTACTGTTCAAATAACCACAGTAAGTCCCTCAGCCATAACGGTTTCTCAAGCTCCGCTACAACAGACAGATCATGTACCTGCCCCTCAATATTCACATTCTAACCTATTCAGTTTGATTAAAGGAGCATACATGGCTTTAAATCATACCCGACCTGATCTCACCCAATCATGTTGGTTATGCTTGGCTGCTCCTCCCCCATATTATGAAGGAAAGGCCCTCAATTTAACCTTTATCAGTTCTTCTAGCTCATCTGCCTGTGACTGGGACAATCACCACAAGCTGACTCTCCCTGATGTCTCAGGTAGAGGAACTTGTCTTGGGGATTCCAGTCATCCACCAGCACTGGCAACACAACTCTGTGCCCAGCTTCATTCCAAATTCAAGCCAAATAATTACCTCATTCCACCCCCAGGAACGTCTTGGGCCTGAAATTTTGGCCTCTCACCCTGTACAGCAACTGCTGTTTTTAACAAGTCTGCAGATTTTTGTGTTCTTGTACAGGTTCTTCCTCGCATAACCTTCCACCCAGGAGACTACTACCTCCAGGCATCGCAGATCAGCTATATATCTAAGAGAGAACCTGCGACGCTCACCTTAGCTGTGTTACTAGGATTAGGAGTAGCAACGGGAATAGGGACAGGGACCACAGCTCTAGTGTTGGGAAATAAGCATCTAGCTCAATTACAGGCAGCAGTGGATCAGGATTTAAAAGAAATAGAAGCATCTGTGACAGCTCTACAGGCGTCCCTGACCTCTTTATCTGAGGTAGTCCTGCAAAATAGAAGAGGACTAGACCTCCTATTTATGAAGGAGGGTGGCTTATGTGCAGCCCTCAAGGAAGAGTGTTGTTTTTATGCTGACCACTCGGGAGTAGTCAAAGAGTCCATGAGTATACTGAGAGAGCACCTCAAAGAGAGAGAAAAGGAGCGCATCGGAGCAACCACCTTCTCCTCCATGTGGGGGGGGCCTTCTTCCCTTACATTGCCCCCCTCTTGGGACCCCTAGCTGCCTTGCTGTTGCTGCTTACTGTAGGACCTTGTATTTTCCAGAGGATCGTGACACTCTATAACGTTAATAACAAGGTTGACACATTTATGGCAAAGCCCATTCAGGTATATTACCATCGGTTGGAAATGGCAGAACAACAAACTTATCGGGAAAATTCACCCACTGACGGCCCACATGATGCTGTGGCCCAGATGCCCTGAGGCACTGGACAGGCAGTCAGAGACGGGCAACTAGGACACATACGTAATGCCAATTGGCCACCTAAGACAGGTCCAGGACCAACAGCTGTCCTGCAGACCCATGACAGGTAAGGCTCGATTGGGTTCATATGAGGAGTCCTTGACCCAAGATAGGCGCTGTCCTCCCAGGGCCTGCCATGTTCCAAAAAATATAAATAATAATAAGGGAGGAGATGTAGGGAGCGGCTTCGAATAGCTGCTGCTGCCCTGCCCCTCCTGCCTGAGGGCATTTTGTGTGTCAGCCTATATTTCCCATGATCCTCATGTCCGCCTACATTACCCATAATCTTCTCCTGCTTACGTCATATATCCGGATGTGATGATGACCTATCAGGTAACACTCTGCCCTCTTCCTGCCCTTGGCCCGCCCCCCCACCCTATATAAGTTGTAGCCATTTTAAAAATAAACGAGACTCGATTGGAATCGCATCCTGTCTCCATCTCTCTTTTCTCTTGTCCTGCCCCCATCCCTGATCCCCTCTCCAGGTGAGACCCACAAACTGGTCCGTGGGCCGGATCAGATATGTTATAGCTAGACATCAAGAAAAAAATATTGATTCTCTTGATCTCTACATCTAGAGAATGGAGATTCAGTGTACATAAGACATGGTTTATATTATTGTGTAACTTACCTCCTAGTTGATAGACTTTCCAACACTTATTCTCTTTTCACATACTTATTCTGACAACAGAGGAGAGTTTTCTAGGTTCTGGTCCACTCCTTCTGAATTCTAAATATATCTGAGTTTCACAAATTCTCAGACTATTCCATGAGAAATACATATAAGTTGAAATAAAATTTCTTTTAAAAAAGTGAAAGAAGTCTCAATGGCTGAAGTCACACCATTAGCTGCAGGAAATAGTCAACTTACTTGTCATGACAATTTTTTTCTTTCTTTCTTTCTTTTCCCCCCTACCAAATTCTAAGTACCAGAACAGGGCAGCACCTCCTGAAGGAGTTTGGTTATACGTTAAGTTTCATAGCACTATAAAACGACTCCTCAGCATAATCGCCACCATGTTGAATGGTGACTAAATTTTGTGGTTATGGACTTGCCGAAACTAGGTCTTTGAGTAAACATCAGGAAACATCTGTCCTGACAACTGTCCTGGAAAGTGAAGTAAACATTCCAGAGGGACAAACTGCAAAAAAACCAAAAATGGCACCTGCTTCTTGGGAAATTTTACCAGCAGACCCCCCACCACGCTAAAAAGCCTTAAATAGCAATGCAAGCTTCACTTAGGAGCCAGTTGGTTGGAGCGTACCCATTGTTAGTGGACCGCTGCTGCTGGCCATCGAGCTTGATTATTAATAAATATTAATTGATTACTACTCAATTTGGCCTGTTAGTAATCTTATTTGTGAATCCACCACAGTTTCAGGACTTAAGAAAACAGTACTTCATTCCTTAGAGTACATTACAAATTTATTGTCAATCTAAAAGGCTCATTTTTCTATAAAGAAAAGGACCATTTATTTAAAATAAAAATTACTTCAGAAGAAAAACTGGTGATTAATAAAGAAGTCACGAACTGACTGGGTATTGGTCCAACTGGACAGCAACCACCACCAGACACAGTCAATTTATTCACCTGGTGCCTAAGAACACCCAGCTGTATAGTCTGACTGGAGATTCCTGTAGGGAGCCTTTGAAGCTGGAGATTGATCACATGTGTGGGGCTAAAGCAAGGCCGGCCCAGAAAAAACAGAAAGACCAAAACAAGCTATGTAAACAAGTTGTTCCAGCACCAAGAAGGCAAGGGGCCCTGGCCTGCCAAGCAACAACGGGTTGCTAGGCAGAGGGGGACTGACATCTTTCTCAGTATATAAATAAAGGTACTACAGTGGTTGAGCAGTTCCTTTCCTCCCATCAGGAGGATAAGGGTCGCGGCAGATTCCCACTTGCAGTATTTCTTCTGCAAGAGATCCCACAGTCAGTGTTCCATACCCGCAGGTATTAAACTACAAACAACTTCTGTATTATCTGGAGCCAACCCACAGCCCACAGCACTCGGCCTCTCCCGGTCTCACTGCCTTTCCAATCTACAGAGTTTTCATCACACAAGGCAAAGCCCCAAGTTCCCCGGGGATGAGCTGGGCGCGGGTCCCGGCGCGACAGTGACGGAAGGCGCGGGGAGCGTCCGGGGAGCCCAGACCCGCGAGGAGGGGACTGGGATGAGGACGTCGAGCAGGACGGCGGCCTGGCACCGCGCCCCTCGTCCCTAGCGCAGGGAGGCCCTTACGGTCGATGCAGGTGGTCCAGTGGTGGCGGCGAGCCGTGGCGCGAGTCCAAACGCTGCCACGCAGGCAGCCGAAGCGTAGTAGCAGGCGCCCGTAACCGCGCCACATCGCCGCCGCTTTTGCACGACGAAGTCCTCACACAAGTAGTACAGCCGGAGGCTCGCCAGACCCACCTCCGCAACCTGGCAGCACCTCGCCCCCGAGGCACTCTGGGAGCCAGCTCTCCGCAAGTCCCGCCCATCGGCTCAGGCGCCTGCGGCGGGCAGAAACTACAACTCCCAGAGATCCCTGCGCGACGCTGTTGCATGGCGTCCAAGCTATGCGCCTCCCGTGGCCGGTGGGCGCGCGCTGGATGGGGCTCACTGCGGGAAGTGCTTAGGGCTGGCTCCGCGAGGCGCGGGAGGTAGGGCTTGAGCGGCTTAGGTGCCATTGTCTGTGTTCCAAAGCTGAACGCCGCTGGCCTTCCTCTTTGTCCAGCTTGCCCCGCACAGGTTTTGGAGAGTGGTGAAGGTATCTTTTGCTGTTGTTGTTCTTTTCGCACGGGGAATCGAACTCAGGAGCTCGCGCTCACCAGGCAGGCGCCGTGGCGCCGAGCTATATCCCCACCCCTAGAGGTGTTTCTTGTACCTCCTGGTCGATTCCAGACGTCTCTGCGCCTTACACGCTGCACACAGACCATGCCGAGACCCTGGAAGAGGCTGGCTGGAACTTCTGGCCCAGGTGAGATGCACCCGCGGGCCTGGTCAGTACTGTTCATGTCCCCTCCCTGCTCGTGGCGAAAGCTTTCGTGGTTCACTTGTGAGGAATGCTAGCCCTCATTCTCTACTGTCCCAGTCTCCCGCGTGCTTCTTGTTCCAGAGAGAGCTAGTAAGCAATCTGGACGTTTGCGCTACAGGACGCCTCAAGCTGAGGTAGAGTATACAGTGCCGTATAGTTCCTTCACTACGTGGATGGAACTTGACATTGTGTTAGTAAGCCAGGCACAAAACGATAACTGCCTCACGAACTCTCTTATGCTGAGAGTAGAATAGTGGTTTCCAGAAGCCAGGGTTCAGGGCACAGGGAGGGATGGGGAGAGGTTGATCAATGGGTACGAAGTTAGGATAGTAAAACAGGAAGTTCCAGTGTGCTGCTTCCCAGTGAGGTGGCTATCAGAACTACAGTACATTTTAAAAAGAAAAGATTTTGAATGTTTTCGGCATTTAGAAAGGATACACAGAGTTACGTTTACAGTGACTTAAACATTATACCATGTATACCTATCCAACATCCCATGATACCCGATTAGATACATTTTTATGTGTTAAATAATTTAAATGTTGTGAATAATTAACTAGAGGTAAAAAAAAAAAAAAAAACAAAAAAAAAAAACAGCGTTCCCTCTCTAAGAGAAATTGAAAGCACGGGTAAGTGAAAGGGTCCTGGAGACTGAATAGTAAGAGGTACCAGAGGACTGATGGGGAAGGCAGTGAGGACGAAATGGGGTTACAGTCCTGTACGGGAAAGCCTTCTACAAGCCAGCTTACAGTACGCAGAAAATATGATGTCATTTTTGACAAAGTGAATGGCATTTTAAGTGTATGAAGAGCAGGAATAAAACATTTGGAAAGTAAAGCAAGTATGGCTTTTAGGAAGGAAGAGGTCTCCAGGTTGCCTGCAACACAATGTAGTGATTTAATAACACATATTTGCAGAATGCCTATTAATTCTTAAGAGACTGACAGAAATAATTGGGCAAGGGAAATATGCTGAGTTCAAAGCATTAGGTATCTGTAAATGATATTTCATGATGATTCATGTAGAAACTTAAATTCAGAGGCAGTCTTGAGTACAGTCATTAAGCACAGATTGAAACAGACCCAAGTTACTGGTCCTGACCTTTGACCTTGATTCTGCCATCACCAGATTGTGATCTGGAGAATAGAACATTTCAAAGGTTACGCACATTCACCAAGTTTGGGTTAGAATAACACAGCTTGAAGTCTGTTACATACTATGAACTTAACAACTGTTAGCTCTTAAGTGCCCATCATGTGCCAGGCATATTTTTCTCTAATTCTCTTAGGATAAACTCCAGTTTTTATTAAATCTACAAGGTCCTGGATGAACTTATTTTCTCAACTTCTCTTAGCATTTTCAGGGAGCAGAAAGGAGGAAGCATGAAGTACAGTGAACAAGAGGGAAAGAAGTCTAAAATGATAATAATCTCTAATATTTACTGACCATTTATTATTGAGCCAGGTAATTTCTAAGCCTTTTGTTTGTATTCTCATTTTATCATCAAAACAAATTCTCAGGTACTCATTTCCTCAGTGAAAAAAGCTAGCCCAAGTAAAGGCACAGGACAAAAAGTGAGAGAAGGAAACATTGACTACTACCAAGATGTTTTATTCTTAACCCACAAGATGTTCTTATCTTACTAAATAGATTACCTAGAAGATAGCCTATAAGGCAGGAATTCTGGTCCTGTTTTTATAATAACCTGAAGTTTCATGTGTGTAAGACTAAGGTACTGTAGCTAGTACTTGTTAGACCCAGGGTTTGAATCTAGGTATCACACCAAAGGACAAGCTTGTCCATAATAAAGTATTACTTGATAGGTCTTTGCCTTTTCTTTTTGCAGACAAGAAGGGACTATCAGGAAAACGCACCAAAACTGAGAACTCAAATGAGCTATCAGCTCTTGTGGAGAACTCCAATGCACAGACAACTTCAGACTCAAAAAACCATGGGCAGAATCTGAGCAACTACTGGCTGATGAAGACAGAGCCAGAAAGCCGACTAGAGAAAGGTGTTGATGTGAAGGTGAGACTATGCTTGTCTGCAATCCTTTCACACTGTTTTTAAAAACTGAAAGGTAACCATAGGATTCCACCACCAGCTCTGAAGGATACAAAATGGTAAAAATGAATAAAATCAGCTGGATTCATGATCAACTAACTGTAGGTTGACTGTCTTTTACCTGAAATGCTTAAGACCTCCAGGCTGTAAAATATTTGCATAGACTTTATAGGTTTAGCATCCCTAATCAAAAAACCCAAAATCCAAATCCAAAAGTTTTTGAATGTAGGGACATCTGAGTGTACCAGATTTCAGGTTGACATGTTTAACCTATATCTGTTCTCCTATATTTTTTGCATGAATTGGCAAACTTTTTTGCAAAGGGACAAAGAGTGAAATAATATTGTAGGCTTCTGAATCTCAGTCTGTTGCAGTTCTGCTTGTGTAGTAAGAAAGTGGCCATAAACAAACAGGTGTAGTTGTGTTCAAGTAAAACTTTATTACAAACTTAGGTAAAGGGCTAGATTTGGCCTCTGAGCTACAATACGCCAACCTCAATCTTAGCTTGTTTTTATCATTTTCCATGGTTCTTGGTGTCTACTCTGCGAACAATTTTTATATATCCAAGGAATGTATACCAATTTTAGTAGCCCTGAGAAAATGTAAGGAGAAATATTGAGAAGTATGTAATACTTTAACAAATGAAATGTGGGAAACCAGCATATTACTTTATCATATGAATTATCTAGTCAACTAATGCTCTTACTAAAAATAACAAGATAACAATGCTGATATTCATGTAATAAGTGGCTACATGGGATACTTACTTCTCAGTAAACTACAGATTTCCAATGTAGCCTACAATGCTTCAGTTTGTAGGGGCAGTAGCTGTCTGCTGATCAACTGGCTAGAGATTGTGGAGGGAATGACTATTTCTTTGTACCTAGTTCAGCATTGAGGATCTCAAAGCAGAGCCGGAGCAGACAGCCTGCTGGGATGGTGTTCGTAACTACCAGGTAAGATGGGCAGGACCCATGAGACCTAAGGTGAGGCAAATGCCTCACTTCGTCTCACGACTTAGTTAGCATCAGACCCTCTTGACTAAGAGCTTGAAAATGTTTTCAAAATACCTTAATTACGGTATGAAAGCAAGTGGCCTGGTTCTGGCCAGTGAACTCGTGTGTGTCTGGGAGTCTTGGCAAAGGAAAAGGACTTTCTTGTGACTTGAGATTTCTGTTGTTTTCGGGAGACAGGCTCGGAATTTCCTTAGAGCCATGAAACTGGAGGATGAAGCCTTCTTCTACCATAGCAACTGCAAAGAGCCAGGCATCGCAGGACTTGTGAAGGTTAGGCAAACAGGTTTTGGTATGAATTGCTCTCCTTCCAGGAGACTTCCAGGAAGACTTACTCATGTAAATTTAGAGGAATGTACTGTAAATAGGTAATAATAAGAAATAGATGAACTGCCCTGGCCTCTTCGTGTATGGTCAGAACTAAGTCAGGCAAGCCTTCACTCCAGGCCTCCAGCATATACTGTTCTTCATTTCCAAACCTTAGTCTTATTCAAAAGCAGGCCTTTTTTCAATCCAAAAGCAACTGGGATAAATTATTAATTATACTGTTGGAACAAAGAAGGAGTGCCAATAATAACGTTTAGCATTTCGTTTAGAATATCCTTCTAATACTTTTATAAAAACAGGGTTGATTTCCTAAATGTGCTTGCCTTATGCTGTGTATTTCCAGATATCTAAGCCCAGATTGACTCTGCAGCAAATCCCCTAGGGTTAGACTCTACAGGGTGTGAAGTTAGTTTGTTAAGATTGACTACAGTGCTGACAGACATTTGACTAATGCACTAGGCAAAGCTGAGGACAGAACTGACTGTGCAGGTGAATGACTGGAGGTTTTTGGTCTGGTTGCAGATTGTGAAGGAGGCTTACCCAGACCACACACAGTTTGAGAAAAACAGTCCCCATTATGATCCATCCAGCAAAAAGGACAACCCCAAATGGTTCATGGTAAAGATTGCCTGGGGGGAAATACACAAAGTGGAGAAAGGGTATGGCTGGTTTCAGGTCAAGGAATACAATACAGCTGAATCAATGAGGTTTTGGTGGTGTTCGGAGACTAGAATGTTGGTAGCCCTGCCCATGGTATGCAAACATTAAAAGCCCAGCAGGCAGAGGTGATGGTGCATGCTTGTAGTCCTGGCTACTTGAGAAATTAAAGTAGGAGGCCAAGCTGGGCAACACAGTAAACCCAGCTCTTAAACAGCCAGTGGGCAGAGTCTGGCTGGACACAGCTTTCTGCCCCATACTCTGTTGTCACACAGGTGGACGTACAGTTGGTTCGGAAACTGAAGCGTTTCATCTCTCTGGCTGAGCTTAAAACCTATCACCAGGCTCACAAAACTTCTGATGGTCCCTTAAAGAACATGGCTCTCTTCACTCGCCAGAGACTCTCCATTCAGTCCCTTACACAAGGTAATAGTGGGCCCTTGCCCTCATTGTCCACATACCAGAAAGGGCACCGTGAATTCAAACCCATTACCTGATTAAACTTGGGCACGTCGTTCAACCCGAGTAAAGTTTCCTTTGGTAAGGGGCTGGGGATTTAGCTCAGTGGCATAAGCGCCTGCCTTGTAAGCAGGCAGTCATGAGTTCGATACCCGGTACCGGTAAAAATGAAAAAAATACCAAAAAAAAAAAAAAAAAAAAAAAAAAGTTTCCTTTGGTATCACACACAAGATGGAGCAAGTACACTGAGCTGCATACTACTAGGGTTCCTGTGGCTCCTGTGCTTGGCACTTAGTAAGGTACCCTTCACTTAGGAATAAATACTGTCTGCTTTCCTAACATGTACACTAAGTACCTACCAATGCCTGGCATTAACTTATGTGCAAAAGAACATGTAAGACCTAATCCTTCCTTTTTTCTCTTCCTGGTAGAAGAGTTTGATTTTATTTTGCATCTGGAAGAGAAGGAAGCGAATTAACTGAGGCACTGTTGCCGGAATGGACAAGGCGTCAGTCCAGAGAAGCTTTCATAAGACAAGATAGCTTGCTTGTCATATCACTTGGGATTATTCACCTACGTGGTTTTGTGTATGCTTTTTCAATAAAAGTTTAATACTAAAAGCTGGACAGTGTTTCTTTTTAAACTGAATTCGGTGTGGTGGTATATGCCACTGAAGATCTCTTACCTTCAGACTGGCTTCTTTTTGCAGCTTAGAAGACACAGGGCACCTTACCTTTATCATTGCCAGTAGTTACAACACTCACTGAAGCCAACGTGTGGCCTTTCTTATAGGCAGCCTTGCTCACCTGCCCCTCAGTCCTCTGGGCCACACAGAATTCAGTTTAAATGCTGAGTGGTTTCAGGACCAGGAGGCAGACGGTAAAACCTAGTTTACTCCTCAGCCGCGCCCTGCTCTAATGCGGCTGGGTGATGGAGTGTGCATCAGTGCTCACCAGGGCCATCTCAGCAGGCCGCAGTGGGTGCTGTGGCAGGTGTTGCCTTTCCCTGGGTGTCAGAGGTGGGACAGTGCTGAGACAAGAGACAACAGAACCTGGCGACCATGGGCACAATGCCCCCAAAGCTCTAGGGCATCCTTTAATTAGACCATTTTAAACCATTAAAACAAGTGTTCTTTTAAAATACAGCCATTGAAAAGACAACACATTAAGAAACATGTAAACACTGCAGCTGCTTAGTTACAAGTTGCACTGCCTGGTTTAGTACCTAATGTGCTCCCAGGTCTGGGGACCTTCAAGGAAGGCGACAGGAACCTCCCCTCACTTTCACAGTTGACAGAGAAGAAAGAATGGATAGAGTCAGCAAAAAACACCTGGCTTGTTCATAGCTCTTGAGGTAAAGCAAATCCTACATTCTAGTTTTCCCAAAAGAAAGGTTAAGGTGTTAGGAAAGTTGGGAAATGAGTTTCTGTTGTCGTAGGAGGCAGAGGAATTGACAAATGTTTCCTGCTAGGATACCACCTATTAAGAGGAGGCATGCCACAGCCTGTTCTCTTGAAAAAAGCAAGGATACAGCCCACCTTTCTTGAATGTGAAGCCCCAGCCTTGGTGAGCCAAGGGCAGCCGGGCGGCTGACCCTGCCCCATTGGGATTGTGTGTCGCATTTGAACTCCAGGTGTGCGTGGGGCACAAACTCACCTTGGTTCTGCTGCTCCCAGTTAACTGTACGCGTTCCCCCACGTGTCTTTCCCTCTAGTCTCATGGACCCAGAAACTTGGCCCAGGCAAGGCCTAAGCTTGTCCTGATTTCTGATGATAAGAGCAGTCCCGTTTTCTACACTAACTCAAAGAGGAAACAGGAACCAATGTTTCTACTTTCCAAATTACCACTTAGGAGGACCAGATGCAGTACTCATTGACCAGTGGGATCTGACTGGTCTTTTTATAAAGGTAAGGAGAACAATAGAATAATTCCTGGTCACCCAGATGAGGCAGAAAAGATGGTAATACTTTTACTACTTCAGGATAGGCCCAAACACAGAGCAACAAGGGAAAAAAGTTTTTTCTAGTGTAATAACATCCACAAAACTTGTCATATTTATGATTTTTAAACAAAAAAATAATGATCCTAAACTTGGGTGAGTGAACTTCTAAAGATGAAGATGTAATCTGGCAACTAAAATCATCTTAAAATTGTGGTAACAAAATCCTCTGGTGGGATTCTCACCTCCCTCTCTTAACCTACAGTTAGAGAGGTAAAGGGGCTCAAAGTAGGGATAAGAACGGAATTTCCAAGTGCTTAAAAGCAAGCCCCAATTCCTGGAAATTAAGTGGGGTACAAGAAATGAAGAGCAGTCTCAGGGAGGAAAAAGAGTCCTGGCCCCTTCCTAGGACGTCTTAAAAGGGAACAGACGCTCTTGCTTGGAGCTGGCTGGGTTACCACAGTAATACCCTGGAAGGATCTGGACCTTAGACTGCCAAGGGGAGTCACTTAAAGGCAGGCAGTCACCATGCTTGAGTCCTCCTTCCTCAGTGGGCCTGGCTTAGTCTCCTGGCCATCTGTGTATACACAGACCCCCAGGGCTTCACTGGACCCAGGTATCTCTCTCGGATGAGGAGACAGCCCTGGGTTGTTCCATCAGTTTTGGTCCCGGGATATTCATGACAAGCCACATCTGGTGGGAAGGTAGGCATCTGAGTCCCAGCAGTGACAGGCCAGAACGAAGATGACTGTGGAAACTCCAAAGCACCACGTCCGAGACTCCCAGGGAGTTGGCTTCCTGATTTTGAGGTCCCCCCGACCTCATTAGGAAGGGACGGGCCTTCTCCTCTTGCCACCTTCTCAGGGACGGTCAAGAGGAATATAAGACATGACTCCCCAGGCCCTTGCTGGCGGCTCTAAATCCCAGGGATGTGCTCAGATCCTGCATCAGGAAACCCAGAACCACAAGCCAAGGCTGCGTGCTCCTGGCTGTCCTCCCAGAGACAAACAGCAGCCCAGGAGGAGGGCTCTGACTCCCCAGAGAGAGACAAGCTTCCACAATGCTTCCTCTCCCCAGCCTGGCATTGGCCACAGAAGCCCAAGGGGACTGCTTCCCAACCCAGCCCCTTCAGTTCTTCAGAGAAAAGAATTTAAGTCAAAAACATGATTTGTTTTCAGGTTGCAAATAACGATCAGCTGAGCCTCACACCACCCTTCCCCTCCCTCAGCCACTGGTGTCTGGTAGATGGGGAGTGCTGGGGTAGAAGCCCCGCAGCTTTTTGGCCAGGGGCCTACTGCCTGCAGTTGTTGTCAGACAGCTGGCTGGGGGTCCGCACCTCGCCCAGGGAGGCTGTGCCCTCGAAGCGCTGTGAGGCGATGGCTGCCTGGTGGGACATGCTCTTCCGGACAATGTCGCCCTTCCGCCATAACACCACTTCCTGCAGAATTAGGAGAGGGAGCAATGTGACAGCTGAGGGGGAAGCTCTGGGACTTCTCCAGAGCCTTCCTCTTCTGTCCTAGGGAATCCTGTGTAAGAATCTCTTCTGTTTATCTCTCATTGAAGCACACAGTGCTGATATATCACGCTCCTGCTGTGGGGCAGAGCACAGGGTGGTTGTGGGGGCAGGCCTGGAAAAGCAAGCAGACCCTGGGTATTAAGTGGGAACTCTCATTCCTGCTTTGGGATTCTGGTAACCTAATGTCTCCACCTCCTGGTAACATAACAAGTGGTATATAGACTTAGAAGCTCTCTCCCTTGTACCATTCTGTATTATCAAAATTAGAACCTGACCACACACAGGAATGATGGCAGCATCCAGGGGCCTGGAGGAGGCGACTTACCTGCTGCTTGAAGTAGCGCCGTTCCTCCTCATCAATCAGCACTAGGTTGAGGTAATAGCGCACAGAGAACTTCTTGTTTATGTCCCGCATGGTGGGTGTGAGCTCGTACCCTGCCAGGAAGAGCCGGATCGGGATGGACTCTCCTGTAAGAGGTGAGGTGGGAATCGAGTCAAGGGACAAAGGAAATGACTGTGCTCTCTCCCTCTCTGATGACAGCAAGTAAGATACTAGCTGAGCATGACACAGAACAGTAAGCAGATGCTTCTTTCTGCCTTTGGGGAAGTTGCATTCTGCCACCAAAGCAAAACTGTGACTCCCAGTTTCATTCCAGTCTTCCGTGGCTTTTGAATGTCCTCTCACCTTCCGATGCAAGAAGCAGTAAGAAACAGGTGCGTGTGAATGGTGCGAGGAAGTTACTCAGTATATTTTCATCACATATAATATTTCTAGATCATAGCTATCCAAGAGGCAGCTGTCAAATTCCAGCTCCTTCACTGTGCCACCCAGTACCTGTGAGGCCACCTCCCTGCATCCTAGTTAGTGTTTGCCCAAGAATATATCCCTGCTCTAATGGTGGGAGACAGAAAAGCCTTATCTTGACCCCTGTTTTCTACTGACCAGCTGTATGACTTCTGAGTAAATCTATTGCTTTCTCTGGACTTTAATTTTCTCATGTGGAAAATTACAGAATCCCACTGTACAATATTTTAGGTCCTTCCAGCTCTGACACTGTACTCTTCCCTAGTGCACAAGGAACAAAATTAGGTCAATAATTCCACTGAGAAAGGACAGACCCATAATGCAATCTAAAAGCTAAATATAAAAGATCTTTTTGCTTATCTGCTGTTGTGTGTTTTCAGTGCCCCAATTCGCAGGTATAAGAGATATGACTGTTGACTCTACTTGCAGATGTGGTTAAATAAATAAAATAAACATCAGACAGAATCAGGAGAGCTCAGTCCCAATGTTGACACTAAAGAACAGTCACACCAAAGAATGATACTGTATCTGTGATACTCCTCCTTCCACATGGAACGGTCTGAGAATACACTGAATACAACCTCAGAAGCACCAAGCACTTCTAAGTGAGAAGAGGTAGCCTCTATGGATGATTGATAGAGGTATGAAGAACATAAATGATTGCTACTTCTAAATAATCAGACAGATACCCAAGTATCAAATCTACTCACCCCAATATAGTATGAGCTCCATGGACCTTAGGGAGAACCACTTCCACTGGTGCCCACTGCCCGCTGTGATGCCTGACTGTGTGGGCAAGCCTATCTAGTAGCACTCAGTAAATAAGTCAGAGTTAATCATTTCACTAGGGCTGGATTCTGGGGGTAGCGCTCAGTGGTACAGCACTTGTCTATCACACATGAGGCTCTAGGTCCAATCCTCCATGCCTTAAAAAATAAGTAAATGAATAAATAAATTTTATCATAGGTGGAACTAAGTAAAAAAACTACCATCATGAAACTTTTGGCTCAAGCAGCAAAGAATGTCAGAATGTTACTAGGAAAAAGGAGTGAAATGTTCGCTGATAGCAAACAAGGTGGGCATAGAGCTGTGCTGCGGGACAATGGGGCAGGACCCCGAAATCCCACGCAATCACCTTTTTGCTTCTTCTTTATTGATACCCACGGTGCACAATTAGATTAAGAAATCACAGGTTAACAGGGCATCTTACTGTAACGTTATCTCTCAGGCCCTTCTAAATCCTGTGCAGAGCCTGGGACTGCAGACTGTGGCCAAGGTCCCCTGCCGGAAGGCTCACCTCGCACTGGCGCCCCATCCATGATCTCGTACTTGGCTATTGTGTCATTCTCATGGTAAACATTGGGGCCAGTGCCTGTTGTTTCCCGTTTGATGATGTCTATCTCCATGTGCTTGATTTTGATTCTCACCAGCAGGAAGTATATCTTCCCTACAATGACATCTTTCAAGTGGTATCTGAGGAAGAGAACACAGAAGCAAGACATTGGTGCAGTCTGTTTTGTTTCAACACAGAGGAGACAATGTGCCAGCCTTGGATGCTGGCTGAAGGTGCAGACACAGCACTCACCCTCACTGCTCTGGAGGGATGGCTCCCCAATGCCATTCTTTTTTTTTTTTTTTTTTTTTTTTTTTTGTCTTTTTTGAGATGGGGCCTCACTATGCAGTTCAGGCTGGCCTCGAGCTCACTTTGTGGCCCAGGCTGATCTCTAACTGACAAGGATCCTCCCACCTCAGCCTCCCGAGTGCTGGGATTATAGGCGTGAGCCACCATGCCTGGCTCCCGATGCCATTCTAAGTGACTTCGTTCTTCCAACTCAAAGGATGTCAATCCGACATGATACTTCATCTGTTCATAGTCATCTGCCCCATCTCCTCAGCATATACCTTCTATACTTCTGTATGCTTTTTTAGATGAGTTTTTCTAATGTATAAGAAGCTGATCCCACAAGTGTATGAACCAAGTTTCTCCCTTTCTCTCTGATTTCTGTGTAATGTTACTGGGGAGCTGAGCCTTAATGGCTCATACTAAACACTTCTGTCTGTGCTGGGCAGGGCAGAGCAGGCAAGAATAGTCAAGCGAGATGAGCGTGCTTGCTCAGTGCTTGCTTTCTGGCCTCTGGCCTCTACTCGTAAGGCTTGTAGCCTATGAGCTATTGCAGTTTAACCACATTGCAGTAACACTTTCTTACCCTTCAAGTTTTTCACTTTGAGTCACTCAATAGTACTGGTAACCTATCAGGCATGACAGAAAAACTCTTCAAAGTGGGAGCTCACATTCATGGGACATGAATACTGGCAGGCAATTCAGAATTTAGCTTTTTTGACTAAAAGGTGGAAAATGAAAGTTGGACCAGGATGAGTATAGTGGGCAAAGACAGAGGTGAGCCCCAGTACCAGGATGGTGTACTTCCTACTATTTCGCAGTGCTTCTGTGTGCGATCTTTGGAAAGAGTGCAGGCACTGAGCACCTTTCCTGACCATACCTGTAGGGTGCAGGAGGCCACTGGTAGCATTTCACAGGGATACTTAATGACCAGGGACTCTAAGGTTTCAGAAAGATTTGTAAATGAAACATTTCCTTATTCTGAATGAAATCTTGTACAGAAGCACACCTGTGTGAGAGACAACTGTGGCTCCTCCCTCATCTCATACTTTTTCTATGCGTCTGAAACCCACTAATCTGGTCTCTGTGCCTCACTTTTCAGATAAGAAACTGAGGTGCAAAAACGATAATACCTGTCAGCCTTAGTCAAACTTCCTAATGGCAGAGCAGGGCCTGATGGGAAGTCCCTGGTCCTTTCTACTATATATAAATCATGTATTCTCACACAGCACAGTCTGTTATCGACAGAGAACAGCAGTTTGGAAATACCTGTTTCTTAACTGATGTGTAATGACTCACTAAAGCACACTAAATCTGGTCTTGTATATATTTTTTTGTTTAGTATATATTTGTAGAACATAACAATTACATTCATCATGGGGAAGTGGTACATAACATAACACTCTAGAACTCTCTTTACTTCCTCTAGAGCTTGTATATACATACTGAGTGGCTATTCCAAGCTCTTACAGAGGCACTGCTGCTGGCTATTGTCTTTGCAAGATGGGTTGCAGGTGGGGAGGACCACACAGTATCCCAAGACCAAGAAAGGAAGAAGCCTGTTTCCATGACAGGCCCAGATCAGCCACCTTCCCAGAACCTCATTGCCTGCTCTAAGGGGGCCAGGCCAAGTAGGCTGTTTCTAGGCTGCACTGGTCATGTTCTACAGCACTGACTGGGTTCCAGGTCAGAGGGCAGGGAAGGAAAGGTACACCTTAACTTGCTGCCTGTTCTCAGCTCCAAGTGTGTGCCCACCCCTTCAAAGTCAAACCACGCAGTTCAGCTCCCACCATCCTTGGCCCTTGGTTGACAGTGGGCCTGGGGGTATTACAGTGAGAACCGTAACTAGAGATTTGGTAATTTTGTTAAGCTCTCAAGGAATAGAATGTCACTTTTTCTTCTGGACATTTGATTTCCAAACATTTTCAGGAATGTATTATATTCAAAAAAGAGGCCATTTAAACTGTCAGATTGCCAGAAAATGTTATGACTTAGAAGCAGCTAAGTATTCCACATTCTAACAATGAACACATTTTTCCACTTGCCAATTAAAGTTATTTTAAAGTCTTTATAAAATGCATCAGGTGTTCTTCACCACAATTCATTTCAGTTTAGGGAGGAAGCAACAAACCACTGCCAGTGTTTGGTTTCCTCACTTTGATTGCTGAAGAGGAGGAAACAGATGATAATGGAATTGTGTTCTGTGATTGATCTCATGCACAGAAGGAAATAGCTGTACTTAGAATCCAAAACAAATAACCTTTAGTTTAGCTCAGCTTTGAAAAGGCATGTTAGGATATTTAAATATAACACATTATTTAAATTAGGTGTAATATTTTAATGTACTGTATTATGGTTTAGAAGTATTTCCCCCTCCATTTTCTAAAACTGCCGCAACATATATTTTCGCTATACCATTTCTATGGTTTTCCCCCAGAGCATCTCATCAGGACATGGTGAAGTCAAGTCACAGTCTCCCGTCACTTTGCATCCAGATAAGGTTCTGTCCTAAGTTCCCTGGATAACTATCCCGACACTTACTTGGATTTATTGTACTCAAACTCAATGTGCAGGCAATCCTCGATCCCAACCTCCATCTTGATAGAAGAGTTCAGCTCTGGGTACGTGCTCAGTGTGTGCACCACAATGTCCATTTCTTTGACAACATCGTTGAGGCGGCGGCTGATGGTGGCCCGCAGGAAATAGCTGTGGAAGATGCAGCTATTACGAATGAACACTCCACTCTCCGGAGGCACCTCGATTTAGGGAGAAACTGACCCATCTCAGCAACCCCTTACAGTGATGCTTAATCCCTGGGGTTTGGCATCCTTGTGAGGACCTTTGAAGCCACTTCTCAGAAAAAACACACAAATGTACATGTAAACAAAATGTTGCAGCTACAGTTCCAGGGAGATTGAATTCCTCTTCCCAAATCCCCTGGATTAAAAGTTACTTCTCTGCACTGTATGCCAAAAACATAGCATGCTTAGACCTTATCATTAACAACTATGTAGTATATTCACGTTTCATTTTCTTAATGTCTACCTTTGTGCATGTAGGATGCTAAGGTTTAAATCTAAAATCCTCCTCCCCCATCATACGTATTTGGAGTTGCGAAAGGTGATCTGGATTATGTGGTGCCACACTCCTCACTGAATTGAGCCTCTGGTAAATTCATATCTGAATGTGCTGTTAGATGCTGAGGCCTGATAAGAAAAGGCAGGTCACTGGTGTGTGACTTGGGAGGGTTTATTCTTGCCCCCCGTTCTTTCTCTCTGGTTTCTGGCCACCATGGCGTGGCAGCTTTCCTCTGCCATGCCCTTTCACCATGCCATTTTTGCCTTGAACCCACTGGAAACTATGAGATGAAATAAACCCTTATATTTTGGGTATAGAGTATTTTATCCCAGTGATGCGGAAGCTCATAGAACCTATCCAAACAATATTTGATAAATGAACATTTTTCAACTCATAGTTAAAAGAGAAAGTTGAAAAATGTTTGTTAATAGGAAACGGGAAAATTAAATAGCTATTCATTCAGTAATTTTAGTATGCTATGCCTTACTCTAGACATAGCATGGATAAGGTACACTGTCATGGGAATCTCCCAGTCCACTGGGGGAGACGGTCACCAACAGAAAAATTAGAAGCCATAGAATGTGTTGATTGAAATACTACAACTCAGTGACATGGGCAGAGGAAAAAAGGTATTCTGAAAAGAGGAAGTCTTCATGTAAAGCAACAGAAACTGAGTGTAAAAAGCAAAAACCCGGCTCACTCAGCCTTGGAGAGGCGTTTGCTGTAGCAAGGACCATTAAAAAGAGAACAGCTCCAGCTTGCAAATCTTTAACAAGCCCAAGATCCATGCAGCCACTTTAGCACTGCCTTCCCAGTGTTACTGCAACCTAACACTAATACTAACATGCAATGGAGAAAACATCCCTTTATATTTTCTTCTAAATAACTCTTCGATAATCCCTATAGCCTGGTAAGTGTTAATGGAGTAATTGTAAAGACATGCTAACCACATTTGTGGTACTGTCATAAGCTACACATTTATGTTACTGTCTTAAGTTACATTTCCTGTTGCTGAGACAAAATACCTAACACACTAGTTAAAGGAAGAAACGTTTATCTAGCTCTTAGTTTGTAGAGGCTTCAGTCCATCACAGGCTGGCTCCACGGTAGGGTAGCATGACAGAGAATAGTCATGGCAAGCAACAAGTGGGGGTACAAGCCTCTTGCTGCCCCTTTTATCTTATTCCGACTACTAGGATGAGGGGGGTGCTAATTCAATCAGTGGACAGATCCAGCAGTCATCCAACCTTAATGTCAGCACCCTAAATCCCAGCATCATACACTCTACATTCAGCCACATCCAAAAAGCCTGTCCCCCATGAGTATATGACGTTTTGGGGCAGCATCTAGACATAAACCATAACATTCTATACCTGGCCCTCCAAAGACTCTTATACATTCCTTTACACAAAAGGCATTTAGTTCATCTCAAGAGTTGCCAAAGTCTTAACAGTTTCAGCATTGCTGAAAAGTTCAAGTTCCAAGTCTCCTCCGAGATTTAAGGCAAGTTCTTAGCTGTGTCCCCTGTACTAATGAAAACAAAGTTAAACATTTCCAACATGCAAAGGTACAACATAGAAGCTACAAAGAGGGAGTCACAAAGGCATAGGAGCAAACAAGTCTGAAATTCAGCAGGGCAAACATTACGTTCTGTATTACAGGTGCAGCATCCAAGGCAATCTGTGGCAAGATGTGAACTCCAAAGGGCTTGAGTGGCTCTGCCCCTGTGGCACTGCCAGTGACTATATCTCCCACAGTTCTCTCTGGGTATAGCTTTGCTATTTCCTTGCCGTTTTCCTCAGACGATTCACATTTCTGGCTTCTCCAAACTTCTGAAGTCTCCACCACACCACTGGCTTCACTCTCATGTTACATATTATCATATCAGGAGTCACCATCTGGCCTCCCAGCCCTTTTTTAAAATCTGGGTGGGAGCCTTCCTGATCTCTTGCTTTCTGCATGCACCTAAAACCAGTGCACATGGATGATGCCAGGTCTGCCACCAGCTGGAGCAGTAGCCAGGCTCTTCCTTCCTGTCTATATCAGTCAAGCACCTTTGAATGAAATCCTGTGAAATAACTTCCTGAAGCTGCTGCCATTGCGGAAACATGGTGTTCTGGGGCTCTCTTCTCAAAACAAAGTCTTTCCTCACCTTCCTAACTCTAAGGCTGCAAAGGCTGGAGTTGTTGGTTTTTCTTTCTTTTCTTTTTCTTTTGATACAACCTCTCTCTATTTAGTCTAGGCTGGCCTTGAACTCAATGCATATCTAGGTTGGCCTAGAAAATCACAGCAATCCTCCTGCTTCAGCCTCCAGAGAGATTACAAATATGTACCACCACCCTTGGCTTGTTGGTTATTTTTTGTTGTCTCCTTCTGAAATACTTGGTTTTTCCTTACTAGACTTTCTGAAATCAATTTTTCCTCCTCCTCATCTTTGTAGGCCACAACTTTAATGCAGCTTCCTTTCTGGTCAAACTTACAATATCCTGAATCATTCCGCTAGGCTCTTTGCTCTTTATTCTCAATATAAATCTGGCTAAAAGACCCCAACAGTAGTTTTTTTCATGCCACTGCTTCAGCATTAGACTGTCTTGAAATTTCTTCTGCAAGATTAATTAGTCTGCCACCCTTAATCTAGTTTCAGGCAAAGTCTCTGGACAAGAGCAAAATACAAATAAACTTTCTGCCAAACCATCATACACATCGTCTGAGGTCTAACAACCAATGCAGTCTGTCATCCCAGTAGAAACCTCTGGAGTCTGGACTTTTCTGGCAGGATTTCTCTCAGTCTTCTGAGCTTTGACTAGAATCTCCCTTACAGTACAGCCTAAAGTGTTCCAGCTCTACTTTTTCATCTCTGAGTCATTCCAAACTCTTCCCACAAACCATTCCCAAAGGCTCCTGAACCACATGGTACAGTCACAGGAACCACTCCAGTTCTGGTACCAAATTCTGTCTTACTTTTCTTACTGCTGAGATGAAATAACTGACATTCAAAATAAAAAGGGTAAATGTTTATTTAGCTCAGTTTGTAGAGGTTTCAGTCCATAATCAGCTGACTCCAAGGCAAGATCACACAGGCTGATGGGCAACAGTTCATGGTAGTGGAAGACAGCAAAAGCAACAAGTGCAAAAATACAAGACAAACCTCTTTCTGTCCTTTATACTCTACCCAATTTATTGGGTACTGGATTGGGGTAGAGTGTACTGCCTTTCTTCAGAGACAGCTATCACATGACAAGTACCTAACCAACCGCTGCATCCCTTTGCAGCAGCCACTACTACCACCAGCCAGCCAACAAAAACTGCTCTTCTGAAAGGAGAAAGGAATACACGGCTTCCCAGGAACCAAATCTAATAGCCACCTCCTCTTCCTCCTTCTCTTCCTCCTTCTCTTCTTCGCCTGTGTGTGTGTGTGTGTGTGTTACTGTGGACTGAATCAGGGGTTTTATACCAAGCTATATCACCAGCCCTATTTTGATTTTTTTATATTGATATAAGGTCATGCTAAGTTGCTCAAGCTGTGCTCAAACTTGCAGTCTTCCTGCCTCAGCTGCCCAGAGTGCTAGGATTACAGGCATCTACAACCACGTCAGCTACCAGTGCCTTATTTTCCTCTAAAGTGTGCAAAAAAGACTTTCTTCTTCTTGATATTATTTCTACCATCTTGAGTGACCTTTTCTACCCTTTAGTAATTGTGAGTAGTACTACTTCAAACAAGGGTGTATAAATGTCAGTTCCAAGGCTTGTTTTCCTTTAAATACATACCCTGAAATGGAATTGCTCAATCATATGATAATTATACATTTAAGTGGGGGGGGGGTCAGAGAGAAAGAGAGAGATAGAGAAACGGAGAATAAGCAAATGAGTGAGAGAGTTTGGGGACTGAGCCCACCAAGTTGTGTCCCTCAGTAATTGAATAAAATGAATGAGTAAGCAAAATGTATGTACATACAACAAAGTATGACAAACTGGAAGATAGTTCTGGCATATGCTAAAAGGCAGGTGAGTTTTAAGGACACTTTGCCAATTGAAATGAGCCTGACACAAAAAGACACATAATGTAGATTTTAAGCCCACTAATCAATACCACTGAGCCTCTGTAATTTTTGAGAAATCACCATACTCTTTCCAACATCTTTCTTTCTGACATGAAAATATTTAAGTAAATCCACTGCAATAAAATTGGTAAATCCCACAGCCAAGTTTAAGTGATGACTAGATAATCTTCACTGTCACATTGCTGAGTGATATAATGAAGTATTGTCTTTATTGTGGATAATGTCAGTGCTTAGACCTCTGTGCATAGATTTAAAAAGTATAAACAAGAAGGAAATCAGAAGAAAGAAGGGAAGGTATAGCAACAGTTAGCACCATGCCAAATTCAGATCTTGAAGTGATGGTAACAAGCTGATCTTGCTGGTCGTGGTGGTACACAATTGTAATTTCAGCATTCAGGAGGCTGAAGCAGGAGGATTGTTGTGAATTCAAGGACAGCCTGAATGACATAGTGAAACTGTCAAAAAACCAAAAAAAAAAGAAGAAAAACCAAGCTGATCTTAGGAGATCAGCATTAAGACCTGGGATGAGGTGCTCAGAGTGCTTTGTCTCAATGCATAATCCTGCAGTTAAATCTAAGTCTATGACTACTGTGGAATTGTTACCCAGAGGCCCTGGTAACAGTCTCTACAGTCAAAGTTTCCACGCCTGGAGCAGCAAAAACAATGCCATGTACTTACGATGCATTTTTTATCTACAGCATGTGCAGAACCAGCGATGGAGCTTAGAGCCTTGGAAATACTGACTGCTCTGTTCACTAGTGTTTTAGATTTTTCTTTAGAGCATGTTTGCAGTACATGATCATGTGTATCACAAGGAGTTTGTACATATATGTAACACACCTTAATGCGTTGATCCCCTTCCTACTTGCAAAAGTTGTTTCCATGCTTTTCTTCAACTCCCTACTTCCTATTATCTTTTTGTTCTTTATATTTTGAGTTTCTCATATAAGAGAAATCATGTGATGTTTAAACTTGTGTGTCTGATTTATCTCACTTAACATTATGGTTTCAAGGTGCATTTATCTACAAATGCCTCGAGTTTATCCTTGTTTAAGGCAGAGCAGTATTCCACTGTATATAAATACCATATTTTCTTCATTTATTCATCTACTGAAAGGCATAGCCTGCTTCTAAGATTTAGCTATTATAAAATGTGCTCCTAATAAAGAAAGGTCTGCACACATAATGTTTAGAGCTTGTTATAATGTGTTGCATTTTTATTTTCTTGTCAAACCCGAAAGATGAAGAAGGCAAATCTAAAACCAGAATCTAAACACATTACCCATTTTTTAAGTAAGAAAACTGAGTTCTAGAGCTCACGATTATGTTGCTGCTGTGAAGCAGAACTAGATGAGGGCTCAGTATCTCTTCACACTCAGTCAATGGTGTGCTGGGGTAAGTCAGTTACCAAAGGTGATGCTCTAATTTTCAAGAATTTTATGACCTGGTTATTAAATACAGCCATTATTTAAGGTTAATTATATTATCTTATAATTAATTGTATTCAAACAAAGGTAATATACAAAAAACCTCAGTGCTACTTTGCTTGTTTGGGTTGTTTTTCTGGTTTGGTTTGGTTTCTTGTCTCACTTTTATAGTTAAGGCCAGCGTTGAACTCACTACATAGCCCAAGCTGGCCTGAAATACTCAGTGATCCTCCTGCCTCAGTCTACCCAGTGCTTGGATTACTAGCACGTCCCCATGCCCAGTTCAAATTCAATGCTTCTTAACAACTGTCCTACACACACTGATGCTCCTTGCCCAAAAGCGAATGCCCCTCCACTGGTATGTGATTGAGCAGGGGCAACCATCCACTTTGCCCCACATCTGCATGTGAGAGCACACAGCCAGTACTTGGAAACTGGCTTCAGTGTACTTACACTGTAGAAACAGACAGGTGCACAAACCAGGGGGCTCTGACCCCCAAAAGCCTACTTTTAAACATTTACCAGGACACCGCAAAATTCTTCTTTCTCATAGAGATCTTTGGAAGTGGGGACAGCTGCAGGTCCTCACCCATATTGGACAGGTTCTGGGACAGAGGGGATGGGTGGGGAACTCACCGCAGCTTTACGTTCTGCCCTGTGTAAGACTCATATGGCTTTTCCACGTGGGTGAACTCAAAGTCGAAGGCCTGGGACTGAGTGATCTCTCCGGGCCGAGCCAAGTCCTTCACCAGGGACACAAACTCATGGTGATTCCCGCGGTCATAATAGAGTTCTGGAAAGAGACAACACCTCTGCCATCAGATCCAAGGTACCCCAGGCCAGAGGCCTACTCGTTGGGAAGGGCTTCCCAAATAGCTCTGCTCCACATTTGTTTTTGAACTCTTTCTCTTTCCCTGACCCCTACCCATTTTCTGTATTCCCAGACATTCGTCCTCTCTTCTCCCTCCTTTCCCCAGATTCTTCCACTGTTTTTGTTTGTTTATTTGTTTGGGGGTTTTTTGTATTTTGGTGGAGGGGTGTCTCACTATGTTGCCATGGCTGGCTTTGAACGGGTTCAAGTGATCCACTTGTTTCGGCCTCCCAACTTACAAGGATTACAGGTACATTCCACAACGTCTATTTGATTCATCCCTTTTATATACTGAAATTCTGTGGCACAAAGAGAACCCATTATAATCCTAAGACGTTGCCCTCGGTAGCAATCCAGTGACTTTGCCCTCTTCCCCGCTAAAAGTAAAGAAGTACTTTTAGAAGGACAGTGGAGAAATAGCCTCACCTAGTCTCAGTGAGCAGCTCTGAGGGTTCCATACTACAAGGAATTCAATATCAAAACAGATTATCATTTTAACATCTCTAACTGTTGAAAGAATACACACCATTGTTTAATGGTATTATCCCTTAGCAATCTTGCAAGAGAGCTAGGTCAGGCCTTACTGCTCATTTAACACAAGAAAACTGAGGCATGGCATGGTTATAAGACTGGCTCAGAGTCACAGAGTTGGCTGTAGGGCTGAGATTAGAGCAGGCTTCCTCTGAACTACATCTGTATAACCTTCTATAATGAGAAGTAGAAGAGGTAATGCAGGTAAAAGATGTAGGACAGTAACTACTAGATAGCAAATAATCAATAAAGCCATGAGCTGTTATCATAAGAAAGGCAGGCATGTGATCTTTCTAACACAGATGCTTTTATGTTATTTCTCTCACTTAGATCAGCAGTCCTCAAACTTTGCATGCATTAGCATCCTCTGGAGGTTTGTTTTTGACTCAGGGTCTGGAGTAGAGCCTCAGAATGTACCTTTCCAGCAAATTCCTGGGGTGGGTGTGGGGGTATCACACTTTGAAAAACATTGCTCTAAATTCATCCTCTCCTGGAAACATTTTTTTCTCTGTGATAAGCTCATGCCATCATTTGTCCTATTTTATTTCTGTTTGCATTCAGCTATTTAAGTTTTGCTGTATCTTTCTTTCCCAGTTTGGACTGATGGCCCTCTAAAGATGAGGCTTCCTGGAGAGGCCCTATACCTGGGCTCACACTGGATGAAAGTTAATTTGGATTGTGATGACATGTGCCGACATGACAATTCAAACCACCACCCCTCATGTGTTCTTAGGTACAAGAGCTAAGCTAAGCTATGATGCATGGTAGGGCTAATGAGCTAGGAAGTGAAGCAGGCAGAGCACTCTTGATCTGCTCTGTTGTCATACTTTGATTTATCTTTTTCTATGAATACACCTTCTTTTCTAAACACTAAATGTTTAGAAGAATTTTTTTTTCAAATCGGTACTGGAGATCAAACTCACAACCACCTGCTTGCAAGGCAGGTGCTTATGCCATTGAGCCTTAGCCCAGAAGAATGTTTCTGCTGAAGGGGAGATGACGATTCCAAACTCTGTGATGAAAAGCAAGCAATTCAACCTCTGTTCTGCCTAGCCAAGTAAGAAAGTGCAGGGCTACTGCAGGAGTTTGGCCAGCCCCAGTGACAGGACTCGTACTTGACACCGGAGCCCAGGGTAACAGTGCTGGCTCCTGTGTGAGAACTGAACACTAACTGGAGCCCTGTGCCTCAGTAACCTAGTTCTAGAAGCCAGAGAAAGGCAGAGAAAAGCCCTAGTGGCCATGGCAAGTCCCAGAATCAAGAAGATGAGAAGAGAGGGATGGAAAAATACACACATAGGCTCACACAGCCAGAAGGCAACATGAGAAATAAACAAAACAGAGAAGATCCAGAGAGCACTCAGGCTGACAGCATCTGAACACTGCTAGCAACTGTACTAATGGCGCTTTGCCTGCCACAGCAGGGCACTTGGGCAGGTAAAGTTCTTTCCTGCACAACACCCCATTCTCCTGGCTGCTTTTCCTGCTATAACAGACATCAGTGTCTGCATCTGATGCAAAAGAGGGCGGGCAGTATGTGATCTGAGTAGGACTGGACTGGCCCTTTTAAATTTACAATTTATAAACTGTTTGCAATGCTTTTGAAACACTGTAAGCCAAAGAGGCAGAAAAAGCAGCCCTATCTTGCTGCTTGCTACGAAGATTGGTTTTATCTTGTATAATGCTCTTTTCTTCATTGGTTTTCATCATGATTTTATTGGAGCTAGGCAGCATGGTATTTATCATATTAAGAAAATTTCCTCACTCAGTTAAATGATTTGTGACTCCACATTTAAGGAAATAAACTATGCAAGGGAGACAAAGATAACAAGGGGGGACTTTGTGTCTCCCTTTTCCTATTGTTTTTAATTAGTACATGTTTGTTGTACATCACGTTTACATCCCTTGTGAGAGCTGAAAAATGTATGTATCAATTCTTTTTCATCCCTTTCCCTTCCCTGCTTTCTGCCTCCCCATCCCTTGATCCCTGTCCTGTTCACTAGTACACATTTGCAGTACGTAATGTACACACTCTGCTTACAGAATTGGTACATGTACGTAACGCATTTTAATTCCTTTTGCATGCCCCATCTCGTCTCCCTCCCACTCACATTCTATCTCTTGATCCTCTTCCTATTTGATAATAATCTCTCTCCCTACTTTCTATTATCAGTCTTTTATTTTATCCTTTGTTTATACTTTGTTTCACATATAACAGAAACTATGCAATATTTAAATTTGTGTGTCACTTGCATTACACTTATATTTCACTTAAATGATGGTCTCAAGGAACATCTGTTCTCCTACAAAGGATGCAGGTTCATCTTTCTTTATGGCAGAGTAGTGCTCTCCATGTGTAAATACCACATTTTATCTATTCATCTGTTGATGGATCATCTTGCATAACTTAAAAGCAAGAATGCAAAAAGTCTAGGCCCTAAAAAGACCATGAACTCCTCTATTCCATCTCTAATTATTCTCAGCCACCAAAGCCTTTGGAGACTACACATTTCCAACTAGAAAACAGGAACTGGCAGGTTTAATTTTTATCTTTTGATGGTAACTTCTCTGTCTTCAGTTTCCTTCTCAGTCCAAAAGACGGAAATAACTGTTTCACTCAGGATGTTTTACAGTAAAACCTGACACCAACAGCCAAGAAATGTGGTTGCCATTCTGAAGGAAAACAAGCCAGCTTTGCATCACAGGCCGGAATCCCGTGCTGGGACAGGGTCGTTCAGTCCAGGCTTCATGTCAATCTTAGAAGAGCTGCCTCTTTATCTGATCCTCCCAGCCCTTTGCTGGCTGACAATCTAGTCAAGATTCATGCTTGATAAGGCCCACTCAACTCTCCTGGCTCCCAGTAAACCCCCGGGAGCAGACACATCCCTAGACTGCACTCCCAGCTCTGTGATGTGCAGCTCCCCCCCAATCCCTATTGGCAATTATCAGTAGGCAAGGATTACTGTATTTAATGTCAACATGCCTTTCATTTAGTGTGCCAATGAGTACTGAATTAAAACAGCAAGTCTCTGGAAATTTTGGAAGTCTGATTGGTATTGCTGGTCCATTAAAAATTTTTTCAAGATCCAAATAAGTATCTCTTTGGCTTTTGAGTACAGGGATGTTCATAGCCTCTCTCCTCTACAAGTTTGACCTTCTAATTCTAATTGGTTTCTTTAACAGCAATTAGTTACCATGGTGGCCTGGGTCTGCCTTGCATTTTTTTTTTTTTTTTTTTTTTACAAGCATTCTCCAAAGGATTCCTGCTGGAAATGATTTTTTTTTACTTCCAACAATTCAGTTCTTTCCTTAGTGACCTGTACTGCATCTTTTAAAACTGTTGGCAATCACAGTGGGTGGAGCACCTAAACCTTACACCTTACTATTCCACAGACCTAACCTGGCAGAGTCTCTCTCCACACATCGTTGGCATTATTAGACAGAGCAAGCCATCGAAAAACATTTGCTACGTCCAGAGAGGAGACTAATGCTGTTCAAAACCTCACTGAAGGTAACTGAAACATACACAACCTAGGAGAACAAACAAGTTCTTCAGGGGCCGATTCAAACCATAACATCAAAGCCAATGACCCGCAGATCCAACAGCTCCCATTTTCTTATATATAGAAGTCAAAGGAATATGATGAAAGAAAGCCATGGCTAGGCCTGGTGGTATCCAATATAATCCTAGCACTCTGGGAGGCTGAAGCAGGAGGACTACAAGTTTAATTCTACTGAGGACAACACAGCAATTTAGTGAGATACTGCGTTGAAAATCAGGAAAACAGAAAAGGGATGGGGATGTAGCTCAGTGGGAAGGGATTCAATCTCCAGTACTGGGGGGAAGGGGAGTGCCCTGACTTGAGCTTCAGCATTTCTTACCTCCCTCCCTCAGTAAGGGTGCTACACTGGTGGGTGCCAAACTAGTCAAAAATCATCAGAGCTCCAGGACAGCATATGCAGAAAGTCCACACACTGATGGTCAACAGAAAACCAAATCCGCACTCTCTCTTTTCATGAAGGGGCCGAGGTACAGGCATGACTATCCAAGTGACTGTCCCATGTCACCAGATGGGGCAATCGTGTGTGAACCATCACTGGTGATTCCAGCTGGCAGAAATGTGTTAAAATAACTCTAGCTTTTTTAGAAGGTAAGAAAAACAAATCCAGAGAATAGCTTCTGTGAAGTCTTAGACAAATGTTTCCAGGTAACAAATACATTCGACTGAGAACTTCTACCAGTACGTACTAGCCATAGAGACAAACGGCCTTCCGAGAGGGAGGCAGACAACCTGAATAAACAAAACCAAATTCTGTTTGGGAACAGGTGTCAGTGAGGCCTGCGAAGGACACCACAGGAAGAGCTTGAGCAAGGACAGTGAGGAAAGGCCTCACTCTGGAGGTGATGCTAGCTGGGCTCTGAAGAGTGAATAACAGCATCCATGTAAGAGCAGATGTTTTACAAAGATGTTAATAGACAAAAAGAAGACACCAAAATTCTGAAAGAACAGGTGGTTTTGAGGAAAAGGGCCAGGGAAAATGAATCTGGAAAGAGAGGTAGGGGTCACCTCAGGAAGAATTTGCTGTGAACGAATAGGGAGTTGATAAGAACTTTCAGGAGGCAACTAAAATCTTAGAATTGCCTTTTAGGAAGTTCATTCTTGGGGCTGGGGATTTAGCTCAGTGGCATAAGCCCCTGCCTTGCAAGCAAGCGGTCATGAGTTCGATCCCTGGTACCAATTTAAAAAAAAAAAAAAAATCTTCAACAGGAAGTTCATTCTTACACAAGATGATGTGAAGGAGAGGGGAAAAGGCAGGAAGGTCAAGCAGGAGGCTACATACTACAAGGAGCAGCACAGAGAGTAAACAACCAATGTAGATTTTAAGATCTATACAGAAAATCTCTGTGTGGCAGTATGTGCATGTAATCCCAGCTGCTCAAAAGGTTCAGGCAGGAGGGGCAGAAGTTCAAACTCATCTTGAGGAACTTGGTTTGAACCTGTCTTAAAATTTTAAAAAAGCGCTGAGGATATTAGTGATAGAGCACTTGCCTAGAATGCACCAGGGGCTGGGTTCGGTCCCCAGTAAGGGAAAACAGATCTACTGCTGAGCTGTTACAGAGGACCAACAATTAGAAGCCAAATTTCAAGGGTGAAGACCCTAGGATGATGCCTCGATTTCTGGGGTTCAATTGACACAGGTGACACAGGCCACAGTGGAGAAACAGGAGAAGCAACAGGGTGGGATGAGGGGTTTGGTGTGTGTGGAAGAACTGGGCATGGCTCTGTTTTGATGCATCACTGAGGCAGCTGAAGTATGTCCAGGGGGACATATCCAGCAGACAGCTGAAAAGACAGAGAAGGGATGGGACAAAGCCCCACTTCTCCCAAAATCCCCATCCAAAATCAGCGATGAAGGAAGTCAGGGCTCAATGATGTCACCTTCTTACCTTCCTAGGTCACCCATACTCAAACAGACCTCAGAACACATCAGAAGCTCCACCCACTTGATACACGAAGAATGCAATGAAGAAGAAAACCACAGGACCACAATTTCAGCAGAGTTACCCAGCTGTCTCGCTCTACCGCCCTGAGGTTTCATCAGAATGACTGCCTTAAGTACACGACACAATACCTCATGCCCTGCTTCTGGAGGAACTGAGAGGTCGAAACAGAAAAAAAAAAAAAAAAAAACAGTTTTCTAAGCAAAGTCACTTTGTGCTCCCAGTTTTAAGAATACAAATTCCCTTTTATATCAAAGTTAACCAGAAAGACTTTTCTTGTATTTTGTTCTTCATCAAGAAATATATCCCATAGGTCATGGGAATATATCCCACCACCCTGGGAAGCTGAGGTAGGAAGAATGTTAAGAGTCCAGCCTAGGCAACTCAGCAACTCAGCAAAACTTTGTCTTGAAATAAAAAAAAAAAATTTATAAAAGGACTTGGGAGTGTAGTTCAGTGCAAATATCCTGGGTTCAATCCCCAAATTCCCAGTAACAATAGAACAAAAAGAAAGAAAGAAAGAAGCACCCCAAAGCCCAATAGTAAGAAATATGTCATCGATTGGTCTGCATATTATTCGATTTCTCTTTTTTCAAGGAATTATGGATAACTGGGAATGGAGGTACACAGCTGGGACTGGCTTAATATGCAACACCAGGTGGAACTGGTTCCCATGGCAGAACCAAGTGCTTAAAGGCCAAGAGCCAAGATGTGCGCGCTCTCTACGTACACAGGGAAATCTAACTGGGAATAAGAGGTATAAGGGAAAACAGGAAATCAGTTAATACAATAGAACTTGTGAAACAGCAATATTGCTCTATCAACTACTATCATTTTTGTAAAAAGAATCCTGTATAAAGTACATGAGACAAGATTCCTTGATATGCTCAAAATAATTACCAAGTGATTTTATTTTCCTTGCTTTACACTTGAGGCCCACCAAGAGGCTTAACTTTCCCAGACTCTCATGGACAACTCAGCCCAGAGCACCCAAGAGTGTAGGAAGAATTAGCAGTGGAAGCAACAAAGGTTTTTAAAAAATTCAGTAAGAATGACATCTTGGAATTAAGGAGATGGATAAGAGACCAGGTGAGATACACACATCAAATAGTCCCCTCAACTCCCTTTCATTTACACCAGACGGATTTCTGTTCGAATGGCTCATTTTATACTGCCTGGCTCCCAGAGATATTAGTTTATCCTCCACATTGGCAAAATCCACTTGGAAGGGATGGAATAAAACAAACTAAATGTGCTTGTCTATGCTGGTATTATGGAGAAAAAGAAATGATGCAATAACTTTAAAACTCCTACCTGAAAATACCAGTTCCCAGTCAAGAATATCTCAACTATTTCATGTATTACATGCAACATTACATGTTTCTATCTTGTGAAATCTGTGGTTCTTTACAAAGGCTAATTTTACCTTCCGGGGGGCCATACAGCAACATAACAGGACAGTTTTGTGGTTACCAGTCAGGGTATCTCTGGCATCTGATTGGTACAGACTGGTGATAAACAGCTAAAAACCTGTTACAATAAAGCCTTACCAGATCCTAAGTGTCAATAGCACTGCTGTTGAGAAGCCCTACCATCTGAGCCAAAAGCAGAAAAGCAGAAGGCATGACACCTATTCTCCAACGCCTTTTCTAGTACAGTAACAAGGTTGCCTTTAAAATAGCAATAGAAAGGTTCCTAAAGATCAGTCAGCCTTTAACCTGATTTCATTTTCTTAAGTATCACAGGCAAAGTTGTTTGAAACTAAACAATAGACTACAAGTTTAGGCTGCCAGGACTCCTTTTGCTAGGGTTTCTCCTACCTGTGTCTGTACTTCCTGCCCCTATAAAAGGAAGAGCACAAATGTTTTGCTGAACTCTCAGGATATGGTAAGTTCCATACCCACTCCCAAGGAAGTCTCCAAATCAGTGTCATATGAGTGGGGTACAAGGTACAGATTCCCTGCCAGAGACCTCTGCAGCCCACTATGTATTCACTGTAAGCCTACTCTTGACCTCCTGCCAAAAAGTGATTAATTTTAGAAATACCTGAGTGTTCTGGTAACATACATGTCTCCAAATAATTTCTGAATTGGAAATAACTGAATCTTGTCAGGCAGCTCCCAAATCTCCCTTATTGTTACTGCCTCTGGATGTCTAGGTCCCATGATTAAGAACTGTGCTTGAAAGTTGTTATGGAGCACTGAGAAATAGTGATCATTTATTGCGGCTTTAGAAACATCACTTCTTTGTCTTTAAGAAGAAAATCAGATGACTGAATACTAGCACTCTAATAACGGTTTGAGAAATGCAGTTTAGGTAGGCAGGCAGAAAGAGGCCTTCTTTTAACACCAAGCACAGGATAGGTAGTTCTGATCTGAGCGGAGATAAGGGAGCTCTCTCAAACACATCTAAAGAGAAAAGGGGCGTGGGTGAGGGCGCAGCTTAACTCCAGGTCTGAGGGCTGCAGCTGACCAGAGATGAGAAAGCCAGTGTGGAAGCTCGGTTTCTGCTAACAAACCCACCTGCAGTCTAAGGCTGGAGCACTTCGCTCACAAATCCTGGGGGCAAGAAGCATCTTCAAGCACGCTGAGGACACTACGGGGAGACCCACGGTTCAGGTGTCCCATGGATGGTACACTTGGGTGCTCTCTCCCGCCCCTGCTGGCCCCACCTACCTGACAGTGAGTGGCAGAGAAGACTGTGAGGCAAGGGGAGTCGCCCACGGGCAGTACCCCAGGCTTCGGAATGCAGCTGACAAGAGACCTTGAGCCCGGTTGGAGCTGGGCCCTCTAGTTCCGTTCTCCCCCAGCCCTTGTTCAGGCCCCGGCCAGGAGGATGGTGCAGGGGGAGGGGAGGTTCCGGGGGTCGACTCACCAATCTGCCCGATGAATTCGATCTTGATGCCCTGGTGCTCCAGCCGCTTGTTGGGGTTCTTAAGCGCGAGGCTCACCTTCCCGGAGACGGTCTCCCCGTCATAGAAAAGGAAATACTTCTCCTTTTTGCCGTCCTCGGTCTTGTGCTCCGCTCGCTTTCTACTCTCCGCATCGTTCAGCAGGATTTCCACCTCCACGCTCTGCCCAAAGCCGAAGAAGCTCATCGCTCCGCCGGGCCGCGGCGAGCCGGGCTCCCCGAGGTCGGCTCCCGCCTGCTGGCGCGGGCTGCCCTAGGGAAGGAGGACGAGGGCCCTAAGGGAGCGCGCTCGGCCGCTGCACCACAGCTTGGCTCGCCGCGGCCGGGCGAGGGGCAAGGGTCGCCCGCAGCCCGGGAAGGGAGACAGGGCAGGGCAGAGCAGGGCAGGGCAGGGTAGGGCCTGGAGGCCGGGATGGGCTGCCGCGTCCCCAGCAGCGCTGCACGGAGGAGCGTCGCGTCAGTCCGGAGCAGCTGGCGGCAGCTAGCGGACTAGGGTCGACTGTGCAACTCTAAAGAGGGCAGCGGCGTGGTGCGTTGAGTCCACCTTCCGCCTCCCACCGAGTGGGGATTAGCGCCTAGCAGCAAGGAAAGCAGCACAGACTCCCACGGCGAATCGCACCGAGGTGTTTCGCTGCTCTGGGCGGAGAGGGGGAGGCGAGATCCAGCTCGATGCGCTAGGGATACCACACGCATGCGCAAGACTTTCTCTCCTACTCCAGCCTCCGGTGCTACTGAGGTGTGCTCACTGCGCATGTGCAGCGGGAGAGCAGCGTCCTCTCCCTCAGTAGACATGACAGCCCCGTCTTCTTTGCAGTACAAGTTGGGCCCAGACGTTCTGTTAAATACAAAGAAATGCAGGCATATTCTGGGGATGCTTTCCTCTTATGGTTTAGATCGGTAAACACTGGGTTATCAATCACACTTGACATGCAACTTCCGGGAGCTGGGTGACGCGGTGCTGGTAGCCCTTTGACACGCGCGCAAAAAGCAGCTTGATAGGGAGCAAAGGTGACTGTTATGACAGGGAACATTCTGTTTGAAATTATATTTCCTCTTGTTAGGAAAAAAAGAAGCGGGAATGAAGCTACAAGTTTAAACAGAGCACCTGGGCCCTTCTTGTCACAGAAAGCAGTAAATACACCACCCTGCGGAACGTCTCACGACCTCCACTCCTTGCCCCGCCCCTATTCTTTGCGCATGCGAAGGCGGACAACCTCCGCGGTTGGTGAAAATAATGAAACCGGTTCGTCACACTGATTGGTCAGTTGGAAATTCTGCAAGCGGTTATTGGTCCTCAAGAACGTCTCGGAGCGCGCGCGGGAGCGAGCTTTGAAAGTTGAGCACGGCGGTGGCAGAAGGGTATCTCTGGGATCATGGTGGCGCTGCGGGGCCTTGGGAGCAGCCTGCAGCCTTGGTGCCCAGTGGACCTCAGCCCGGGTGAGGAGACGCAACCGCGAGTCCCGAAGCGCAGGTTGCGGTGCGTTGCGTCCCCGGCCGCGCCTCAGCCCGGGCCGGGGTGGGGGAGGGGAGTTGCTGGCGTAGTGTGAAGTCCGCAGGATAGCCCTGCAGGGAAAATAGCTGAAGTTGGTTGATCTCCATGCTTGAGTCTGTTTTCCTAGGCTGCCCCCTCGTACTCTACAGGTCTCCCATAGATGTGGCGATTTTTATCTGTTCCAGTGGATCTGAGATCTCTTTCTTAAGCCAGACTAGTTTCTTGACTTCCTGTTGGTATGTCCGCTAGATGGTTCGAACGCAGATATCGTCACAGGAATGGAGCTGGTATTCCCGCAGCGAGCTACTGGCATCAGCTAGGCCATTAACGCGGGTGTCTTGTCCTTCGTTCTTTCCCCCTCTTAGCCACCACCACAGGATGTCCTGCCTCCCAGATCCAAGCCCACATAGTCAACCTGGGCAGTTGCAGGAGTACCTTAGCAGCTTTTGGATGCTAATTTCCTGTGAGAACCTAATGTTAGGAATGATGTGACTAAAGGCATGCGGATGACTTTAGTTGACAGTGGAATTGGACAGCTAATTCTTTCCAAATTTGACAGTACTGTGCTTCATATGCAAAACCAAAACAAGAAGTGAGATGCTGGTGCTCCATTATCACCCTCTAATGTCTGTACCAAGCATTGACACATTTACTGGAAATGCAGTGATGTACAATTGTGTTCTTAAGGTTTTATGTTAGGCAGCATATTGCATATCTTTTGGAAGGACTGCTATGCCAAGTCACTTGAGTACAGGGACTTCCTTAGGGTTAAGCTCAAGTGACAAAAAATGATGCCCAGGTTTTATTATAAGAAGGATGGAATTAGTTAACCGTCATGCTTTTCATTTGCTAAGTGCAATGTTAACACCTATAATCATGGAATAAAAAATAAAAGTGGCAGCATCCCATCTCTTTTGCATATCCTGCTCAGCTTCTCCAAATCAGTGACAAAAATATTAATTTGAAGTACTTGACAGGTAATTTTTCTGAGATATCCACGTTTTTATCTAGTCCCAGTTTTAGCTGTGAGATAAAAGTGAAAACACTGAAGAAAAATAGCTGGTTAAAATGTATGATAAGGGGGCTGGGGATTTAGCTCAGTGGCATAGGCGCCTGCCTTGCAAGCAGGCAGTCGTGAGTTCAATCCCCGGTACTGATAAAAAGGAAAAAGACCAAAAAAAAAAAAAAAAAAAAAAGTATGATAAGGCCTAGAGTTAAGAGAGCTTGGTGTAGAATCTAGAGAGAATGCGATGTTAATGCATTTTTCCCAGTGGTGAAATTGCTGAGTATTTCTGTAGGAGTCAGTTTAAACTTCTTGGGGAAAATGATACCTGTTTTATAACATGGTACATTGTTGTGTAATGGCCCAGAAAAGCACCCCACAATATGAGATTTTTCACAGTAGTGAATGTGAAACCACCATTGGTTAATCTCTTATCTAGAATTTATGGAAAAGGTTATCTGTTAAGTATGTACAATTTATGGTTAAGTATCTAGAATTTATGGAAAAGGTTATCTGGTAAGAATAGAATTTATGGTTAAGTATCTAGAATTTGTGGAAAAGGTTATCTGTTGTGTGTAAAAATATCATTTCCCAAAACTGTTCTATCTAAAAAGTGTTTTGTTTCTTGATGTTTTTAGATGATTAAGAGCAAACTCTGTTATGATTAGGAAAAAAGATTTTCTTTACACTTACTATTTTTAGTAATGCTACACCTGTATTGCAGTAATTAAATGAGAGCTGTGACTTTTCTGAAGTGTGCATGCAGTCTAAAAGTGATTAGTTTTTGTTTTGTTTTCTGAGACAAAATTCTCACCATGTAGTGCAAACTGAATTTTAACCCACTACATAGACCAGGCTGGCCTTCAACACTGATCTTCCTGCCTCAGCCTTCTGAGTGTTGGGATTGCAGGAATACACAGGCCATGCCTGGCTTAAAGGTGATTGGTTTTCAAGTGGTTTTGAGTACTTTTTAATGTGGTTGCATTTTCTTCTAGAATGGGTGGACACAGTCTGGGAACTGGACTTTACAGAGACTGAGCCTTTGGATTCCAGCATAGAAGCACAGATCATAGAGACTGAATTGAGTGCGTTCACAAATCTCTATGAAAGTCTTTTCCCCTTTGCCACTGAAGAATGTGGATATTCAGAGGTAAAGAAAAAGCAGTCAAGCTAGCCACATTTAGGTAGATGATGAGAGTCATTATTATTATATTTTAATTTTAGCTTTTTTTAGCACGTAGTTCAAAAGGAATAAAGAATGTGATATGCTCATTGAACTGTCTTACCTTTTTACCAAAAATTTCGATACTAGTCTGATATTTTTAATGTGATGTTAGCTAATAATATCTCTGAAATATTCAATAAATTTCTTATTTTTATCTTTGTAATTTTGAATAATAAATTATTTTTTTCATCTCTTGTTTTAATCCTTTGAAGGTAATAATCATTTATTATTAATTTATCATTAGAAGCCAGACTAACAGACTTCTCTATTACTTTGTTTTGGTGCTGGGGATCAAATGCCACATGCTAAGTACATGTACTACCATTGAGTTACATCTCCTGTACTTGTTATTCTTCTTGTGAGGCACTAAAAAATACTTAAAAAAATCAAAGAAGATATTTTTGCATTCCTCTTTAATTACTGGGTTTCATGATTTGCTGTCTCCCTCCAGAGCATTTGGACTTTTTTCACTGAGAATAGTATTTCCCATAGTACACTGGTGGCATTATTCCATCACTTTGTTCAAATAGTACATAAGAAAAACATCAGTGTGCAGTATCGAAAGTATGGCCTTCATGCTGCTGGACTTTATTTTTTGCTTCTCGAAATACCAGGTATGTATACAGTTGGCCCACCATATCAGTGGGTTCTGCATCTGTGGGTTCAACCACCTGTAGATGGAAAATACTTGAAAAACATTACAGGTTACTCACATGTACTGTGGTTTAAGCATATGAAGATTGCTTCGATATTGAATGTGCCCAGAATCTTTGTCATTATTCCCAAAATAATATAGTGGGCAACTAGTTATATAGCATTTCCATTGTATTAGGTATTATAAGTAATCTAGAGTTGATTTGTAGGATGTGTGTAGGTTAGTTACAAACACTTGAAAGAAAACACCAAAATGGAATCTACTTACGACTATTCTCCTTCCTCGTAGTCATATTTGTTAGCATTTAGGTGGCTGGGCAATGTAAATGTGCCTTGTCCTCTGTTGGCCTAAATCTGAGCCAGAAAGAATAGAGTGTAGAGATGGAGCTTGAGAACCATAAGTTCTTAGGGTTGAGAAAAATCAGAGGGCTAGTAATCTTGCTGTTCGTCATTGTTTATATGAATACATTTTAATAAATTAAGCAGTTTATTCTCTGTGATTTGGGAACATGTAAAAAGATGTTCAGCGTCTTGAAAAATGATGTGTTACCGTGAATGCTCCCATAATGACTTTTGTAATAAGTTTCTAAGAACTTAGTGACTAAGCACTCTAGTATCTTAGTTGTATCTAGGCTGTCTCTTAGAAAAATAGTAGGCCCAGGGATACAGCTCAATAGCACAAGGCCTGCTTGGCAAGTGCAAGGTCCTGAGTTCAATTCCCAGTACCTAAGTAAATAAATAGTTTTAGCAATTGAGTTTTATTCCTCCTCCCTGGCCAGAGGTGCTTTCTTCTGATGAAGATCAGTACTCAGGCCAGAGCAAGAGGTGGCTGTTACCAACTGTGTGGACCACTGTCGGCAAGCTGTTTTTGGCCAGTTGCCTTCTATTTCTAAGTGTTTCTGTATTATGATCTAGATACTCTTGATTCTTGATACTTAAGATCATTTTCGCTATATCGAGTCCCTTGCATTTCTGTGAATTTTAACATCTGCATGTGAATTTCTGTCCAAAAAAAAGGCAGCTGAGATTATGACAGAGACTGTACTGAATCTAGATAGGTTTAGGCTAAGTTGTTGAGTATCTGGATTTTGTGGCTCTCTTAAGTAGTATTGAAGTATGTGCTGATACATCACAGTTGCTTGTGGAGTAACGTGATCCTTTTGAGACTTTTAAAAACTGCTTTAAGGTAGTTTAAGGTAGCTTTGATTCTATATTTAGCTAAGCCTTATTACTAAGGCGTATTTCCTGTAAGGTCTGTACTGAATGCTTCGAATTTTTAAGTCTTTTCACTGTGGCTGGTGAGTGCTTAAATGTGTCTCAGCTCTGAATTTTAAAAATAATTCTCTTCTGGTTTCTTGAAAATAGTTCTTTTCCTACCATGATAAAGTTTTACTACATATATGTGTAGCTGATACGCGTTTCTGTACAGATTCTGGGCTGGTTTTTTTTTTTTTTTTTTTTTTTTGCACTCCAGTTCCTTCAGTGCCACATGTATTCCAACTACCCCTGACTTTCTATCTCAGATTTTTCAATTTAGCAAGATCTTCACAATCTGCTTTGATTTACTCTTTCTCTGCTGTTGTCTAGAAGTTGCTGCTAGATATAAAAACTGTGTCAGTTTTACCTTTATTCTTTGTTTCCCTTTTTTCAGGGATTGGTTTTCTTTTTCTTTTTTATTGGTACCGGGGATCGAACCCACTGCCTGCTTGCAAGGCAGGTGCTTATGCCGCTGAGCTAAATCCCAAGCACTGGGATTGGTTTTCTTACACTGCCTGTTACTTGGTGTCTTAAATTTTTTATTGTTTTTATTAGCCAGGTTGCTTACCAGTAGAAAGACAAGTATAAAACCAATTGCTCTGCTGTAGCCACATGCAGAAATCTGTTTGTTTGTTTATTTAATTTATGCAGTACTGTGGATTTAACCCAGGGCCTCTGCTCTGAGATTCTTCCCCAACTCTTCTGAATTAGAACTTGCAATCTTCCTGCCTCAGCCTCCCAGAATGCTGGGGCTACAAGTATGAACCATCACACTCAATTCTTATTTAACACCATCGCTTACCCTTCAGTCTGAAGTTGAAAAGGATGTTTTTATTAAAAATCATTGTTACTCAAAATTAGTAAAAATCTTTTTTGCTTTTCTTTCAATTTTTATCTGTTGTTAATATGCATGTTTCAAGACAATTTAATCCACTTATTCTTTGTTCTTTATGGCCAGGCAGTGTAGCCAATCAGGTGTTCCACCCAGTAATGTTTGACAAGTGCATTCAGATTTTAAAGAAGAGCTGGCCTCAGGAATCTAACTTAAATCGGAAAAGAAAGAAAGAACAACCTCAGAGCTCTCAGGTTAATTCAAAAGGAAGCAGAAAGAGAGGAAAGCCACACAGGAAAGACGTTGCTGAGGTGAGAAGTGAGGGGAATTTACACCAACACATAATTTTCATTTGTTTTAAGGATAAGGTTTTAAGTGCTGTGACTATAACTAAAAGGTCCTAAATTCTCATTGCTATCCAGTATGACTTGCAGCCTATCCAGCCTCCCTGCTGGACTTGTTCCCAGATGTGCTTGGCACCATGCTAACTGGTACATTTGCCTTATTATTGTGACTAGAGGGCAGTTGAAGTATTGTGAAGGTCATGTCGCTAAGAACATAGTAGAAGAGCGTGATTTCCACGTTCTTGTACAACAAGATTGTACAGAAGAGGTTTATTGACATTAAAACTTATAAGAAATACAGGAATTCTCATTAAAAAAAGAAAACAGAGGTAGAAACTATGGTAGCAATCATCTAGTCCAGTGATTTACCACTGTGGCTATGGACCTAGAATGGTGAAGGGTCCTGGTCATGGTCCTGTCACATCAGTGGTTCAGTTGGCATCTGGAGTTCAACTGAGCATGACTTGCGTAAAGTACACCTTGGCGTCATTGTATGGTCACCTGTATAACCTGGACTTTTCATAATCTAGATGGATGAAATCATAGAGGAAGAAGAAGATGATGAAGAGAATATTTATTTTTCTGCCCAAGACCTTTCTCAAATTCGAAATGCTATCTTGCACCTTCTGAAGAATTTTTTAAGGCTTCTGCCCAAATTTTCTCTCAAAGAAAAGCCACAGTGTGTTCAGACTTGTATCGAGGTAAGTGAACTTGGGGCAACTTCAGAGGACATAGATTGGCCATTGCTAATTCTTACTAAGTAGGAAAAAAATAAGACCTTTCTTCAATGTCTTTTCCAGGTCTTTGTTGCATTAACTAGTTTCGAGCCAGTTCTTCATGAATTTCATGTTATACAAGCCAGGTGAGCCATTAAAATTTCCAAGGTTATAATTTAAATACAGTATAGTAGTTTTTCTTCAGTAGAACTGTGTCATTTTATTCTAATTGGCATATAGGTAGAATTTACTCACTTAAACAGGGCTAGGCTTAGCAGCCTTCTGAGGTGGCACATGCCTAAAGCCCCAGCTACTTGAAAGGCTAAGGCAGAAGGATTACTTGAGTCCAGATGTTTAAAGCCAGGCTGGCCACTGCATCCAAAAATAGCAACAATAATAATAAGGTTTATAGAGTTAAGAAATATTCCTAGTAAAATCATATCTATTAACAAGTGTTTTGCCTTTTTTCTTTAGAAACCTTAGCCAAACAAAATATATACCAGAACTGGCCTACTATGGATTATATTTGCTGTGCTCCCCATTTCATGGAGAAGGAGATAAGGTAAGAGAGGATGATCTAATTTAGTTACCAGCTGAAAGCAGACAGATCACAAGGTGGAAAGTTGGAAAATATAAAAGCATTTGGAATTCCTTTTTGTTAGCGGTGTCATTTTCCAACTCTGCAGTCAGCCACAGATAAGAAGCATGAGTACACTGCCATAAGATATTTTAAGAGACCACATTCACAAAATTTTGGTTACAGTAGAGTTTTACTTCTATTGGTCATTTTGTTTAATCTCTCATTGTGCTGGTCAGATTTTACCACAGGGAAGAACACAGTATATTTGTAGGTTTTTGGTACCGTCCACCAAAGTCTTGGTGTGTATCCTCCTAAGGTCAGTGGCAACTACTACAATGCCATTTTATGTTACTGTCACATTGAGGGCCTTATATTATTTGTATAATAAAAATTAGTGTACTGTCTGGTCTTTGTTACTAGGTTTATATCCTGTGTACTTGGAGATCACAACAAATTGTTAGGTTTCAGACCAAAAAACAAACAAAAAGAAAAAAAAATGGTTCTAGTATGAAATAGGAAGAATAGATAAGCTGTTGAAGTTGCCGTTATAGAAACAGTCATCAAATTATTCTAAAAAAGAAGACTAAAATGTCGAAGAATTTTCAGGTTTCCCTTGGCAATTCGTGTGTACTTCGGGGTATCTGTTAGTATTTGTATTAATTTAGCTGATATTGTATAGCATTTTTATGGGTTTTTATTCCTAGTTAGCACTGATATCTTGATGTTGCCCCTTACATTACCTACAATAAACATTGGACCTAGGGAATTCATGCATTATAGTATTTTTAAACTTAGATATGCTTAATAAATAACAAGACTTTGGAGAAAATGATGTGCCTGTGGCTTTTGGTGGCTATCGCAGTTAATTTACAAGAACATTTAGGGATTATAAGGAAGAAATAAGGATGTGCTTGAGGTTCTGTACACCTATATTTCAGTTACTCCTCCACTGTTTACTAGCTCTGTTTCCTTGTGTGAGTTATTCAACTCAGTTCTAACATTTAACCACTTAAACAGTTTACTCCGAGAGTTGCTCGGCAGCACGATAGTTTACGTACTGCCTCCCCTACGTCACTGTCACTGGTGTTCTTTCAGCCAATCAGTTCTTGTTTTACGAGATCCACTCATAATCTGTCTATTTTATGTCAGCTATTTTTGCATAGTTTTTTATTTACAACGTTGTATTAGCCTATATATAGGCTAATATATAGCCTAATAAGAGGAAGTTCCTATTATTTTCTTTTACTAATTTGCGTTTATTTTATTTGTGAAAAATAACCTGTAATTTTATGCTATAGTCTGTAAAATCTCTTAACATAAGTATAAGAGATAAAAGTTTTGTATGTCTCCACAACTCTGGTAGTCTTTTATGCTACAGAACTGACACATTTGGGACACTGAGACTGAATAGGAGGGAAGTGCCAAGAGATCTGCAGAAGAGAAAAATTGAGAAAAAGAAATGTTAGCAGATCAGAGAGGAGATGTCAGTTAGGAAGTGGAAAAGACAAAAGGAACATCTCCTTATCATCAGCTCTTCCTAATGCAGAAATGGTAGAACTTGAAGAAACAAAACTTTAAAATTTCTAGTAGTGATCAGTGATTATAATTCTATCAGCGATGTTGTCTGAGTTGACCAACATCTAGCAAGCTTTTCTGTAATCAAAAAGTAAGAAAAAAATTGTAAAATACTTAGCACCTTTTGGACCAAACAATATAAAACTGGTTTGTGATTTATGCAAAACTCAAGATGTTTAAAAAGCCATATAATTTAGATTATAGTTTAGATTAGGTCCAAGAGATAAAATAATTGAAAAATACAGGGTAGTGAAATGCCATCCAGGGTGTCTGCACCATCACGTTTAATGGGGAGACTTTTTTTTTTTTTTGTCTTTTTCATTTTTATCGGTACTGGGGATCGAACTCACGACCGCCTGCTTGCAAGTCAGGCGCTTATGCTGCTGAGCTAAATCCCCAGCTCCAATGGGGAGACATTTTATAGAAATTGTACCACCTACAGGAAAAAAGGAAAGGTCAACACCAAAGTGTAAAGTGTGTTTTTTAAAGAAAGACAGGATGCAAAAAGAATTCCAAAAGAGACTAGATACCACTGTCCAGATTATAACATTGCTTTGTGTATTGAATGTTTTACAGCATACCATCCACAGAAAAGTTTTGATAAAGTTGTCATTTTTATACTTCGGTTAACTGAAAAATATGCAAATTTGGTCATCTTCTATTTAAATTAAATATGCCAAATGCTGAGTGAAATGCTTGCTTAGAAAATGTTCAGTATTTTATAATTATATATAATTTGTGTGCTTAAAATATGGAGAAGATATAATCCACAGAAATATTTCTATGTTCATGTGCTTTTTAACATTTGAAAAGATAAAATGGGCAGGAAAATTTCCTGTCCTTTTAGTTGGGAGAGTTAGGGAACCTTGATTTAACCAGATCTTTACTTCACCAGACAACCAGCTCACCAGGGGAGTTTCTTTTGTAATCTGTAAGTAGATATTGTACATTGTCCTGTGTGCCTCATGGAGTTGTTGAAAGACTTGAAAGTTAAAGATATTAAAGTTTGGCTATATGAAAAAAGAAAACTTAATGTACTACCTGCTACATATTTTGATTTTAGTAAAGGTTTTGTCAGATGTATATATTAGCCAGTTGAATAAATTATATGAGGTAACATATAAGTTCTTTGTAAATTTCAGGTGAAATATAACTAAGGTATTATTCTTTCCCCTTTTTTAGAATAAGGGAATACTAGTGGCATTCTTTACTGTTCATAAGTAGCAGTTCTCTGCTTGCCCTCAGTTGTAGATTATATGCAGCAAATGGGGAGAGAAATTAGATAATGTTCTATGAATAGTTATTTCACACATTGTACATTTGTTCGGTACCTAGTAATTATCCAAGAAATACATCCCTAGTTTTCAGCTAGAAATTCTGTTAATCTTGCCTATCCTCAGATGTTTTACAGTGACTTACAGTAGCGCCATCAGAATCTCCTGTGGGTAACCAGTATGTACCAGGAGAAGCAGCCAGCCCAGCCCCCACGTGTACACAGGCAGCCCAGCTTCTGTGTACACATAGGCCACCTATCTGATTCTCCTGCCACTAGTCAGTGCAGACTGGGAGAAGCAGCCAGCCTTGGAGAAATGATAAGGGCCTGGGGAAACCCACCCTACACCCCACTGCCTCCTGGGGAATCTGGGTTAGGAGAAACCCAGATGCCTGACCCATCCTCCTACACTATGGACAGGTAGCCAACGTGGGAAGTGCCTGGGACCCCACCACACATTGGTCCAGAGGAACTCATGAAAATGTCAAGACAAAGAGTAAACAATGATCTCTGGCTTCCAGCCCAGAAAGAACAAGTCCAGCAGACATGGACATGAAAGAAAGCACAAGTTGCATACCTGAAATTTCCGGGATGATGGCAACTGAAGTAGAGAAACTGCTTCATAGATCACAAATAGTATCTCAGGTAAGAGAAGAATGACAGCCATAATAAGAGGATTGCTGAACATATCTAAAGAAGACACTGATAAAAATAAAAGCATAGAAGAATGAGGGAAACCTTGAATGAACAATATAGAGAATTGTAATGCACGAAACAGACTCATATCCAGGAAATTCAAAACTCCATTGAAAGCTGGCAAAACCATTTGAAAGTAACTGAAGATAGACTTTCAGACCTTGAAAACAGAATGGCAGCTAGTGAATAGTGAAAGGAACAATCTCTTAAAAATAATAAGGAACCAGGACATAATTCAATGGCTGCAAGATAGCGCAAAGAAAAATAATATGAGTGATAGGTGTCAGCGAAGAAACAGGAGTCAACACAAATGATATAGATTATTTACAGAAGTCATAAGCAGAGAACTTTCCAAGCGTGGGAAAAGCAGCTGACATACAGATAAGTGAGGCATGTAAAACCCCAACCAAAGTAAATCTACACTCAGATATATAATAATCAAGATCCCAGAAATTCAGCACAAGAACAGGATATTAAAGGCTGTTGGATAAAAGAAACAGATCACCTATAAAGGAAACCCATCAGAATCAAAACAGACTTCAAAACAAACATCGAGTCAAGAAGAACTTCGAGTGAAGTATTTTAAGTCCTGGAAAAAAAGAACTTCCAATCCAGACTAATGTACCTTGCAAAGCTATCTTTCAAAATTAATGGAAAGATAAGATACTTCCATGACAAAGAACAGCGGAAAGAATTCATGACCACCACACCAACCTTACAACGAGTACTAAAGGACATTTTAGAGAGAGAGAAAAATGACCCCAATCCTAGGCCCAGCAGCAGAGTGGGATTACTAAGTGCAGCAGACAGTTAAATGGAAGGGGAAAATAGAGAGCCAGTGGTAGGAAAAAAGCATGGCAGAGACAAGAGCCAGTGCATTTTAGGTGTAATTAGCAATTAATGTAGATGGCCTTACCAATAAAAAGAAACAGGCAAAGTGGATTACGAAACAAGATCCATCAATATGCAGTATAAAAGAAACACATTAACCCAAAAGGAAATTCATAGATTGAAAGTCAAAGGAAAAAAAACAATGCTCCATGTGACAGGGAACCAGAAAATAGCGGGGGCAGCTTACGCATCATCTGCAGAATGGATAAGAAAGGTATGGCATTTTTATACACTGGAAAGCTACTCAGCTTAAAGGATGATCACCAGGCTCTTGTAGGTAAATGGATGCTACTTGTGATAGTGCTTTTAGGCAACATGGTTCAGAGTCACATAGGTGAATGTCATGTGGTCTCCCAAGTATAAAAACTGAAGGAGTTAGTGGGATCCAAAATGTACACTAGATGTTGTGAAAGTGAAAGGGGAAGAAACATCTAAAAAGAGAAGGTGGTAGCCATTGTCAATTTCTTATTTGTTTTAAGATCCTGTATCATTGTTGATTGGTTTTATTGTTTTATTTGGTTTGATTTGATTTGATTATATCTGATGACATGGGCAGCTATTTCAAAGATAATAAGATATATTTTGGTAGCCATTGTTGATTACTTATTATCTTGTTTTCAAATCTTTTATCACTTTCACTGTTTTGATTGGTTTTATTGTTTTAGTTTTAATGTGTCTGATGGTATGGACAGCTATTTCAAAGATAACAAGCATTGTGACAGCCATTGTTGATTTCCTATTATCTTGTTTTTAAATTCTGTATCAATTTCACTGTTTTGTTTTGATTAGCTTTATTTTAATAATAAATGGAATTTTTAAAAATGTGAATTACTGTACTCTGCATTACTGTCTTTGAGATCTTTGGATTTTCTTTCATGCATAAATTGAATTTTCTCTTCTCTTCTAGGTTATTGGTTATATTTTTCATCGAATGCTGAATGTGTTACTGATGTTGGAAGTAGGTGAAGGATCCTATCACCCCCCTCTTACTATTACTGCTCAAGTTATCAATCGTAAAAATCAGGCAGTCCAGTTTATCAGGTGAAGCACGCAGATCTTAAATGTTTGTTGTCTGTCACATTGCTTCAGACTTCTGGGCCCCACACTAAGCAAGATGTCTGATACCTAGAGTTGAAATGTTTGGCCTGATGGTGGTTTTGAATGTCAAAATAATCTGGGTCATGTGATCTAGATCACTGATGGCAGCCCCTACGTCAAGACATTGTTAAAAAGATAGAATACCCCCAGCTCTTGAGCAGAACCAACTGTAGCTTAAGTCCATGTGTCATGTGCAGTCAGCCTTTGAGAAAGACAGTTCCTTTCTTTTTCTTACCACTGTCTGTGTAGGTCAGTGTAGCAAACCTTTTAGAGAACGAGTGCCCATCTGCCACCCAAAATCCACGTGTTTATTACAAAGTGCCAACTTTGCAGTTGAACCTGAATCTTCAAGTTGTAGTTTACAAAAAAAAACAATTTCTACATTAACATCTTTTGTCCTAAAATCTCAGTAACACATGTGCTATAGGTTCACCACTACTAGCTTGGGTAGTCCCGTCTCCAGCAGAGATAGAAGTCTGCATCCTCTCCTCTTTATGTTTCTTTAGGCCCTTCTCTTTGCCTTTGTTCCTTGCCCCTTTTTCCTCACTTCTTCTCACTTTTCTAATCCCCTTTCCCTAGAAGAAAGAAGGAAATTACTTTTGCTTCCTTAGCAATAAAATGATAGACTACCTTTTCCTTTTAAGTCACTCAGCTCCACCTATAAAGTCCTGTGTTATTTTTATTGGGAAAGATGTTTACTGTATCCCAGCCATCTTGTCCCTCCCTCAACGAATCAGGCTTGCAGTGTGGAGGGGCAGAGAAGAGTAGTGAGTGTGTACCCGAGAGTGTGGGACCCGCCTCCAGCTGTGCACTGCAGAGCTGGTCGCAAGGGGTGGTGAGAGGTCTTCTCATCAGGAAGCACATCCTGTCTTGCTAAGAGTTTTTTTAGACACCGAGCATCTGACTGCCTCACATGGAAACATGGTCACTTTGATTTCTCCAAGAAGCTCATGTTGTTGACCATTGCTGTAACACTGATGCAGTGACAAAAATGAATTTAATGCAGAATGAATTAAAGCTGGACATTTTACTAAGCTCTTAGTCTTAAGTAGTGTTACAAGTGCATTAAAGTAGCAGTGTTCCTCTGAGCTGCCACAAGGTGGTACTGTGTCTTAACCTCTTGTTACATTTATCCCTAAACGATGTATTTCCAAGTGTTTTGGTTGGTTTGTCTGTTTTGGTGTGGTTTGGTTTGGGGGAGGTGCTCCTTCCCAGGGTGCTCCTACCTGCAGCACTTTTTTGTTTTTTAAAGACAATCTCACTAAGTTGTCCAGGCAAGACTCAAAGTTGAAATACTCTTGCCTCAGCTTCAAGTTCAGGGATTATAGTCATGTGCTAGTATGCCCAGCTATATTTCATGTCTTTATATGAAATTTAATAACTAAAATAGCTGTTTGAAAATCGCATTTTTGTTCTTTCCTGACTTGGTTTCTCAACAGCAACTCTGTAAAACTGTACAGAAAAAGTGCTTAAGAGGTTTTCTACTCTGATACTATATATCAATGCTCTATTGCAATATCTTACATTCATTTTACTGAAACAACTCTTAGACTGTGTGGATAGATTTGTTTTAATTTTTAAAACACAGGAGTAATGGTCTTGAGGATGAAGTCAAGGGAAATTACTGTTTTGTTAATAATAGTTATAAACTCTAGATACATGTGTTTCTTTTAAATAGCTCACTTGTTGATGAACTAAAAGAGAGTATATTTCCAGTTCTTCGTATTCTGCTGCAGCACATCTGTGCCAAGGTACCATTTTCTTTAGTAATGATAGTGATAATATGCTAGTACGTGATATAAGTGAAAAAAAAGTATATTTGTTATTTACAATGTATCTGTAATTACTAAAACTCTTCATTTAATACTAAATGTTCTTCTGAACAAAGTATTCTTTTAAACGATAAGGTTTATTTTGAAAAATATTAAACAGAATCAGAGAGAATTATGGGCTAAATGACCACCGTATACTCATCTCCCATCTCAATCAATCTTCCTCACACATGTATATACTGGGTTGATTTTTTTTTTCTTTTTTTTTCGTTTTTATCAGTACCAGGGATTGAACTCACGACTGCCTGCTTGCTAGGCAGGCACTTATGCCGCTGAGCTAAATCCCCAGCCCCACTGGGTTGATTTTTAAGTAGGTTCCATTATATCTTTCATTCCTAATATGTCAGTATATATCTCTAAAGAATAAGAAATCTAACCACAAATGTTAACACACCTAAATAATTCAGCCAATATTCAAATTTTCATGAATATCTTCTAAATTCATGTAATTGTTAATGATTCTTTAATTCAACCCTGTAGATCCTAAGGAGCCATAAACTCTGAAGTTGTATGTTAAATTTATATGTGTAATTTTCTGAAAAGAATTTATAGTTAGTTTCAAAGTGGTCTGAAGCCTAAAATTTCTTAGTGATTTACATAGCATGTAAAGATGATTAAGCTTGTTATACTCACTAGTTTTTAACTTACCTCACAGCGTTGTTCTGCATGTACTTACAGGCTAAACAACTGTATTTTGTGTTTCAGGTGACAGATAAATCAGAGTACCGAACCTCTGCAGCTCAGTCCCTCGTCCACCTGCTCGGTAAACTTCCTTCTGGGGAATATGCTATGTTCATCTCATGGCTTTACAAGTACTCACAAAGTTCCAAGGTAGGCACCTGTCTGCATGAAATCCCTTGTCCTGGCCAAGGACAGTCAGATCTGAAGCAGAAGGATTTCTTGTGGTTCCTGTTCCTGTCTCATGGTGATTTTTACAATTTGCTTTGCCAGATTGCCCACCGGGTTTTTACTCTTGATGTTGTCTTAGCTCTCTTAGAGCTGCCTGAAAGAGAGGTAGATGGCACTGTCTCCTTGGAGCAGCAGAGGTTCCTGAGGCACAGATTCTTGGTGCAGGAGATCATGTTTGACCGTTGTTTGGACAAGGCCCCTACTGTGCGCAGTAAGGCGCTGTCCAGTTTTGCACGTTGTCTGGAGCTGTCTGCTCACGGCACATCAGAGAGCATATTGGAGCTGCTGATTAACAGTAAGTAGCAGATACTGAGGGTCGGTTTAGTGACAAAAAACAGTGCAGCATTTGCCTGGCGTGTGCAGGCCCTGGCCTTCATTCTGAGATATAGACAGCAAGAAACCGTTCTTTGTTTCTTCGCTGTGGTGGAAACATTGGGTATGACATGGTGGTGACAGTGGTGAGTCTTTGCAGTACTGGGGGCTGGACCTGGGGCCTCTGCTCTGGGCCACATCCCCACCTCTTATTCTTTATTCACTTGAGCCTTGGGCTTGTTGAGTTACTGTTTTGCCAACAGTAGGCTCAAATTCATGATTGGGGTTATAAGCTCATTACTGCCACAGCCGGCTTTGGTATGATTAGCTTTTATCTTTATAAATCATTTTCAGTATCTTGCATTGCCTGGTAACTTTATTCTGGTGATAAGAATCAAACCCAGGCCCTTGTACATACCAAGCATGTGCTATGCCACTGAGCTCCACCTCTTAAGTTTTTTGGGTTTTTTTGAGGCAGGCTTTCAGTCTGTAGGCTGGGCTGGCCTCCAACTGGTGATCCTTTTAGCTCAGCCTCCTAAGTATTGGCATATACCTCGAACTTTGAATGACCTTTTAAATAGGGTCACCTGATCCATTTGAAGGGATTTTTTTCTTTATTTTGAATGAGGAATCAAACTCAAGAACCTATGCTTGCCAGGCAGGTGCTGTGCCACTGAGCCTTATCCCTGGCCCAGAAGGCCCTTATTAAGGAGTATTACATGTTCACATGTTAGAAGGGTGTTGTCTGTCTTTGCAGCCTCTGTGCACTGCTGGACATTGACTACATTGGGCCTCACATTGGCACTGTGTCCTTGAGTGTGTATCAAGAATGACATTATCTGTTGTGATTTGGAATCTGTGTGTTCTGTCATTAGGCCTAACTATCTTGATTTGAATGCTGCTTCTGTGTATATTTGCTGATTGTTTACGAGTCTTTTTCCCTTGTATTTGCTTATTTTTGGGTCCTACAGTTTCAGAAACAGGGATTCATCCTGGTACTTCGTCCAGAGCTTCATCAGGTAATAGATGAATATATTTTCAAATATTACATAATGGTCTTTTATAGACTTGCTGAATGTTTGAAATATTTTTCTCCTTGCATATTTACCTATGTTAATGTTGTACTTTTCTTCTTCATGAAAGAAGTTGAAATTTATCTCTATAATAATAGTAACTTGATAACATGCAGTATTTATGTATTCTATTAAAAGTATAACAGATTTTTACTTTCTTTTAGCATGTTCCTATCAGAAGCAGACATCTAACCCTTCTGAATCAACAAGGCAAATCAATACAGACAGCAGTGGTTGCATACTTGGATTGAGAGGTATATCAGACTTTATCACCGCGAGATGTGAAGCACCATTGGATTACAGAGTTTATAAACAGAGTCTAGAAACTTTGAATTTTATTTTCTGATAAATTGACACCTTTGGTAGGTAAGGTCATGCACACTTATAATCCCGGCACACAGGGTGTTGAGGCAGGATTGCTGTGAGTTTGAGAGTAAACTGAGCTACTTCATGAGCTCAAGGCCAGTCTGAACTACAAAACAAGATCTTGTCTCAAAAGAAAACTAAAAAATTCATTCTTGATTGAAATTTTTTTCCTTAAAAATGACTTCTATTATATCTTTAGTTGAATTCTCATACTGTATTTCAAGATAATAAGATAAATGCCTCAGTTACCATGTACTAAACCCCTCTAACATTAAGAAAATATTAGTGAATATTTTATTTGGTTTTTAAAGTTAGTTGTTGTGAACTCTTGAGATTGCTATGAAAAGAACCAATTACTAGGAAAAGTGTAGGAGAGATTAAACTTGTGTTGGGGGGAAAAGTCACCACCAAACATGATAAAAAGATGAGCTAACTGTGCCCATTCTTCTTCCTGTTTCTGTTCTGGTCATTCTGCTATCTTGTCAGTTTTCCTCAGTTCATTCTGGAATCCACTTAGCAAGTTACTGTGCCATGAATATGCTTGTAAGTTTTGACATGGATGTATATTTTCATTGCTTTTCACCATACACCTGAAAGCGGAATTGTTCAGTCATGTAGCAAGTGTTTGATATGACCTAACTTGTACACAGTAGCCACACCATTGTACAAAGCCATTAGCAGTATGTGGCAATTCCTATTTCTCTGTCTTCTTACCAGCACTTGTGTCTATCCTGCTAGGTGTGATGTTTTGATATATATCACCATCCTTTTGATTTCTATTTCCCTAAGGCCTAATAGTGTGAGATTTTCACATTTATTGGAATCTGTGTGTCTATCAATATCTATCCAACCTCTTACTTGCTTTGTCTTGTTTGTTTGTTCTGTTTTGTTTTGCTTGTGAAATAGCCAATACCTTTGTTTATTTTTAAGTAGATTTTTAGAAAATTTTGAAGTCCAAGTAACATTGTTCTTTTTCACTTACTCTTTGATGTCATAGCTAAAAACCCAATACCAAATAGGAGGTCACAAAGGTTTATGCCTATATTTTCATCTAAGAGTTTCATACTTTTCACTTTCACTTGCAGGTCTGTGAGTCTAATTTTTATACAGGATGTGAGGCAGGAGTTCATCTTCACTCTTTGCTTATAAATATCCAGTTGACACAGGACCTTTTGTTTGAAAGACTATTCCTTCACCTTTGAATATTCCTAGTACTCTTGTCAAAAATCATTTGACCATAGATGTATAAGTTTATCTCTGTATTCTGTATTTTATTCCATTGATCTAATAACTGCACCCTAGAGCACACTATACTGATTTCTGTTATTATAGAAAAAAAACTGATTTTTTCCCCAGTCCTCATGAGTTCTTTTTTTAACTGAAGTGAATTCTTGTAAAAATAGACACAGATTAACAAGAAAAGAAAGATTATTAATATATGCAGTGCCCATCATGAGAGAAACCTGAATGAAAATAACTCAGAGTAGTGGTTTAAACCTCACTTCTAGCATCTTTAACAAAAAGTAGTTAAATTGTAGAAACAGTGAATGGGAAAAGTCCTGTTTAGGGTACGGGCAGTTTCAGGCTTTCAAGGACAGGAAACTGGAGGGAAGTGCGGGGGTGAGGTTTTTTTGCAGATCCCTGTAGTGCTTCTCTGGGCTAGAAGAATCTAGTGCTTTCTCCAGTAGAGGAGAGTTTATTTCCTGCCTCTGCTCAGAAAACTCAAGGCTAGAGACATCTTTTACTCTGTTTAGGGTTGCTTAACTGTCCTCAGCCCAGATAAATATTTTTTGTTTCCAAGAGACAAATTTTTGGATGACACTCTGTTTTCCTTCAATAGTAAGTTTTAAAGTAAAGAGTTAATTGGTTCTGTATATTCTTTTTCAGAACTTTTCAAAACCATAAGCTTTTCTGGGTCCCTTATATTTCCACATGAAACTTTAGCTGTTGATTCTACAAAAAAAGGGTAGGGGCAAGAAAAGCATCTTGTATTTTGATAGGGATTGATATGTAGATCAGCTTGGGAGAGTATGGCTATCTTAACATGGTGAGTCCTCTAATCCATGAATATCTGATGTCTGTTTATTTGTTTAGGTCTTTAATTGTTTTGTGACATTCTGTTGGGTTTTTTTTTTTATTAGTGTGTGTTTGCAATACAAAACGATCTCACTCATTGTGACATGTACATAACACGTCTTAATTCTTTTTACTTCCCATCTATCTCCGTTTCTGTCTGTCTTTTATTTTGCTCTTTAAATCATTTAACTTTGAGTTTCTCTTTTTTGTTGTTCATTTTTTGACACAGTCTCTCTCTGCAATTCAGATAGGCCTTGAACTCATTGTGTAACCCAGGCTGGTCCCAAACCTTGGCAATCCTGCTTCAACCCCCGAGTGCTGGGATGTGAGTTCTCATAGGAGAAATTGTGTGATATTTAAGCTGTGTGTTCTGTTTTCATGTGAACAAGTCTTGATCTTTAAGCTGAAGTATTTAATTCTTTTTGATCCTATTATAAATGAAATTACTCTCCGTATCTATTAGAATTGCCTAGTTTTTACAAATGAGTTTTGCTGATTGATGTTATATTTTGCAAAATTGCCAAATTTTGGTACTAGCTCCAATAGCTTTTAATAGCTCCTTTTACATTTCTGTGCAGAAAGTCAAGTCAAGTATGGATAAAAATAAATTTTTCAGTTTCCAGTCTGAATGCCTTTATTTCCTTTTCTTACTTTTTTGCCCCGACTAGAATTTCTGGTACATTGTCAAATAGAGGTAGGAAAAATAGGCATCTCGGTTTGTTTTGGTAGTGAAGGATGGTTTTCATCCATCACCATTAAGTCTGATGTTAGCTGTGGAGTTTTTCAGAGTGACCTTTATCAGTGTGAGGAAGTTTCCTTTTATTCCAAGTTTATTGGATGTTTTCATCATGAAAGGTGTTGGATTTTGTATGTGTCTTTTCTGTATCTAGTGAGATGGTTGTGTTTTTGTTTTTAATTCTGTTGCTGTGTTTTTTCAGTGACTTGATTTTCACATGTAGATTCAACATTTCATTATAGGGATAAATTCTAAGCATGGTATGTTACCCTCGTTGTACCATGCTTGATTGATTTGCTGGTGTTTCATCAAGAATGTTGGTGTCAATATTCATAAAAAGTATTAGTTTTTCTTGTTTGTTTGGTTTTGGTTTTTTGTTTTTCTTGAAATGCCTTTGGTTTTGCTATTGTAGTAATTACTGGTCAAATATTATGAGATGGGAAATGTATTCTCTTCTAATTTTCTTCTAATTTTTGAAAGTCTGTGAAGGGTTAATGTCTATTTTTGGTAGTATTCTCCTCTGATAACCTCTAGTCTAGCTTTGCACTTTGTACCTGTCTAGATATTTATCTATTTCATGGTTACCATCTATTTCTAGGTTACTCTAGGTTATTCCTTGGCATAAAATTGATCTTACTGTTTACTTTACAATTCTTTTTGTTTATGTAAAGTTGGTTAAGTGTTGTCTCTTTGATTCCTGATTTCAGCCAATTGCTTTTAATTTTCTTGGTCAATCTAGCAAAACATTTACTAATTTCCATCTTTTCAAAGAGCCTACTTTTGGCTTCATTGCTTTTCTGTGCCCCTTTCCATTCTGTTTCTTTTCCAAGGTAATTTCTTATGTGTCAGCAGTTCCCCATGTCTGGTTTGGAGGCCCTGAACTATCACCTCCCTTCCAGGGCCCATAGGTGACTGCTGTATTCATAATAAGACCTCATTTTCCTTCTTCCACCTGATCTTCTCACAAGTGTAAGGTAGAGTTTTACTGAGTTCCCGCAGCAGGTGAAGTTGAACAGGAAAAGAGATGTGGATCTAGCTGCATTGTACTAAGCCTGGCACTGAAGAGTTTACAGACATGTAAAGCAGGGTTACTCTTTTTGCTATTTTTTGTTTTGGAAAATGCAGTTATTTTTCATTTTAAGAAATTAATAATAACATGTCTTGCTATTTTAGTGAATTATTAATTTTTTTTTCAGTTCTCATTTTAAATTTCTATTTCTTATTAAATACCATCATCTATATTTTAAAAGGTCTGGAGTCTTTGCTAATATGTGTATAAAGAGGCCATCCCGTGGACAGGTTAAGGCTATGTTCTATACAACTCCATGATTTGGATTATTCCTATTTGCGGCTGAATTTTTAAAGAGCTAAGTAATTCATTTAGAATGTTTACAGTAAGAGCCAGTTTTAAAATGAAATTTTTAGTATTCCAGGTGAAATGCTTTTTGTAGAAGATACCTAATTTACTCAGATTTTCTTCTGTTTCATCACCTTGTCATATTCTGACTTCTTAGAATTTAAAAACAGCTAATGAGTGAGACTTTGAGAAGAGTGTTTCCTTGGTGTTATGTGGTGAGATGTTAGCTACCCTCTGGTCTTCTCAGATGACGGTGATTCTTTGGCACCCTTTTAACAGAAGGATATGTCATGACAATGCTGAGGAAGAGAATCCAGGACGAGAAGACCAATGTCAGGAAGTCTGCCCTCCAGGTGGGAGCTTTTGTGCACACTCTTAAGTGTACTTTCTTTTTAAGCACTAAAAACTTGGAAATATCTTTAAATCTTAGGTCAGTATGCATTTGGCCCTTATGTGGACTGAATTTGCTTTTCATAGTTGGCCCCTATTCTGTTCTGTATATGTTGTACAGATGAACTAAAAAAATTTTCTTTTTTTAAGCTTTCATACTGGGATGCTGGCTTTTTAAGAATCACAGACTTATAAATGTAATTTGTTTTGTTTAAATTCTTAATCTGGGGACCATGGATGAATTTCATTAGATTTTTAGAATTGGTTATAAATATTTGATTACATGAAATGTCAGATTTTCTCTGGAGAAAGACCTTAGTATCTGATTGAAAATGTGGGGTGCAACAGGGAAGAATGGATCCACAGCACCCTGTATGTTAAGAGCCACAGACTTGCAGTATTCCTTACTCTGCTTTTGGGTCCTTCTGTGTAGACACACTCCAGTCACTACTTCCTGTTGTATGTATGCCTTTAGGTGTTAGTGACTATTTTGAAACACTGTGACATCTTGAGTATGGAGGAAGACCTGACAATTCTGCAGGACCACTGTCGGGATCCTGCTGTGTCTGTCCGGAAGCAGGCTCTACAGTCTCTTACTGAACTTCTTATGGTGAGAGGCAAGGTGTTTCGCATCTGTTACCTAGTATCTTGTGTCAGAAGTAATTCTGGGCCTGGGGGTACAGCTCAGGGCTAGAGCGTGTGTAAGTTAGTCAGCTTTCCATTGCTGTGGCAAATCCCCGAAAAAACCAACGTAAAGGAGATAAGGTGCATTTCGTTTGTGGTTCCAGATGTTTTAATATATGGTCAGCCAGTTGTGTTGCTTCTGTGCTTTTATGGTAGAAGGGTGTAACAGAGAACTGCTTACCTCATGGCAGCCAAGCCAAAAGAAAGAAAGAAAGAAAGAAAGAAAGAAAGGGGGAGGTAGAGGAACACAGGCTTGCACCTCTGTTGGTGGGCTTCTTCCTGCTTTTGTTTCATCTGGTCCCCAGCCCACCAGTTGGTACAGGCCACATTGAGGGTGGGTGCCCCACCTCAGTTCGCTTTCTCTCATGCCAAATATCTCTGGAAACACCCACATACACCTGCAAGTATGACTTACTGATTCTCTGGGTATTTCTCAATCAATGCAAGTAGAACCATCAATGTCGAGATAAAGCATCACGGCATGCTTTGTATGCAAAGATACTGAGATCAGTCCCCAGCAGCAAAAAAGGAAAAAAAAAAAGGTAAATTCTGTGTAATCCATCATTACCTGCTGTTAAATGTTAAGGTGCCAGTTAGAAACCACCACATCTACTGTAGTACTGTACAGTGCGGGAGAAGTATCCTTCAGTTACATGTCATAGACCACACCTTCTAGTAAATGTCATTCGGAGCCAGTGCTAAGCAATTCTATCATAAATTTTACGTAGAAAAAGAAATCTTGCAATTAGTGTGGTTAAGCTAAAGTGCAGATTAATTTTTTTCAGTTAAGATACATGCTTGTATATGGAGGTCAGTGCCAAAAGTGACAGTTCACCAATACTATATATAACTTAACTCATGCCAACTAAATAGCTCCTGAAGAACTTAAAAATCATGTGTATTTCCCTATTTCATGAAAGATGGCATTAAGCAATGTCTATTTCTACTTTCTGTCAGCATTCTAATTCTTTAGGATAACCATTATTTGTTCTTGGTTGTGAGCGACCAAAAATGTTCTGATTTACATTTTTGTAATGAAATGTGTTTATGACGTTAAGATTTCAGTATGCACAGATTTATGATGACCTAGAGGTTGACTTTGTTTTTGTTTTATTTTTTGGATATTGATTTCTTTTTTTCATTTCACGGTCTGCATTCATAGTTCATAGGGCTTTTTTGGTTGTTTTTTTGGGAGGTAGGGAGCTTTGGTAGTGGTGTGGTGTTAGGGATCACACCCAAGGCAGGTCAAGTCCTCTAGACATATAGGTGCAATAACTTTAAAATAGCAAAATGTTTCCAACTACCTCACTGACTGATATTTAGATATTTTTGTGTTCAGACCTTTAATATCATAATTTTTCCAATTCCCAGGCCCAGCCCAAATATGTGACACTTCAGAAAGCTTGGCTGATGGGGGTCATCCCCATGGTGATGGACAGTGAGAGCACGGTGCAGGAAAAGGCGCTGGAGTGCTTGGACCAGCTCTTGTTGCAGAACATTAAGCATCACAGTAAATTTCACAGAGAGGATGAAAGCCAGGTGCTTGCCTGGGCTCTTCTCACCCTCCTCACTACAGAAAGCCAGGATATGAGGTGTGTCAACCATGTGACTTGTTTCGTATAAGGGCAATATGGCTTCTTTATAGTAAATTATTCAATTGATCTTGAAAAATCAACTTTCCAGTTTAATGTATGTGAACACTCAGTCTTGGTCTTTTCTTTCTTTGACCTACTTCATGTCTCTTAGCATTTTTGTGGTGACTTTATGGCACCTTTGATGACTTCCTTTGCTTCCCTCCATTGCTTGCCAGGTGTAGGCTGGTATATCGTTCTCTATCCCAGTGATAGTTATTGTGAACAATAACTTCCTTGTTTGAGCAAATTAAAACTTCTTATAACATTTTATTGATTGGTGGACTTGATAACATTTATTTAATGTACACTGTGAATTGTGAACATTTGAGCTGTCAGTCATTTTTCTCTTTCTCTTACATTTCTTTGTCATATTAGAGGCATTTCTCTACTTTTTGCATACCATTCTGAAAGAATTATAGTGCAACGGAAAGAGTAACAGATTCAGTGGTATAAATGCCACTTGGGGGCCTTGTAAATCACTTTTCTCTGGGCTAGAGCTGTCTCATCTGCAAGAGCAGCCAGAGGGATTACGTGGTCTCTTAAGATCTCTTTGGTATTAAAACTCTGGCTGAAAATGTATTCGCTCATTACATTTTGTTCTTCATATCAACTCTTACGTTTGCTGAGGTGCTTCGAAGGGAATATTTAGCTAGAAGCAAACTGTGTTTTCACTTTTTCTGTGGATACCACATTATGTGAACTCATCATATTAAAGCATCGTGGTAAAGTGAGGAAAGGTAGCCACTCTCACAAAAAGAAGTCTGAGGTATCTCATGAGAAGCTGTTGGCAAGTTTATTTCTTTTTTCTTTTAAACTTCTGTATTAAAAGTATAGTAAGAGTAAAAAAGTAAGCAAATCATGAAGTTAATAAATACTACCCTCAAAAAATCCATGGACCAAGGTGATTCACCTCGGTCAAATATAGAACATAGGTGGCCCCAGAAAGTGTCCTCACACTGTTCCAGTCAGCCGCCTTCCCTTCCTTCCCACGTAGGTTTTAGCATCCACACCGTTTTCCTATACTCAACTACTGTGTGTTTAATTCTTGAGCGTTATATAAATGAAATTTTGTGGAATGTGTGCTTTTGTGAGACTTGGCTGATTTTACACATGGTAATGTGAGCTGTGTTCAGGTTATGATGTTTGCAGCTGTAGCTGTGTATTCATTTTCATTGCTGTACATGCGCACAGACACACACGTAGTACAGCATGAATGAACCACTGTCCATTCTAATGTTGACAGTTGACTAGGTTACTTCCAGTTTGTTGACTGTTAGGTATATATGTGTACATCTGTTGGCTGTATACCTAAGAGAATATTTATTCACCTGTGTAGGAACTTCTAGATAGTTCCTCAAGTGGTCATGGCAGTTTGCCTTCTTACCAGCAGAATATAACAGTTCCAGTTGCTCCATATTCTGGCCAGTGTTTTGTATTTTTTAGCCATTCTGGCGAATGCATAGCGTTATTTCATGGTGGCTTCAATTTATATTGTGTTGACTCATCAGATTGAGACATTTTTTATTTGTAGATTAGCATTTAGATAGTCACATTTGTAAACTATCCATTCACCTCTGTTGTCCTGGATTTTACTTTACCCTCTTGGGTTTTGTTTTTGGTGCTGAGACTGAAGCCTTTGCATGTTGCTGAGCACAAGTTCTCTCACATCCAACCCCTAAATGGTGTGGGTTTCTGTGTGCTTTTGTTCTTTCGTTTTTGTTTTTTTGCTGTACTGAGGGTGAAGCCTTAATGATGTCTTTCAATAAAATCAGTTTGTCAGTAGTTGTCTTTAAGTTTAATGTATTTTAAGAAAAGGAATTTTTTTAAACTCAGGATTCTACATAATCCCCTAGAAATTTGCTGCATTGTTTTTGTTTTTCTTTTTCACTGTTAGACCATTAGCTTCTCTGCCATTGACTTTTGGGCACTATACTAGTGAGGGATCAAATTTGATGTTTTTCTAAATTTAAGATCCAATTAAACTAGCAACACTAATTAAAAAGAAAATCTTTTAATCACTGCTCTGCAGTGTCATCTGTCAAACAAGGTGCTCACAGTTCTAGTGTGTGATTCTCTGTTTTTTTACGCTATTTTTATATTTGTCCCTCGTTGTGTCAGTATCACAAATTTGATGATTGTTGCTTTTTAGGCCTTCCTCGCATTGGAGTAAGTCTTGTGCTCTTTTGCCCCTGCACAGCTTTTCAGTGTTACTTTGTTCTCACATACCTTTTTCCTTTCTTTGTTTCCCTTCTTTCTTCTTTCTTTCCTCTTTTCTTTCCATTTTCCCTCTCCCTCTTCGTGTCTGTCTGTCTCCCTCCCTCCTTCCCTGCTCCTTTTTTGTAGTGCTGAACATTGTAACCAGAACTTTATACATGATGGGCAAGCACTCTGTAGCTGTGTATTCATTTTCATTGCTGTACATGCTATATCCCCAACCCTTTGGCTTTCTTTTTTTGTACATAACTCAGGGTGAAATCCATTTACTGAGTTACTCTCATTGCAGTTTTTATTTCTAGCATTAAACATAGATACTTCTAAACTGAATAAAAAGAGTAAACTTAGTCTTCAAAAAGCTTAACAGGAAAGACGAAATTCTACCAAGATTTACAAAAGAAAAGAGAGGGCACAGATGGACGATATTATCCATGAAATGGATAATACAATGATAGGCATGTTAGAGTTTGTAAAGTGTTTAGGATGTAGTAATTCTTTTATCTAAAGGGGGCACAGTTCTTTGTCAATTTTTTTAAATACTAAATGTTAATGATATAATCCCTTATACTAGTAAATAACAGATATTTACTCTCTGACAGTTCTGGAGGTCGGAGTGTGAGCTCGAGGCCCTGGCAGCTTCGGTTTCTCTTGACACCTATGTGGCCACCTTCTTGTGTCCTCAGTGGTCTTCCCATGTGTGCGTCTCAGTATCTTGGCCAGCATACCTGCCAGGTTGCTTGGAGCCCACCTGAACCCTTCGTGTTAACTTCATCGCTTCTTTATAGGTCCTGCCTGCAAATGCAGTCACACTCTAGGGCTGTTCAGCTTAGGGACGTAATTCAGCCACAACTTGCTTACTTTGTTTCCAAGGCAGTAGTCCAGGCTGGCCTTGAACTTACTACATAGCTCAGGCTGATGTCAGACTCAGGCAACTGGCTGTGGCCCCCAACTGCTGGGATTCAGGCGTGTGCTGCCACATCCAGCACAATGTGCTTCTAAAGGGAAGAGGTTAACCCAGCCCGAAGCAGACACCTTGGCACATCGTGGTGCCTCAGATGATTGCTTGTTCGAATGATGATTGTCATTCTTGTGGTTTATTGGTCCCCCTTGTTGAGATCTAATGACCAATGTAACAGCACTGGGATGTAGGGTGATTAGATTATGAGTATTCCATACACGTGAAAAGATTAGTGTCATTATAAAACAGATTCAGGAGTGGACTGTCCCTGTCCCTTCTGCCAGTGAGTGTCCAGTGCTCCTGTTGTTTAGAGAAGGCAGCATGCAGGGCAGTTCCTCGGAAGCACAGAGCAGCCTCCTGCAGACATCTGACGTGCTGGCGCCTTAAACTTCCGAGGCTCTGGAGCTGTGAGTGGTGCATTCCTGTCCTGGGAAATTATCTAGTGTCAAGGCATTGTTACAAAAAGATCCCACCACAAAAGACTAAAACAGCACTGAAAACACGAGTTGGAAAAACCTATAATGTGACAGAGTAATGTCCTGTATTTATGAGGTATAATCCAAATACATGGTGAACGTTTAAATTTTTAAATGTTTATTATAGTAAAAGATAACATTGCCATGAATCTTCTCAGAATACTCTCCTTGCTCTGAACACACTTACCCCATTGTTCTTGCCGCTTGCCACGATTCTGCAGGTCCTCTTTCATGAGTATATTCTCTAGGCTTGAGCAAAAGCAGTGCTGCTGCCAAGTGTCGCCTGGTGGAAGGGCAGGCTCGTAAAGACATTGCAGTTCCTTCCACCTTGTCAGAGCCTGGTGTGATTTCTGGCTGTTCCCCAAAGTCAGTATGACCATGGAAGGGAAATGTTTTGTATCAGATCGGGGAGTCTGGGTAGCCATGACAGCACAATGGGAAAACACTTTAGAACTGCTTCAAAAGTGGGAAGATATGGGTTCAGTCTGGGAGGGCCCCTCCTGCCTGCTGGCCGGCCGTGCTACAACACAGGCACCATGACAACAAATGAAGTGAGGAGAATGCCAAGATGCGATGAGTGTATCTGAAGCCGGGGGAGTACTTTGAGGGGAATTAATGGCATGTGTCTTACTGTAATGAAGTTTTTAACTTAAACATTCACTATATTTTTGATCACACTTGGACTGTCCTTTTATAAATTAGTAAAGAAAAGATAGACTCCTTGATGGAAAAATAGGTTACACAAAAAAGCAGTTTGTAAAATGCAAAATAGTAATGGAACAGTAAACAAAACCAGATAATCTGATGCTCAACTTCTCTAACAACCAAAGGAGCTCAAGTTAAAACACTGTTAAGTTTGGCAAAATGGGAGACCTGACACTTTACACCTCCAACCAAGCACTGTTGAGAATTTGAGAAAATGGCCATTTTTACTTACTTGGTTAGAGCATAAATTTTCAAAGCCTAGCAATGTACATCTCAAGATAAAGCATGACTCAGCCTTTTCCATCATGAAAATATGTCCCTTTCTCCCTGCCGCCACCCCACCGCTCTCCTCCATCCTGACCTGCTGCCCTCTCCCCAGTGACCTCTCCCTCCCTCGGCGCTTCAGGAATCTTCGTAAGATGTTCTTGGTCATCTCTCACGAGTCTTTGCCTCTCGTTTGCCCGTGGAAATTCTTTGCCCAGCAGCTGTGGCCTGCTCCCCAACACCCTCTCACGCTGGTGCACAGTCCTGCCTTGAGCACGGCCTTCCCTCTCCACAAAATGTCCTTTCAGCCTTCCCTGCCTTGCACGCTTTTGCTCATCCTTTGGGATTTCCTGCACTTACTTGTGGGATTCCTGCCTCACTCCCCTGGCCTAACTTGCTGCATTCCATCAGTCTGTAACACAGTCTGTCATCTGGAAGGAAGGTGGTCACCTTACGCCCTCTGCAGTCCTTTCCCCCCACTTTAGGGTAGAGTAAGCCATCTGTGGATGACTGTAAGATGGGTGTTCTTTAATGAAGAAAGCTTCTGGAAAGAGTGCGGGAAGGGTTGTACTTCAACTAGTGCAACTTCAACTAGTGCAAGGAAACATCAGAGCTAAAAGAATTCAAAGGTGAATTAGAAAAACAGAAGAATTAATAGCATGAAAACTATAGCTTGCTAGTTTTTCTTTCCTCATTAAAGTAGCTATCACGATCATTTGTGCAAAGTCAAGAAGGAGAAGAAAAGGGCCAGCAGTATAAGGAAGACTTGGCCATTGTAAGGCATAGGCTAAGGAACTTATGAAATCTGACTTTTTAATCATAATATTCAGATGTGTTAGCCACTCTGCCCTCTCATTCTTCTGTGATAGTACACTGGAAGTTTCCCAAAGCTATAGGATGATAATAGAAGAGACTTGCATGCAGGGCAGGTATCAGAATCTCCCATCTTTGGATTCATCTAGATCTTACAGATGTATAAAGGTGTACCACACTTTTACAAAGTTTGTTGTGGAAAAGACTTATTTTTGGTAAAACTGTTATTTATGTTAAAATATAATTCACTTATTGTTATTTTTAAGTGAATTAAGTGACAAATATTTTTAAATCAAGTATTCCTTGATTTAAATTTCAAACAGAAAATATTGGTAGATACAGGCTACAAGTAAAAGTTCCCTGGGATGGTCAGTAATTTTAAAAAAGAGCGGGTATATGCAATCGCATGGTCATGAATTCACTCCCCAGTACCAAAAAAAAAAGCAGGTAGCTTTTTGGTGACTATTATTTCTCTTTCTTCTTTCTTCTCCCCCTCCTTTCTCTTCTTAAGTTTAGGATGGTCTCCTAGTCCATTTTTTCTTGCCATAACAAAATACTTGGAGCAGAATACCTTACGAAGAAGTGAGGTCTACTCAGCTCATAGGTTTGGACCAGGTTGCCTGGCCAAATCAGCCTCTGGTAAGGGCTGCATAGTGGGGGGCATCATCATCTTGGCAGGGCCAGTCGTGGAAAGATCACCATGTGGGCACAGGCAATGGGAGCATTCCAGGGCCAGGCTTATTCCATAACAAGTTGCTCTCCTGAAAACTAACTCCAGGAGGCTCTTCTGAGGGCAGTACCCCGTGCCCTCATTACCTTCCAGTAGACTTCCTCTCTTAGAAGTCACATCTCCAACACTGCCACACAGGACCACATCCTAACCGTAGCAGGTGTCTCCCCAGAAGTAGTGCATGAGCTGAATACTGGAGACTGTAGGAATTAGCCAAGCAGTGTAACAGTGAGAATGTGGAGGCAGAAAAGAGCAGTGCCGAGGCTTAGAGGCCTCGGGACTCCATGCCTGAGTCTTTCATTTACCATCGACTGAGGTACAGAAAGCAGAGGTCGGGCAGTGGGGAGTGCAAGTCTGCTTTGGGATGCCCAGCCACCCGTGATGGGGAGCTCTTTGCAGTGAATGTGTAAGAGGATGAGAAGTAGAGCTTTTCAGAGCCAGCAGTTAAAGCGATTGGAAGCTGGGTCCGTGGCTCCTACCCAGATCTGGGTTCAGGCCCCACACCCCAGCATGACAGGGAGTGATGGAAAGAAAAGATGAGAGAAATGAAAGAGAAATAACCAGGAGACCGAAGCCTTCGGATGATGACTGATGCCATGCCTCTGCCAAAGGCCCACGGACCGTGCGTGTGGTGGTTCCGATTTGAGGCCAGTGGCGGTTCTGGCCAGTGTCTCTTGGGTTTCCTTCTGGTGAGGTGGAGAATGCTCATGACTGGCATTGGCCAGCTGAGGAGGGGACAGGAGGCTAGCTGGGGTCAAACTGGAGACTTAAAACCCAGGATTTCAGAGAATTGTTTTGCCAATTCTGCTGTCTTATAATAAGTCTCACTTAATACTTTATATGGCTCTTTGAAAGTAATTTTTTTTTTTTACCAGAGATCAACTCAGGACCTTGCATTTGCCAAACAGGTGCTTATACTGCTGAGTTGTATCTCCGGCAAAACTAAATTTTAAAATATTTGTTTATTTTATTTGGACATAACTCAGGTCTAAGTCATACTGTGACCTAATTATGGTAAAATGGGACTTATGGTAGATTTTTTTTTTTTAAATTGGTATCAGGGATCAAACTTATGACTGCCTATTTGCAAGGCAAGGCGCTTATGCTGCTGAGCTAAATCCCCAGCCCCGATTTATGGTAGATTTTTAATCAACAGCCAATTTAATAATAAGTAACAGTAATTTAAAAATAAAACCATTTATGTGCATGTGTTTACTAGAATAGTGGATATATTTATTTTGTTACAGTTGTGTTGTTCTGCATGCTTTGAAAATTTTCTTTCTTAAAATACTTAACAAGAAAGTCTGCATGTGTGTGGGTGTGGGTGTATAGGTGTGTTCCTAGCAGTATAAGAAAAATTAATTGATAGAATGTTTTTTTCTCTTCTCTTTAATATGTGGCATTATCTCATTATTTATATAGTTTAATTCATTTCTTTAAAAAGAAAAAATAGTTTTAAAAAAGTATAGTGTATATCAGAACATTTTTAAATTTTTATTTTAAAAGGTTTGGGGGCTGGGGATTTAGCTCAGCGGCATAAGCACCTGCCTTGCAAGCAGGCGGTCGTGAGTTCGATCCCTGGTACCGATAAAAATGAAAAAGACAAAAAACAAAAAAAGGTTTGAAAATCTGTTCCTAAGCAGTATTAATGGGATACAGCAAATTTTAGCTCACTTAGTTTCTCCATATCACTTTTCCCTAATCTCAACTGAAAAAAGGACAGTGTTTCTGTTTTTTGTCAGTATGACCCTGTAAGCTCTGGAACTGTGTTATTATCCTATCTCATATGAATGTGTGGAAATTTTGGAGGGGATGAGGATAAGAATTAAATTTTATTTTTTCTGTTAAGAAAATAAGTATTTTGTAAGGGGAAAACAAATACTACTTACTCTACAAGAAAGATTAAAGACAACTGGTTTGGTGTCTGGCCCTGTGAGCATAGTTTTTGTGCCAGGGGAATCATGGAGCTGCAAAACTTGAAACCTCTTTAGCAAAGGGGTGATTTGAACAGTTTTGTGTATTTGTAGTTACAGTTCTGCTTTCTCTTCTTTTCTTCCCAGCCGCTATTTAAATAAGGCTTTTCACATCTGGTCTAAGAAAGATAAATTCTCTTCCACTTTTGTTAACAACACGATCTCTCACACTGATACGGAGCGTGCCGCACCTGCCTGGATGCTGCTTTCCAAGATCGCCGGCTCAGCACCCACGCTGAACTACACCAAGGTCCTGCAGTCCTGGGAGACACTGAGCAGGTTCGCGTGCTCCTGACACAGCCTCCTGACTACAGACAGGAAGCAAAGTTCATGTCTCAGGGAAGAGGGCTGTTTCATAGCCATGCACAGAGATAGCTTCTTTAAAATCTAGTATAAAAACAAATATGAAAAGTAAGAATCACTTTGAAGCATGCTCCTTTGTCCATGAAGTCCCTTACTGTTCTTGTAGCATGACACTCAAATCATTCTGCCTGCCCTGTCCCTCCAGTATCAGCTATCTAGAAGAAAAGGCATTCTGTGAGCAGCCCTATGTTTAATCTGATTCTGTTTTGGCATCTCTCCTGCCCTTTAGTCAGCAGAATCCCAATTCAAACACCTTAGGACATATACTGTGTGTCATCGGGCGTACGGCAAAGCACCTTCCTGAGAGCACCCGGGAGAGAGTGGCAGGTGAGTGTGTACTGGAGAGTTTTCTGAAAAAGTCATCGGCTTGAGAGAGAGAGAGAGAAAATGTTTACATGATACACTTAAAAGGTTTTGACTTCCTTCTTAGATGTCATCAAGTGTAAGCTGAGTGGATTTCAGTGGTCTCTAGGGTTGATCAGTCCTGCTGTTGATACTTTGCAAAGTCTTTGTAGAGCATCCGCGAAAACACTGATGGAAGAACAGGTATGGCCACACACGTTCCTCTGATGTTTCTAACTTACCTGTACTTGGATTTCTACTTGGGCCTGTTACCCAGCTTTGAAATCTGAGGGTTGTAAGGATGTGTGGTCCTAGTTGCTGCTGCTACAGCAAGGCAGTACTCTGGGTCTAGCAGCTCACATGGCCAATGAAGATTCGACTGCTGCTGACCTAGGTGCCCTTAGCTCTAGGTACAAGTGTCTTCTAGCAGGGTATGTCTGCTGGTTGGCATTTATTTCCTGGTGAGAATTCTGGAAGGCATCTTTTGATAAATTGTAGCTTACACTCTCGTTCCAAGAATATTTAATAGATAATTTTCTACCTAATCAGGTATTTCTCTCCAGATCAGAAGATTTTTATTTTTTTGATAAAGCATAACCAGTAAATACTTGTCCTGTTATTAGGAGGTTATGTTGTTCAAGTCTCTTGCTGGGGTTGTATACCCAAATTGTCCACAGTCTATAGCTACTGTGTTTACACATATACTCATATACAAATCAGTGATTTATGTGAGACAAAGAGGTGCTTTGACCTCTTTTAGGTATCCATACCAATACTTCTAATGAATCATTTTATCACTATGTCCTGTGTTTTTAATCATGAGATAGACCTCTAGGTAGTGCTATTCATAATGAGAAAAAATGAGGACAAGAGTTACAGTAGTCACAGGTTAGTTTAACTAATTGTTAGACTGTTTTTAAGTTTTCCAGAATTAAAATAAAGATTACTTTATCTAGTAAAGTACCTAGTACTTTGCTATGCTTTTTTTTCTTAAATAGTTCCTTCAAGAAAGACTTTCCTCTATATGCTCCATTTTCCACTTAAAATAACAGCTCCAGTACAGCAGTGTACTGCAGGTTTCTTGCTTATGACGTAGAAGAGACAAAAATGCACCTGTCTAGAGAGAGCACTGGAGCCATTCCTTCTCTCGGTGGTACCTGGAACTCTGGTGCACACGCCATCCAGCACTCACATCACTGCAATGGATACTTGGGTTACTGTCTCTCTAACCAAGAAATTGTATGAAAAGCTTTTAAGTAAGAAACATTTGAAGGAGCATTTTGAATATCATCAAACATTAAAAAAATAACTGGCATTATTGTAAGTCTAGTATGAATAAGGAAAGAATGATGTAAGGAAAATCTGAGGCAGATTTTGCAAGTGCAATCCTGCGGGGTCAGTGGCACACTGACTGATGACAGAAGCAGGAGTGGAACAGCCATGTCTGAACCTTCCCAGGATCCTTGCACAGGATGGACTGGAAACAGTTACATGTGCCGTGGGCTGTCAGGGCCGTAACGCACTTGCTGCCCACTAATGGCTGGTAGTCGTTAGAACTGTAGGTTATGCTGTGGTAGAACTTGGTGGGGAAGACAAAGAATTGCCTTCAGATTTAGAAACTGAGAGAGGAGAGGTGAAATTTAAAACTTAAAAATGTTAGAAAAACAGCTGGTTTTTCTTCCACCAGTACCATCCTCTTTGGTAGGAGAGAGTGGAATAAGGCCCTATGATTTTCAGAACCTCAGTTGTTCTAAACTACTTTTCTGTATAAATGATCATTCTATATTTTACTAAAAGTAAGCACCCAAAGAACGTATGATGAAGATACAGCTCAGCAGTGCAGTGTGTATGGAAAGGATTAGGTCTTTCTTGATTTGAATTAGCAGTCTTTTGTGCCTGTCATTAAAATCTCAATGAGATCTTGCTGTGTACTAATAGAATTGTGTCCAGAACAAAAAGCGTGATGGTCCTGTTCTTTGTCCTGGTTAAATCTAAGTTTACATGTCCCATGAAATGTGGTTTGGATAATTCTGTGAATTTTTAAAAACATACTATGATAAAAGACACATTGCCGTTAATTCTGCAAATACTTCCCTCAGTTTGGCACAATTATTCTGTCATTCTTTCCATCTCTTGAAGTAATTTTAGAAGCCCTTTTTTGTGACTTGTAACTTGTACCATCATGGCTCTGTGGTGTCCTAAATTGATTCAAAGTGTTTGCTTCTCATAGTCACTCTGGCTTTGGGGAAGGGCCAGACCCAGTAGGCAAGGAGGATGGAACCCAGTGTGATCTTAGGAGCTTGCCTTTCCTCAGACGGCACGCAGCAGAAGCACTTACTGTGCTCTTACCTATTTTTTATCATACCTCATAAAGACACAAAAGAGGACTTGCAGAACTGCTTCAGACAGTGGCAAAAACAACAGGATAAGTGTGTTCAAAGTAAAGGATTGTATTTTGAGGGGGATTAGGGGCAGAGTATCTTTTACTCTAATAAACATTTTGAAAATGTAAACATTCACTATATATTTTTACTATGTAACATAAAATTCAATTTCAGCAACAAGCTTTTGGAGAATTGTTGATAAAATGGAGTTTATCTATACAGGCATGGTTAGCTGAGCGGTTACTGTAAGTTAATGTGTGGATCCGCTGGAGGCTTCCATGGAGGTCTAATGTAGAGAAGGGAAGAATTACCGTACTGCATTTGGACAGGCTGCCTAGCTAAATTCCAATCTATGAATGACTAAATAAAAGCATTGGATTTATTGATATACCCCAAGGACTCATGTAGACCAGTGGGTAGGAATTACAAGGAGCCAAGTTTTGAGGAAGAAACATATTAGGTCTGCTTAAGACGAAGGGGCTTGCCTCAGAATGTGCCCCCGAGTCACAATAACTTGATGAGAGCCCTGCTTGCTGGAATTCCCAGGCAAAGATGGCATCGCCAGCTGTCCAGGCTCAGTGACACACAGAGGTGGCACTAAGACCACCTAGTCTTGTGGTCTGATGCATTAACTTTTTTCTCCTCTTCAGAAAAAGCCTCTGGGTTTCAGATGCTTTCTTGGCCAGCCTTATGGTTCATCTTGTGCATTCTTTTAGTCTTGGTGCAGTGATTATGTGAAAGTAATAAAGATAACAGTTTTAGAACATCTTAAGCCAAGTGAGACTAAAATCCATCTTGTTCATAATAGCAGTCTCAGCACAGTGTGGCAAACATTGATGGATACTGTGTGCAGCAGTGCTGCTGGGCACTTGATGATAGCAGTCTTCCCACGGCACCTTCCCTACAGTGGGAGACAAACTTGTGAGCAGACTGTGTCGGTGCAGGACAGATGGCCCTGGGTGACAGGTGGCCTGAGTGACAGGTGTGCCTGAGCTGATGAGGAAACACCGGGGCTCAAGCATCCACTCAGCCTGGGTACTTGAAGCGGCCTGTGCGTAGCGGGAAGCCCAGGAATTCCAGAGTGTGCTTGCGAGGCTGTCTTGCTCCACAGGTGCATTGGATGTACACTGGCAGTGGCCCTTGGAATTTTTCACAACTAGGAAGAGACACCAAAAACTCTTCCCTAAGGAATAGCTTCAGGGACCACAACGGTCCATTCTACTGAATGTCTTTTTAAAGGAAAATGTGTATCACAGTAGTTAATTTACCACGTACATATGCAGCCTTTTTCTCTGTTGTAAAAGGGGCACTGCTGTTGTGCGCATTCTATAAGTTAGGGCACTAGATCTTCCTGAATGTATGCCTTTTGCTCTAGTAGGGCAAATGTAGAAAAACAGCATACACATTCTTTGAGAGTTCCCCCAGCCAGTTCTCATGGCCAGCCTGCTACAGTCGGTCTTGTTGGTTTAGGATCCCATGGTGGCTGGGGCTTTTATGCACCTGAAGCTCCTGGGAGTCTGAGACTGGGGGGTTGGTGCATTGCCTGGGAGACGTGTGACCCCTTCAGCACTGGTCTGTTCCTTGTGCAGGACCTTCTGAAGCGGGTGTGTGGGGATGTGCTGTCCACCTGCGAGCAACAACTTTCCAACATTGTTCTGAAGGAGGACAGGGCAGAGAGTCTGGACAAAGACCTGCTGGTAAGCAGCTGCTTTTCCTTTCTTTCCTCTTCCTATTATATCAGTGGGGATTTTTTTAAGGTAAGGATGATATCATAAATTAAACAAAAATAAATGGGGTATTAGTTTTTTAAAATAAAACTGTGCACTTCAGTTATTATTAACACAAAGGATTTGGTAGTTCACTCACTTTTTAAAATTTTTTTAAATTAATAACCTGTTGTTTTTTGCTTGATAGCTTCATCTAGGTAGAGATTATGAAAACCCTGATTCCAATAGGACAAATAATATGCGTTGTAAACTTAGTAAAATCAGGTGTAGAAATAATAAGATAAGGGATATGCTCTTGGGCTTTTTGGCTTGTTTAAATTTTAAAACTGTTATGTCTTCTGAGCTATTTGACCATTGAACTATAAAACCAGGGAAGAGGGTTGGTCAGTAGTAATACCTAAAATAAAATGAGAGATTTAACAATTCCATACACAGATGTTCTTAGAAAGGTGAGATTGTCTTCCATGGCATGCCTGTGTTAGAAATGGTTTTGACGTAAGAGATTTCCTCGAGTCAGAACAAGTAACGTCAGTGGGCTGTTGATAGGTATGTTACGGTAGTTCTGCTACAGCGTCAGATGCTGCTAAGTAAAAGAACCAAGGAGCCCCTCTTGACGCCCTTTCCTGCAGACCATCACCTAGTCAACGGTGTCCGTTTTTCTCCTCTGTTTAAATGAGTCGAGCAGTACCTCGCTGTGTTTTAGTTTCTGCTCAGCCAACTTAGCTCTTAGAATTGTTAGTGATCGCAGACCAAGTTTAGATTTGTGAAAGAGAAGACTGTTGTGCCTGAGGAACTGCTATGCCGACATTTAGTAATACATGGTATTTTTATAAGAATCTGTACACTTTAGGTATGAGGTGTATAGTTTAGATCAGGCCCAAAGTTTGAGAGACAATTGCTTTTCTGTTTGTTTGGGAAATTACTGGCCGCACTAAGAAAAATGTTGATTGTGATCCATGAATCTTTTCCTCTAAGATTTTATTTGTTTGTTTCACTATTAAATATGTCACCAGAACTATTCTTCAGTCAAAATATATGGAGAAGTTTTACCCTATGTGTATTACTTAGTTTGTAATCCGTTAAGAGATACTCTGTGTTCAAAATTTCCTAAACCCAACTATATTTACTTTTGACTTCCCAACTTCAAAGAAGATTTTTTATTTTCTTGATTTTTTTTTTTTTCTGTGTTTTTGAGATGGAGTCTTGTTCAGACTGCTCTCAGACTCCTAGTGGTAGCTGTAAGAAAGCAGGTCCTTGTGTGCTGGTTAGTAATCCAGGTCATAAACTAACCTGGAGGACAGTTTGGAATCATGTTCTAAAATATAGGGTGGTTTTACCTGCCCTTTCACCTTAAATTTCATATCTAAGGAAGTTGCGTTCTAAGAGTACAGAGGTGCTCACCAAAACTAATGTAAACAATACTGAAGGGTTAGAAATAATGTGAATGTACATTAATTGTGAAATAGTGAGAAAAATTATGACATTCATTGTTTTTAAATAATATACTTATGTAGTTGTTAAACATACTGTTCTATTGTTAGCATGAAAAAATACTCAATATTCAAAGTAATACAAAAAAACTTCAAAGTAACACAGACTTCAGGGTAGCTGATTGGAAAGTGTATTATTAGTAACCATTGTTCACAGAAATGTGTGGATTTAAGTTAGAAAGTTATATAGTCCCCCTAATTTCAAATGAACTTCATAAAGTGTCAACTGGATTTTTCACAGTGGCCATGTATTTTTCTGAAACAAAAAACAATAATTTTTATACTTTGGGAAATTAAAAAAAAAAGTATTCCATTGAAATGTTGTTACTCCTGCTCAGGTTTTCATCTTGCCTTTATTCTTATTGTAAACCAATTCTCTTTGTAGGTGAAGTACATTTTTACCTTGGGAGATATCGCCCAGCTGTGTCCAGCCAGAGTAGAGAAGCGAGTCTTCCTCATGATTCAGTCCATTCTGGCTTCTTCTGCTGATGCAGATCACTGTAAGGCACTGGAAGTCACATTGTGCTGTGCTCTCTGAAGGCTGATCAGCCCCTCAGCGTGTCAGTAAATCTGTTTCCTTCCTTGTAGTGCTGCCATCTCAAGGGTCCAGTGATGCCCCTGCCAGCTCCCAGCCGCCCTCCTGGGTCAAACGCACTGTCATGCCTTCCGTGATCAGAGCGCACGCCATCATCACCTTAGGTGAGAATAACGTGTGGGACCCTGAGGCTGCGTGGGTAGCTTCTGTCTATCCCTTTGTCTTAAATAAGCCCAGCCGTGGGGGTGTTTTAGGGTGCTGAGTTTCTGTCTACTCTCATTCTTTGGATTTGAGCAGGTAATTCTGATATAAGCACGCAACTCTGCTGGCATGGTAGGGTGCTTACAGTGAGAACCTTTAGCAAGGTCCAAAACCATATGATCACATAAATAGATGCAGAAAAGGCTTTCAACAAAATCCAATGCCACTTCATGATAAAATCCCTGAAGAAAACAGACACAGATGTACCATACCTGTATATGATACAGGCTGTTTATGACAAACCAGTAGCTAGTATCATACTAACTGGGGAATAACTAAAAGCATTCCTTCTAAAATCGAGAACAAGACAGGGATGCCCACTATCACCTCTTCTGTCCAACGTAGTACTTGAAAACATTAGCCAGTGCGGTCAGTCAAGAGAAAGAAATAAATGAAATGGACACATTCAGGAAAGTAAGAACTCAAATTATCATTATGTGCAGAAGACATGATACTCTATGTAAAAGACCCAAAGAATTCCACCAGAAAACCCTTAGAATTAATAACTAACTTCAGTGTAGCAGGATATAAAATCAATACAGAAAAAAACTATTGCATTTGTGTATACCAATAATGAACTCAATAAGGAAGAAGGTATGAAAATAATTCATGGTAGCATCAAGAAAAATGAAATACCTAAGTATTAACCTAATTAAGGGTTTGAAAGACCTCTACAAAGAAAACAGCAGAACTCTAAAAGATAAGATTGGAGAAGATATCAGAAAATGGAAAGCTGTCCCCTGCTTCTGGATAGGCAAAGTCAGTATTGCCAAAATGGTAACACTCAAAGAACTGTTAGACACACTCAGTGCAATCCCAATCAAAATAGCAGTGGCACTACAGATCCAAAGAAAACAATGCTAAAATTGATATGGAACCAGAGGCAAGCAAGAATTGCAAAGCAGTTTTGGGCAGTAAGAGCAAAGTGAGAGGCACAGCAATACCTGACTTCAAGCTATGTTATAAAGAAATAGTTATAAAAACAGCATGGTACTGGGACAAAAACTGATATACATGGGTCTCTGGAACAGAATTGAGGATATGGAAACTTCCACAGACACATTGAGCTATTTAATCTTGAACAATGGGGCAAAAGCATATGTTGGAGGAAAGATAGCCAATTCAACAAAGGATAAGGAGGAAAATCGTTAATCTGTGTGCACAGAATTGAAGCTATCTTTCACCATATAGTAAATTAAAATCAAAATGAATCAAAGATCTAAACACTAAAACAAACATTAAACCTACTAGGAGATAAAATAGATAAAAAATGATCAATTACATCAAAGAAAAATACTCCAATCTCCAAGTCATTGGAGGCAGTGTGGTCACTGCAGCCCAGGCCAAGAACCTCATCAATGCAGGTGTAGGTGCCATTTGGTGGGCATGGGAAGTGACTCCATTTGCTTCACCAGGAAATCTTGACCTGTGGGAGGCCCCAAATGACAGACGTGTACAAGGTACCAGAGTATGCACAGCACTTTGGCATTCCTGTCATTGCTGGTGGAGAAATTCAAAATGTGGGTCCTATTGCCAAAGTTGTGGCTCTGGTGCCTTCATGGTCGTGGGCTCACCACTGGCTGCCACCACTGAAGCTCTTGGTGGGACCTCTTCTCCAGTGGGACCCAGCTAAAGAAATACTGCGGCATGGCTTTTCTTCATGCCATGGACAAGCATCTCAGCAGCCAGAACTGCTATTTCAGTGAAGTTGACATAATTGAAATTGCCCAGGGAGTGTCAGGAGCTGTGCAGGACAAGAGATCCATCCTACAAGTTTGTCCCTTGATTGCTGGCATCCAGCCCTCCTGCCAGGACATTGATGTGAAGAGCATGTCCGAGACATGATGTACTCTGGGAAGCTAAAGTTTGAGACAAGAATGTGCTCAGCCCATATGGATGGTGGTATGCACAGCCTTCACTCATACGAGAAATGACTTTTCTTAAAAGGAATTCATCATACCTCCTTGATTTTTCAATAAAAGTTTGGAAAATTAAAAATAAAAGTCGAAAAAAAGTTAAAAAGTAGAAGACATAGATGTAGGAAAGAATATTTTCAACCAAACCTCAACTGTACAAGAATCAACAAGTGGGATTATATCAGACTGTAAAGCTTCTGTACAGCAAAAGAATCAGCAGAGTGAAGCAATCAGTAGAGACAACCTACAGAATGAGAAAAAAGTTTGCTAGCTATTCAGAGGAGTTATATCTAGAATAAATATGCAAAAACTGAAAAATCACCTAGAATTAAAGATCTAGTTAAGAAATGAGCAAAAAAAGTGAACGGACACTTCACAGAGGAAGGAATACAAATGGCTAATAATGAAAAAATGCTGCATATACCTCATCATTAGAGAAATATAAATTAAAACAACACTAAGATTCCATTTTACCCAGAAACAATGGCAGTCATTAAGTAATCAAACAATAACAAATGCTGGCATGGCTGTGGTGAAAAAAGAACTCTCCATTGTTGGTGGGAATGTAAATTGGTACGACCCTTTGGGAATCAGTATGGGGATTTTTCAAAGAACTAAAATTAGAAATTCCACATGACCCATCTGTCCCCTTCTAGGCATCTTCCCCACAGAGGATCAGCTATCATACTACAGCAATATATGTATAATTCTTGGTTGCTTTTCTCTCACTCTTGGGACAAAATACCTGACACCCAAAACGAAGGAAGGAAAGATTTATTTAGCTCATTGTTTGCAGAAGTTTCAGTCCATAATCAGCTGGCTCCAAGGCAGGATGGTGTGGCATCAGGGCAACACTTCAAGGCAAGAGCCAGGCCAAAAGGTGGGGGGCCCTTTTCCTTCCTTATATTCTACGCAGGCCACCGCCACTCCAGGGCAGGTGTAGCATTCACAAAGTCTCCTTGTCTTGCACAGGACCAGAATACTTTCAAAATAAGAACCCTGGCTCCCTGCTGAGTCTCTTAAACTTCTAACTTCTCAAAGTGTTAAACTTCTAAATGCTCCAATTGACTCAATATATCAACCATAACTTGGCAAGCAGACACATTTCTTTTAACAGGTCGCCAGATATAAAGGCATGCTTATTTTTATCATTTCACAATTTGAATATTATAACACAGGTTTAACAATCCTAAAGAACTAACATTAAATCTACTAATATTATATTACATTAGAATCATAACATTTTGTTCTTGCCCCACCCAAAGACTCATGTACATCCCTTTATGCAAAAGGCATTTAGTCCATATGCAAGAGTTGCCAAAGTCCTAACAGTTTCAGCATTGCTGAAAAGTCCCAAGTCTCCTCTGAGATGTAAGACAAACCTTTAGCTGTAAGTCCCTATACAAATGAAAATAAAGTTAAACATTTCCAACATACAATGTGGTACAAGATAAACATTCCCATTCCAAAAGGTACAAATGGGGATGCAAAGCACTAGAACTAAAGCAAGTCCAAAATCCAGCAGGGCAAACATTAAGTTCTGTAGTTGTACATCCAGCATCTGAAGCAATCTGTGGCAGAGTGTGAGCTCCAAAGGGCTTATGTGGTTCCACTCCTGTGGCACTTCTGGTGGTTGTAGCTTTTACAGCCTCTCTCTTAGGCCCACTTTGCTCTGTCTTTGCAGCTTTCCTTACATAATCCGTGTTCCTGGCTTTTCCAAACTTTCAAGGTCTCCCCTGCATCTCTGGCTTCACACTCACAGCTTTACATACTGCCCTCTTGGGGGCACACTGCTTGGACTCTCAGGCCTTCTGAAATCAGAGTGAAAGCCTTTTAAACCTCAGGGCACTTGCATTCTGTGTGCACCTAAAACCAGCACCTCATGGATGATGCCAAGGTCTGCTTCCAGCCAGAGCAGTAGCCAGGCTTTCCTCTCCTTTGCCTATAGGGGATGAGTGCCTGGATCACTAGGCACTCTGAATCCAGTTCTGAGGAACACATTTTCTATGCTGCTGCCATTCTGGAATATTGTGCTCTGTGGCTTTTGCCTCAAAGCAAAGTCTCACTTTTGCAGTTTTGAGACTGCAAAAGTTTAAGACTTGCTGCTTTTTGTGATGCCTTCAGTCTATCTGTTTTATTCTTCTGGTCATTTTCAACAATTGAGATTTCCTCATCTCTGTCTTTGCAGTCCACAGCTTTATTGACGCTTCTTTTCTGGCCAGACTCATGTGTTTAAATCACTGCTGGTCTATTTGCTCTTGATTTACAATGTAAATCTGGCTAAAAATCCCCAGCAATAGCCATGCCACAATTCAACATTTGACTTCCTTGAATTTCTTCTGCCAGATTAATTAGTGGACTACCTTTCAATCTTAGTTTCAGGCAAAACCTCTGGACACAAGAAAAATGCAGACAAACTTTCTGCCAAGACATAACACACATCATCTGAATTCTAGCACCCAGTGCAGCTTTTCCTAGAAGAAACCTCCGGAGCCTGGTCTTTACCGGTTTTCTGTCTTCTGATCTCTGATCAGACTCTCCCAAACAGAATAGCGTAAGCTATTCCATCTTTACTCCTTCAGGTGACATCTCCTAATCTGTCCAAATTCTTCCCACAAGCCATTCCTAAAGGCTCTTGAATCACATGACCATGTATAGTCACAACCCCATTCCTGGTACCAAATTCTGTCTTGGTTACTTTTCTGTTGTTGCTGAGATAAAATACCCAACACCTAAAATGAAGGAAAGGTTTAGCTCACAGTCAGTCACGGTTTTAGTCTATAATCAGCTGGCTCCAAGGCAGGGTGGTGTGGCACTGGGGCAATACTTCAAGGCAGCAGCCAGAGCAAAAGGTGGGGCAGGGAGGGCAAGCTTTATTTCTTCCCTTATATTTGTACAAAGGCCACCTCCCACCATGGCCCATGTAGCACTCACAAAATCTCCTTGCCCTCCTCCTGCACTGGAGGAGGATATTTACAAAGAACCCTGGCTCCCTGTTGAGTCTCTTAAACTTCTAAACTTCTCAGGTTGACACAATATATCAACCATAACACTTACCAGTGTTAATAGCAGTAAAATTTGTAATAGCTAAATCCTGGATGCAGCCTCCATACCTATCAACAGGGTAAAGAAAATATGGTATCTCTGTCTAAAGGAGTATAACTCAACTATAAAGAATGACACACTTTGAAACATATATAGGAAAATGAATGCACCTGGAAAATATGTTGAGTGAAGTAAGCCAGATATGCAAACTTAATTACAATATAGTATCTCGTTTGGATGAAGTAAAATGCAAACAAAGATAACAATAAAGGATGGGAGAAGGGGGACAAGGGACTGGATCTCTTGCGATAGTGGAGGCATCCAGTGGAATGTCAGCAAAGGCTGAGGAGGAAGGGAAGGGGAAGCAAGCAGAATAAAGATGAGCCATGTACAGGAGCCTAATGACCTCAATTAAGGCAAACCTTACAGGTCATAACATGAGCTAAGAACTAACATCAACAAGAATGGGAAATGGGATAGAGCAGAGGGAAGAGGAGGGAAAGGGAGTTGCAAGAAAGAAGCAAGCTGTGGTACATAAGTTGACTGTAAAGTGCATGAAGTACAGACATATACTAAAATGTTTAACATTAAAGAGGAGAAACATCAAGTGCCTTCAGGTGGATGAGTACCCAGACAGTCAGATGGGAGCACTTCTGTAGCAAACGAGCCTTATGTTTGTCAGTAGGTGTGTGTTCATTTATTACCATTATTGTCAACATTATTGAGTGTTTTGTTTCTTCTAGTGTTTTGAGTTGAACCCAGGGCCTTACTCAGGCTAGGAAAGAGCTTCCCCTCGGAGCCTCATCTCCAGCTCTTGTTCCTGTCATGGTTTGTACTTGGCATAGCACCATGAAGTCTTCTTTATAAAGAGTTGTATTTAAGTCACTGCATTGAGTTCTAGAAGTGGGAAAAAGTTTAGTTTATAAGAAAGATGGTTAATTTAATGCTTTACAGAATTGACAGACGATCTGTAAGCCCATTACTTCATGAACTCAAGTTGTCATTAATCTTGAAAACACTGACCTGTCTATAATTTGAATTTTCTCTAGTGTAATTATGTACTTTATGACAGACGTGTTTGATGAACTTTTTTCTAGTATCAGTTATTTTAAAATTACCTGAGAATTTTAAGAGTACAACATTTCCCAAGCCTCAAAACATACACAAGTAAGACTCAGCAGCTGTCCTTGTGACTTTGAACAAATGAGGTGACATTTTTTCCTACCTGCCTAGCTAATATTTCATGTCCTTAAAAGGTATTTAGAGTATGTGTTTCATCAAAAGTAAAGTGAAGCAAGGTATGGTAGCCCATGACACAATGCCTGTAATCCCAGCACTCTGGGAGGCTGAGATAGGAAAGAGACTTGCAAGTTTGGGTTTTTGTTTTGCATTTTGTTTGTTTGTTAATGTGGTTTGGTTTGGTTGTATTTTAAGTTCAGTCTTCACCTGGGCAATTTAGCAAGACCCTTTCTCAAAATAAAAAAGGGCTAGAGATTTAGCTCAGTGCAGAGGCCCTGGTTTCAGTCCCTAGTGTGGCCAAAAAGAAAAAAAGTAAAATGAGTCATCTATTAGATATTTTGTTTAACATAAAGGAACATTCTGTAACGTACCTCATGAAACCCCTGATGAAGTTTATTTTTCCTTAAGGTATTTCAAACTGTGTAATACCTAGGATAGTTATGTCAACTTCTCATTTTTGTTGTTTGTGGTTATTGTTCTTTTTTATAAGTAAAATCTGTAGAACAGAGAAAAACCATTTTGTTCCTTCTGCGGTAGGCAAACTGTGCTTGCAACACGAGGACCTCGCAAAGAAAAGTGTTCCAGCCCTGGTGAGAGAGCTTGAGGTGTGTGAGGACGTGGCCGTGCGCAACAACGTTGTCATCGTGCTGTGCGACCTGTGCATCCGGTACCCCGTCATGGTGGACAAGTACATCCCCTACGTGGCCATGTGCCTGAAGGACTCCGACCCCTTCATCCGAAAGCAGACGCTCATCCTGCTTACCAACCTCCTGCAAGTACGCGTGAGAAGGGCACTGTCCTTCCCCTACCCGCTGCACCCGCTGGTCAGGAGTAAGGGATACTTAATTAGCGCAGGAAATGTGCTTGCTTTGTAGTGGAATCTAGAAATAATTAGTTTCATTTCTGGTTTCGAATGTTCTCACCCTAGAATGTTTCTGATGTTAGTGTAGTTGTTTAAACACATCTTCACCTGCAAGTATTCATTTAGAGTGTTTTTCAGATATCCTATTAAACATTGGTAAGTTCCACCTTTGCAAATAAATGCCATGTAGGAAAAAACACCCAGGCCAGACAAGTAGTTCTTACTCCAGTTCTCTTATGCATCTTGACCTCAAGCAAGTCTGTGTTTCTCAGATGTAACTACTGTCAATGATTGGTGCTGGTGGCTATTTCAAAAGTGTTGCTCTGGAAGTCCAGTGAGAGATTGCAGTGTGTAAAGCAAAATAGTGAATTAAAAGTTTCTACAGAATATTGGATATGGTATTCATTCAGAGAACATGCTTGGCTTGTAAGGAGGGAGAAATAATATTTATGATTAAAAAGAAAGCATTTGACTAAGTCATGTATCTGCCCTTTTGTGTTCTGTGGGTTTATCTTGTCAAGCAGTATATTCCAACAGTCACCACTGGTTCTGTCCTGTTGTATTCAAGCCACGTGCTTCCCTTGAGACCATAATGTTAAGTGAAATAAATCAGACACATAAGTTTAAATATCTCACAGTTTCTTTTAAATAAGAAACCCTAAATATAAGAAGCAAAATAAGAGAGATAAGAGGGGATCGAGAAATCTTCTCAAAGGGAAGGGATCAAAAGATGGAGTGAGATGAGGAAGAAGAGAGGGAAAAAGAATTAAAAAGAAATTAAGATGTGTTACATACATGTACCAGCTCCACACAAGGAATGCCAACATTACATATCGCAAACATGTACTAATAAAAAAAAAAACTAAAAATTTTAGAAGATAACAAAATAATTAAAATGAAAGCATGTCACTTCAGCACAGTAAGGTATCTAGTGCTGTTCTGCCTACGTGCTCCATGTCTGTGCTTGCTTTTTTTTCCTCTCGCCCCTTCTCCACTCCCAGCCATGCCTGCACTTTCAAAATGACTGGAAAGTGAATCCTGCCAGCTGAGCCATGTCTTCTGGGCAGCCCAGAGCCGCGGCTGTGCTGTCACATGGGGAACATCAGTAAGACCTACATGGCTGGATGCACCAAAGGGTTACGGTTAACACTCATCCTTCATCGTGCTGTTCTCTCTTTGTACAGGAAGAATTCGTGAAATGGAAGGGCTCTCTGTTCTTTCGATTTGTCAGCACGCTGATAGATTCACACCCAGATGTTGCCAGGTAGGTCTTACCCTCATGTCACACAGCTGAGCAGATTACCTAATTTTTGGTATGCACACAATTTCTTTTCCTTAGGATTCTTTTTTTTTCTTACATATTTATTTAGGATTTTGTGAGCTTTTGGTAGTTGCCTGAAAATGTAGCAGGGTTTTTAAATGGTAAGCTAGCTATATCACAGATCTGTATTTTGCATATAAGTTCAAAACAAAACAAAACAAAGAACTCCATTAAGTAACTCTTTCATTAATCTCTGTATTGGCTACATTTGCTAATGTTATTTGCTCTCCCAAAGAAGTAATAAAAGATGGTTCTGCCATACTAAATTTATATAGAAGTCATTGTTGACTTGTCTGTGTTGATTTCTCAACCCACCAAAAATGTTACTTTCGTTAAAGAATTCATACTTTCTTTTAAGTGCAGAAATTGTAAGGAAGAATTTTCAGAAATTAACACAATTGCAGTGTAGAATAGAGATACAAATGCTAAGGCTCTTTGGTAGTGGCAAGCAGTCCCAGGGATTCAGCTCTGAGAGTATCAAAGCACTGCCAGTCCTTTCTATCATTTTATTTTGAGATGGGATGTTACAAAATTGTCCAGGCTGTCCTCAAACTTGGAGTCCCCTTGCCTCAGCCTCCAAGTAGCTGAAATCACAGCAGCATACAACTTGTGTCATTTTTTTAAGGATTTCTTTTCAGAGTTGAGGATTGGTCTGATAGACTTTGTTCTTGTAGATAATACCATGTGAATTATTCTTTTGAGAGCCAGTCTGCAACTGAAAAACAGAATGTTGAATGCCTTGGCAAAAGCCACCATAATGGGAAAAGGTCTTTATAGAGTTTATTGACTATAAATAGCATATAATAATGGGTCCCTGCATTCTAAATATGGTCACCAGTAATTTAGTTTGAGTTCTGTGGAAGAATTGCTGCTGTTTTCTTTGGGTGTAATTTTCCAAGGAGGAACGCTTCCCATAATCGAGTAGCAGAAGGTTACCATTCTGATTAATACTGCCTAGTCCCAGAAGCACAAAGCCCGGGCTCTCACTTTCCTGTTTCTTTGTGTAAGTAGGAGAGGGAACCAATAATGGCGGCACTTCCTCTCGCCTTACAGCCCCTCCCTAATGCTGAGCTCACGGCTAGACACTTACATAGTGCGTAGCCCAGAGGTTTGCATAATTGGAAATTGCTGGAGTGCTTTCAGCAGTGAATCTCGGAGAAAAGATTGGTTGTGGAACCTGTATTTTCTTATTTCTTGGTCACTTTTGTTAGTTCTTACTCATCCGTATTAAAAAGGGGCAATAAGTACTGTTAGCCTTCCTTAAACATTACATAGTATACACATGGATTAAAATATCATACCCAATAATTATGTATGATTTGTATGGTTTTAATATATAGGTTAAAAAATTAAAATGTTTAAAAATATAAAAGATTTATTTTAAAAGAAGCATTCATCAGTGTGTAAAATATATATAGAACCTGTGAATGCAAGCACTCAGCATCAATTAGAAAGACAAAGAGATCTTACACTATCATGAGGTTATCAGCATTTCTTCTAGCATTTTAATATCCCTTAAAGCCTTTCATTTTATTTTTGGCATTCTGGGTTCATTTCAGTTGTACTCAACTATGGGCAGGATTTTCAGCTTCAAAGAGTTGATGACTATATTTGCTAAAGTTAATCTGTTCCCTAAATTTTAAACCAAGGACCAGGCTATCTGCTTACATTAAAGTCTTTTTTAATATTTGTTTTCCAGTGTAGGTCTTATTTATTCAGCTGAATTTCCTGAAAATTTTGGCATGAGCAAATGTGTGTGAAACTTTTTTTTTTTTTTTTGGTACTGGGGATCAAACTCGCCACTGCACACTTGCAAGGCAAGTGCTTATGCTGCTGAGCTAAATCCCTGGCCATAAACTTATGTGAAACTTTTAATTGGTCATATAACCAAAATTTGGGGGTTTTAAAATTGTCATTTTTTTACTACCTCTTCCCACATAGGTGAATGGCCTTGTGGTCTAGTAGCCATAGGGCAGTAGCCAAGTAACACTTGGATTGGTGTCTTAGTAATTTGTTTTTCATTGCTGAGACAATATTCAACACCCAAAGTGAAAGGCTCACAATTTGGAGAGCTAGCTACAAGGCAGGGTGGCATGGCAGAGGAGTGTCACAGAAGAAACAATCCATGACAAGGCAGGCAGAAGGCACCAGCAGGAAGCAGAAGAAGCAGGCCTCCTTTTCTGTTACCCCATTCAGCTGTATGCCTGTTAGATGGGGCGGCCCATACCCAGAAGTATGATAAGCCAATCAGTGGACTGATTCATTACCACAGACCCTTGATCCACACTTATGCACCCTAGATCCAACCACATCCAGAAAATCCCAGCTATAAACTCATGAGGTTTTGGGGACATCTAAATACAAGCTATGCAACTGGGTAGTTGCCTCAAAAGTACAAGGAGGCAGAGTCCAGAGAAAATCAAGGCAAGAAAGTGACATGGTATCATGTCCCCTGGAGGAAAAAAGGGATGCTAGATCATGGTTGGTTTGGGAGACACAGGAAGCAGTTAGCTACTTAGAGGGCTTCGTGAAGTGTGAGGAACAGATGGAAGGGGGTTAGGGAGCCTGACAGCTGGAAGGGTGGGTGGGTTGTTCATCAAATCGGCTGGTGGGTAGCCAATGTAGAGACGTGGTCCGGGATGTGACGATGGACTGGTGACATGGGACACACTTGGGGGCCCTGCAGGCCATAAAGTCAGAAACAGAAGGTTAATCAGTCAGCTCCTTTGTGTGGCATTGAAGACAGTGGGTCCTGTTAGGACCGAGAATGCAATGGAAAAGTTGAGCGGGATACCAAGGAGTAGAGAGCAGAGTAGGTGAGTGACAGGGCTGTGATAGCAGGGGCTGGATGTGATGGGCTGGGTCAAGTGGAGCAGAAGAGTGAGAGAGAGAGAGAGAGTGTGTGTGTGTGTGTGTGTGTGTGTGTGTGTGTGTTTGCACGGTAGCCAGCTCTTACTCCGCGCTCCTCTACACTCTTCTTTGGCTTTGCTTTTCTTCAGAACACTTTTGACAGCACCCTCTGGATGGACTTTACCTACTACATTATAGGGTTCCTGAGGGGTGGATGGCTAAAGCCTCACACCTGAAAGGGGGTCTGGAACTCAAGTAGGCACTCAGTGAACATTTCGTAAACAAAAGAGGGAAGAATTAGGGGGCTGGGAAAAGCGGTCCTTGTCCCCTGACTGGAGTGTGTCAGAGGAAGTGGCCTTCCTCTGAGAGGAATGTGAGTAGGTTGCATGCCTGGAGGAAGCCAGCTCTGCATTTAGTTCTGGAAACTGGTAGGCTCTCTCCCTCATCTTGGTGAAGTCTTGGTGGCATCTGTCCAGTGTGGGCCATCGGAAACATGTTTTGGGAGCCTCTCCCTGGTTTGAGGGCCCAGGTAACAGAGGGCACCCAGGGCTTGCTGGCGATTGCAGCACTGGGTGATCATTCTGTGGGGAGTGCTGTACTTACCCTGCTGACCCAGACTGCAAAGCTCTTGTTAATCATCCTTCTAAGAAGTAAAGTCCCAGTTACCACAATTGGCTGTTGTTCATCACTGTGGACAAAGCTTGAAGATCGGGGGATGAAGCTGAGGTGCTGATTTCAGATGACAGTTGCCATGATCTGTACTTCAAGAAGTGGTTAGGGTAGGTTGGTTGGCTGGTTTTCTTCTAGCTTCAGCGTCACATTTTATCAAAATTGTGAAAGGAAACTTGAAAGTGAAAACTTTACACTGGCCTTGGGTTCAAACGAGAGCACTGAGGAAAAACGAACAAAAGCAACCGAATTTCTCCCTAGCTTGTCATCTTCTGTTGGGTTGTTTATAGTGCTCGGGTTAATGTAGGGCCTCATACTAAGCAACATCTCCAGCCCTTTTTAACTATACATTTTGAGACAAGGTTTTGCTAAGTCAGTAAGTTGCCCAGGATGGGCTCAAACATGGTGATCTTCCTGCCTCAATTTCCTGTAAGTGCTAGGATTACAGCATGTGCCACCAAGCCCAGCTTCGGCTTTGCTTTTGATCTGTAGAACCCGCTGCTGGGCTGGGTGAGGAACCTCTTACTTCATCTTGCCGTTTTCTTCTGTCCCGAGTCACTGGTATATTTGTAGAGGTCATTTGTGGATGGCAAGTGGGTCTCCTCCTCTTGAATCTCCCGCCTTTGCAGCTTTGGAGAGTTCTGCCTGGCGCACCTGCTACTGAAGAGGAACCCCGTCATGTTCTTCCAGCACTTCATCGAGTGCATTTTCCACTTCAACAACTACGAGAAGCACGAGAAGTATAACAAGTTCCCCCAGTCGGAGAGGTCAGTAGGTCGCCCAGTGGTCTCTGCCTCTCAGCAGAGCAGAGTGAGGCATGGGAGGCTGGCTGCATCTTCCCGGGGCGGGACACAGACCCTGAGCAGAATCCAGAGGTCAGAATGCCTGCGCTGAGCCCTAGATCTCCAGATCCTTGTGTCTGGCGCGCACACTGCCAGGGAGCTTTCTGAATCCACCCTGTTCATGTGATGATGAAATTGTCTCCTTCTGCCCCAGAGAGAAGAAGCTGTTTTCACTGAAAGGAAAGACAAACAAAGGGAACCGAATGAAAATCTACAAGTTTCTTTTGGAGCACTTCACAGATGAGCAGCGGTTCAACATCACTTCCAAGATCTGCCTTAGCATCTTGGGTAGGCCACATGCTTGGGGCAATGTGGGTATTGATAAAGGGCCAGGAGATCTGTAGCACCGTCCTTTGTCCTCCTTTGCCATCAGCTGTGGCCCACAGGGACCCCCCAGCAGGACTCGCTCCCAGCCCCGTTGGCCCCCCAGGGCTGCAAATTTCCTTCCTCTGGGATGAGCATTTCACAGATGCTGGTCTCTGTTCCCTTTCTCAGCCTGCTTTGCAGATGGTGTCCTGCCTGTGGACATGGAAGCCAGTGAGTTACTATCCGATACCTTTGAGGTCCTCAGCTCAAAAGAGATCAAGCTTTTGGCAATGAGAGCCAAATCGGATAAGGATCTCCTCTTTGAGGAAGACGAGGTGGCCTTGGCCGACGTCGTCATGCAGGAAGCGAAGAAGCAGCTCATCTCGCAGGTGTGTGTGCTATCATTCCCCAACGATGGGGACCCTCAGGTCTGCGCCTAGCTGCATTTTGTGCAAGCATGGACCTGGTTCCACCTGCCTGCCCGTCAAGGCTGAGCCCATCCTAACCCGTTCTTCTCCCTGCCGCCTGTCACTTCCTTCTCCCGATTAGCTGCCAGTCGGTTAAAGGGGGCACCTGGTGCTACAGCAGAGCACAGAAAGGAAGTCTGGCCGGGTAGGCGTGCCCTCGGAGTGGGAAGGTAAAATGTGATTGCCTTTGGGAAGCCCATTCACCCCTCAGGCCTTACCAGGTCCCGGTTCAAATGACTGATTTCTGTCTCTCACCTGACCAAGAGGAGTGGATGCGTTGCACAGGTTCACTGCAGGATCCTGCCCCTTCAGTCTTGCAGATCGCTTCTCTGGGTTCCTGCTGGCTCTGACCTTTCAGGCCTTTCCCAGTGTTTTCCTTAGCACCTTTCTGTCTCTAGCTCTTTCTTTCTGTCTTTCTTTTTTTAATTTTTCTTTTTTCTTTCTTTTTTCTTTTTTTGACACAGGATCTCATTATGTGGCACAGGCTGGCCTTGAACTCACAGCCATGCCCCTGCCTCAGCCTCCCAAGTGCTGGGATCACAGGTGTATGCCACCGCACCTGGCTTTCTGGTTCTTTCTGTTGCAGGCTGTGAGCCACCTTGTTGCCAGAGCAATCTTCCTGAAGTACAGTTTCATTCCCCTGCTTAAAACAGACTAGGAACAGACTAACCGGGGGACAGTAGGGAACTCGGGGTGACAGGCTAGAGGCGACCTGCGGTATTGGTTACCCTGTGTGTCCTTCCATGAAAGCTCGTAGGACCGATCTCTCCAGATGGGGAAACATGTCATGCATGCTCTCCTGAGGTCTTTGTAAACTGTGTCAGTGGCAAAGCTGAGTAAAAGCCTGAGCCTCCCAGGACACACTCTGAGTATGCCTGGCCCTGCCCTGCTCTTCAGTGGCCTCTGCCCCCCAACGCTCTGTCCTGGTCCTCGGTGTGGCGCCCTCTCCCTCCCCTGCTAATCCCACCTCCCTCTGGCACTTCTAAACTCTGATGACCTGTTCCCATGTGCCTGCTCCCTTCCTGATGTCCCTCCACAGCAAGCTCTAGTGGCCTGTTGCTGCATTTGCCACTCCTCACAGCAGCTCTAGAACAGCCCTCACGCAGCAGTTCTGGGCTTCACTTCTGTGAGGTGAATTCATGAACAAAAGCATAGGAATCCAAGCAGCCAAATTTATATATTTGGAATTTAATTAACTGAGCTCAGGACCACTCGTATACAGACCACCCACACACCCCTGTTCAGCGTCCAAACAAGTGACACTGAACTGTTAAGTTGTGGAGGTTTTTTGTTTGTTTGTTTGTTTTTTTGTCTTTTTCATTTTTATCAGTACCGGAGATCGAACTCACAACCACCTGCTTGCAAGGCAGGTGCTTATGCCGCTGAGCTAAATCCACAGCCCCCAGTTGTAGAGTTTTTAAAAGAGACAATCACAAAAGACATCCTGTTGGAAACAGTTTAGCTCAAATCTTTCATTAATTTTCGGTTGACACCTGTATCCTTCTTTTGTTGAGCAGGTTTAATTTTTCTCGTATAGGTACGGCACATTCTGCTTTTCTCATGGGACTTATACCTCAGTAATTTTCCATTTTCCTGAATACTGAGCATTAGTTAAATGCAGGGCTCACAGGGCTGGGGGTTTAGCTCAGTGTCGTAAGTGCCTGCTTGGCAAACACAAAGTCATGAGTTTGATCCCCAGTACCAAAAAAAAAAAAAAAAAAATTACAGGGATTAAGATGGCATCAGTTATGCCAAGCTACAACATTCCTCATTAGTTTTAGTGCATGAATCAAATCCTTGATTCCTGGTCACCTTTTTAAAAGTCATCTTCCTCATCTACATTTTGCAGTTCCTCATATTGGGAACATATAACCATTAATTTAATGGATTGGACTCGGCTTTGGATGTAACACATTAAATAGTTTATCATACAGGGGCCAATAGTAATGGCCAGTAGGATGACAATCAGGGCTCCTGCCAGAGTCAGTAGGATGGTCAGCCATGGGTTGTGGAGGACAAATTTTTATGTCAACTCTGTTGATAATGTCTCTTATTTTTCCTATCATATAGGCACTATCTGAGCTGATTAAGACTGTTTTTAAAAACAACAAGATTTACCAAGGGCTAGGCACAAACTCCCTTGTGTTAAGAATAGAAGGTCTAGACCTCGCCAGTTCTGAAGGACCATCTCAAGCAGGAAGTTTAGAGATGGTGATGAACATTTTGTTCACAGTGTATTTCTTTGCTTAGTATCTGGTAATTTTGGTCCCCTCCCCCCCACCATGAGGCCTGTGGTTCCTAGTGCTGTGGAACTGGCTACTCCAAATCCCAAAAGGGCAGAAATTAGCACTGGGGCCTCTTTTTTCTTGTGAGGTTGGGTAATCCTATATGTTACCTCCCTCCTTCTCCAGAATACCAGTGCACTTGGGGAAGAACATGAGTTAAGATACAGCATTCAGGGGCTGGGGATTTAGCTCAGTGGCATAAGTGCCTGCCTCAAAAGCAGGCAGTCGTGAGTTGGATCCCTGGTACTGGTAAAAACGAAAAAGCAAAAAAAAAAAAAAAAAAAAAAAGATACAGCATTCAGGGTTAGGTCCAGTAAAGACAGCCAGACAAGCACAAGAGGTGAGGCGATTAGTATAGGCAAACCAAGTTCCCAGCGGGGAGACTCAGTGTTGGTTGAGGAGGGAAGAGACATTTCGTACATACACAGTTGAATTACAATTAATTTGAAATGGAGAAATTTACAGACTGAATACAAAGTCTAGGGCCCTGAATGTTTCCCAAAGTAAGGGACTTAGATCCTTGCCCCCACCAGCATGAAGAACCAGAATCAAAGTTTGAGGTGTTTATAATCATGCTTCAGTATTAGTTATACATAATCCACTTAGCTGGAATCTCTAGTATTGCAGGCTTAAAGTGGGAGTGATGAATCTAATGGCTGTTTCCTGTGACCTTGATGGCCGTGGGAGTACCCAAGGTGACTGTACAAGATCCTTCCAAACGAGTCCCAGGAATGTGGGTTGTCTCTTTTGATGTAGATTTGATCACCAGGTTGAGTTGCCAGAGGGTCATCAGGTATTTCAGGAATGGTCTGGTGGCCCCAGAACAAGTGGTGGGTCGAGTGCAGAAAGGGCTGGAGAGCCTGTAAGGACTTAACAAGTTTCCCATTAGTGACAGCAGCCAGCTTACCATCTTGGGGGATCAAAGAGAGGGGTTGCCATACATGGCCTCAAAAGGACTAACATCCTGGAGGTAGGGGGTACATCACACACACAGAAGGGCAAAAGGAGGAGACTTAACCAGTTTTCACCAGTCTCAAGAGTCCGTTTTGAAATAGTTTTTCAGTGGTTTGTTTTCTCTACTGGGCCTGAACTTTGAGGCCAGTAGACACAGTGTAATTCCCAATTGATTTCTAAAGCTGTATCTAAATTTTGAGTGATCTGAGCTATGAAAGCTGGGCCATTGTCAGACCCCAGGGAAGTGGGCAAACTGAAATGCACTGTCCCATGGTGAAGTTTCTTAGCTATGATGAGAGCTGATTCAGTCTTGAGTGGCGAATCCTTCAGTCCATCTGGTGAATTTGTCTAGAAGAGGTAAGAGATACTTTTGTCCTCCTTTTCCTGGATCCATTTCAGTAAAGTCTATCTTCCAGTGGTCTCTAGGGGTAAGTCTTCATTGTCCCTTTAGAACATCAGTGGTGGCCATCTGAGGGCTCACTTGAAGACATTGTGAACATGATTGGCTGATCTCTTTAGTCTCTACTTGGCCAATTTGGTTCCCCCAAGTGAGTGGCCCAGTGGGTCTCCTGGATGAGCTGGGAGCCCAACGATCTGTCAGCCTTCCAGAGAAAGTTGGGCTTCTAGGTTCTTGGCTGGTCTCAAGTCTGAATAGGATGACTTGAGTAGTATGGGTGACAGGAGAGCTGGCCCCATTGGTTTTAGTGCCACCTCTCTGGCTGTCTTAACAGCAAGAGCATATTCACGAGCTATTGGGGTGTCTTCTCGTTGGTGCCCTAAACAATGTACATGGCAACCTTTCAAGGCAACCAAATGGCAGCCAGGAGGTCTAAGATCTCAGGGGCATTCTTCATCTTTGTTCTTGCTGAGGTTAGTAATCCCCTTTCCTGATAAATGGCCACATACACATGAATGGTAGCAAAAGCATACCAACTATTTGTCCCCACCTTAGGGCTTGAGTAAGAGCTATCAGTTCTGCCCCCTGAGATGAAGTTCCCGATCCTAAAGCTTGGGCCCATATTATCTCAGTTTTGGTGGTCACTATAGCTCTTGTCAGTCGAGTACCTTGGAGGTAACTGCTGCTGTCTGTGAAAAGAATGGCTTCAGGCTAAGCAAGCAGTCCATCCATCAGGTCAGCTCGATTGAGGCCAAGTCAGTAATGCCCATACAATTATGTATCCGCATTGAGGGTCATCATCAGGCAGGAGAGTCCCTGAATTGAGGGCAGAGGTAGCCAGGAACTCAATGCAGTCAGTATCCAGTAAAAGGGCTTGATATTGAACAATGCGAGAATCCAGAGGTGACCACAGTAGTGTCTCCACAATGTGTGAGGCCACCATTTGGAGTCTCTGGCCAAAAGTCAACTTAGTGGCTTCTTTGGTTGCAGTGACTGCAGTTATCTGTAGGCAGTTTGGCCACCCTGCAGCCATGGAGTCTAATCACTGGGAAAGGTAGGTGACAGGCCTCTCCCAGGGTAGTAGGTGCTGGGTTGGGTTAAGGCCCCTTTTGCTATTCTATGACTCGGCCACATGTAATTTGAAAGGTTTGGCTAAGTCAGGGAGAACAAGGGCTGGAGTATTCATGAGAGCCTGTTTTAAATCCTCGAAAGCTTGTTCCTCTAACTCAGTCCAGGTTAGAGGTCCAGATGGGTCCCCTCCAGTAGAGGTGTAGAGTAGCTGGTCCATTTCAGCAAAACCCAGGATCTACACCAGCAGTAGCCCAAAGCACCTAGAAACTTTCTTACTTGACGTTTAGTCTTTGGGGAAGGGATTTTTAAGATAGCCTCAATCTTTTTATCTGACAAAGTCCAATTTCCTTCTTTTAATACATACTCCAGATAAGTGATTTTGGGCAGGCAGAGCTGTGCCTTTTTGGCGGAAACTTGTTAGCCCAATTTGTCTAGCCTTCGTGGCTTTCAGACAAGAAGACAAATCTGCAGTGACCAATAGTAAATCATCTACATATTGAAGCATCTGCCCAAAAATCTTGCAGGTCCCTGCTCAGGGCCTCATCAAATAGAGTTAGCGCATTTTTGAACCCCTGAGGTAAATGCATCCAGGTCAGTTGTCCCAGTTCTCCTGTCTTAGGGTCTGTCCATTCAAAGGCAAAGAGGGGTTGACTTACCGGAGCCAGTGGCAGGGAGAAGAAAGCATCCTTCAGGTCCAGTGTGCAGGTGTGCATAGGAGGCAGCAAACTGAGCAAAGCATATGGATTAGGAACAGTGGGGTATAGAGTCATGACTCTTTATTTACCTCTCGGAGGTCTTGGACAGGCCGATAGTCTGAAGTCCCAGGCTTCTGGACAGGTAGCAAAGGTGTGTTCCAGGCTGACTTACAAGGAATCAGGATATTGACCTCTTTTAGCCTTTAAATGTGCTTGGAAATTCCTTTCTTGGCCTGTAAACTGAGGATATTGGCAGACCTGGATTAGGATGGCCCCAAGGTTAAGAATGACAACAATTGGAGGTTGGTTGATTGCAAGTCCCAGGGGGTTGAATTCTGCCCAGACCCCAGGAATCTCCTTTTGCCATTTTTGCAGCAATGAAGTTGGAGAGGAATTTGCCAAGGGCGAGTTTGCCAGAAATAAGTATCCTTCAGTCAGGTGCAAGTAAAAAGAATGCAGAAGGAAAGGTGGTAGTCACCTCTGATTTAGCTTTCTGAAGATCTCTAGTCTTTCTGTGAAACCCAAGAGTCACTGAGAGGTTTATACCCTCAAAAGAGATTTGAGCAGGCTGGAGATTTAGCTCAGCAGCATAACTGTGTGCCTTACAAGCACACGGTCATGAGTTTGGTCCCCGGAACTGATAAAAAAAAGAGAGAAAGAGATTTGAGCCTGTAACTTGTGGAGCAAGTCTCGTCCGATCAGGGGGTAAGGACATTCGGGCATGAAAAAGAAAAAGTGGGTTAGGGGTGCTCTGCTCAAATCTGAAATACTGGCCTGAGTCCATGGGTAAGCTTTAGTTTTTCTAGCTGTTCCTTGAATGCTTGTCTTGGTTTGAGTCAAGAGAACCACTGGCTGTTGTAGGACTGAATAGCTCGCTCCTGTATCAACCAAGAAGCTGACCTTTTGGGCTGTCTCCATTAACTCAAAGAGTGCTTTACCTTTGAATCTTTCTAGCCTTTGAAGCTTTTTTAATATCTGGGGCTGACTGGGAAACAAACATGATATTTAGGGTACGTTTATTTTTTGGTGCCTCTGGATCAATAGATATGTTGGAGGCACTCCAAGAACACAGGTGGAGCCTTGTCAGGTCCCTAACTTACCTCTGTTTAGACAGGTTAGTTGGCTTCCAAGTAGCTGCTTTTTAAAAGCACACAAATGAGTCTAGCAAAACCATAAGAGAGCCTCCTTACCTTGAATAGGGCGAGTGAGGGTTTTGGGGCAGAAGCCCAGAAAAGATGCACTACAGCCAGCTGGGCCTTTGACCATCAGGGAAGCCACGTTGCTGCCCGTGCTCTTGGCCCTAGAGAGCTGAAAGCTACCGTTGCCCCTGTTGCACACCAAAGGTTTCAGCTTTGGCTCTGGCTCCTCTCGGTTTGCTGCTCTCTGGTCGCTTGTGTTGCTCCTGCTGCGTTGGGAGTCGCTGGACAGGAAGTAGTTAAGGTGCCTTGCTCCAGCTGAATGCCTAGCAAGCAGGGAGGAAGAAGGGGGGCCGAGCTCTGCAGTGGGAGCCCCAGAAGTCTGGGCCTCAGGTTTCAGAATGCGGGGCAAAAGGTGGGTGTAGGGCCTGTAGGCAGGGACAGGTACCCCCTCTACCTGCTGGATGGGGTATCTGCAGCAGCAACGCTGTTTTTCAGAGTTGAGGTAGACCTGCTAACACAAAGACAAGTTAAAAGTCCCTTCCATAGGCCAAGAGACTACAAAAGCAGGCCATTTAAATTAACAAAAAGTTTGAAGCTTCCCTGGGTAAACAGGTTCACCATAGACAAAATTCCTGAAAATGGTTAAGAACATATTGCAAAGGCAACAAAAAGCAAAAGCAGACTCAGCCAATTACATGAATAACAAACTAATTACAAACATTAAATTGGTGACAAGATTAACAAAACAAAGAAATGAAATGAGAACTAGTTCAACAAGTCAACAAGTCCCAGGCAATGTCTTGTCTGGGAACAGCCTTGGAAATTTTAATGTTGTGTTCAACAGCTCTACAGACCCCCAAGGGGCAGCCCAACAAAAACTAGAACAATCTTAACAGTAAGGATCTGGAATGCTCCCTCCAAATTAGCATCTAGGGGTTTTGGTTTCTCAAAAAAATTCCTTAAGGATGGGGAATATCTCTGTGGCAGTCCCCCTGAGGAACAATAGCCTCAAAGAGAGGCTTGGATCCTATAGTCCAGGATGAACCCCCAAATGAGGTGAGTTCCTGAAAAATAATATAGGAATCCAAGCATTCAAACTGATAAATTTGGAATTTAATTAACTGAGCTCAGTAACACTCGTATGCAGACACACACACACACACACACACACACACACACACACACACGTATATATATATATATACACAGACACAGTGTTCAGGGTCCAAACAAGTGGGTCTGAACTGGAAAGTTAAGAGTTTTTAAAAGAGACAGTCACAAAAGACATACTGTTGGAAACAGTTTAGCTCAAATCTTTCATGAATTTTTGGTTGACACCTGTATCCTGCTGCTTTTGTTGAGCAGGTTAATTTTTCTCCTGTAGGTACAGTGCACTCTGCTTTTCTCATGGGACTTATACTTCAGTAATTTTCCATTTTCCTGAGTACAGAGCACTAGTTAAATGCCGGGCTCCAGATGGCATCAGTTATGCCAAGCTACAACATTGTGCATCCCCAGAGGCTGGCTTTATGTCGGGCCAAGGAGGCATGTGATCGTGTTTAAGACTGTTCCTACACTAGTATCCTGTGTTCAGTTCCATGTTTCTTCAGTTGCTTCTTGTCTTACCTGTTGCTCTCCTGTTCTAGGATTTGTTTTGAGACAAGATCTCACCATGTAGTTTAGGCTGGCCTTGAACTCACAGTGATACCCTCAGCCTCCCGCATGGTGGGATTACAGATGTGGGTCACCTTACCTGGCCTCATGAGCCATTTTGGAAGAAGCAAGTTTACAAGCAAGAAACATATTAGTGACTTTAAATGAGAAGAAAAATTACTTCGCAAGTTCAGAAGGATAAATGTTATACATGTGAGCTAATGGAATATTTTAATTCTGAATGACTTATTGGAAATATTTGAGTTACTGATTATTTAAATCGAGTACTATGTAAATATACAGGCAGAAGTTGCATCTTCCAGGCAGTGTGTGCATGTGTACGCAGAGCTGGCTAGCCTCACACTTTGCCTTTTCTGGGCTGGGCTTCCAGTGCAGCAGGTCTCTGCAGAGCAGAGCAAGCTCATTTTCATTCCAGAGGGGACGATGCTGACTAGAAGTGGAGCCAGAGGGAAGGCTCCCTGAGCGATCTGGAGCTTTTTGTCATTGCAGAGTATTCATTACTTGTTTTCTGACTTAGAAAATTGAGTGGCATTTATCTGTGACCCGCTGTACACACTTCAGAGTATTTTGCTGTAATGCTACAGAGTCTTTAAGAGAGAAGCGGTAGATCTGTACATCAGTATCTCAGCCAAAAAATCAGATTCGGAGTGTGTTAGGGTGGCTGTACAAAAGTAAATTTGCTTTTTTTTTTTTTTTTAACTTTTTATCAGTACTAGGGATCGAACTCACAACCGCCTGCTTACAAGGCAGGTGTTTATGCCGCTGAGCTAAATCCCCAGCCCCTTACAAAAGTAAATTAAATTAACGTTCTGTCTTTTAGACATTTATTACTCTAAAACATGTCTCTGTGTTACTGCAGGTTCAGAAGAGGAACTTCATAGAGAATATCATCCCACTCATCATTTCCCTGAAGACTATGCTGGAGAAAAATAAGATCCCGGCTCTGCGGGAGCTCATGTACTATCTCAGGGTAAAGGAGGAGCTTGACTTTTGGGGTTGCATTCACCACTGTGCTTGTCATGGCTTTTCTGCAGGCATAGACAGACAGTAATGATGGGAACCCAGAAAGCAGCAAGAGCGACAGATCTCCTTCCCCAGGTGGTTTGGAAATATTCCCACCAGGTGGGGTTTGCCAGGGCACCTCGGCAGACGCTCCTGCTCTGCGGGTTATGCAGGGTGGATATGTCATGCTGAGTTGAGTCCACCTCAGTAGGATTAGAGTGTTCTAGACTTTCTTACCACGGCCAAGGACAAAGTCATCCCGGTGCAGGGTAGGGTCAGAGGTGGCCATGGGGTTTAATTATGGGATGTTTACCCTCCAAGCATCTCATAGACTGCCCTAGGCAAAGTACCTTGGGGATGGGAGGCAGGTACCACGCACTCTGGGCCAGAGTCACTCTTGAAGGGGGACCGTGGGAAGGTCCACTTGAACAAAGCCGAGGTATGTACTCTCAAGGCAGACCTAAATGAGACCTCGGGCCTTTCTTGTAAAAATCACTCAAATAAATGCCACAGTATTTTCCTTTAATATTACTAGCAACTTTTATGCTCTGTCTATGGTATTTTTTTTCCACAAAATTGTTTTGCTATAAAGGCTACCAAAACATTACAGTAGATATAATTTTTATAATATCTTTTTATCCTAGGAAAGCCAAGGAAGATGAGATAAGCTCACTACATGGAAAAAAAGGGGAATTTCCAATTATTGTTACGTTTTTATTACCATAACTATTTTAAACCTCAGAGGGTTCAGGGGAATATAAGAATTGAGGTCCTAAGGTGCTTCAGCAAGTCTTCATCCTGCTTCTGAGCTCAAGCAGAGGATGCCTTGGGAGGCGGGAGGGAGCTCAGAGGGATTTTTCCCTTCCAACCGGGGCTGCCACCTCCTTGGAGCTGCAGTCTGTCTTTCCCTTCCTCTGATACTGTCGACAAGATGACTTTTCCCTCTTGGCCAAGACCTCTTGCTCCCTTAAAAGCAGCCCTTTTAAGACCTGGGAATGTTCTTGCCCAGATGTGATCTGTGGGGTTTACTGTGGAATCCTTAGAAACAGAAGTGTGATCCTGGATGCCAGTGGGGAAGTGGACAGGGACAGGGGCAGCCTCTGCGACTGTGGCAGGGCTCGTCTGTCTCCTCAGGAGTCCAGGCGTCACTTGTCACCTGCAGGTAGACAGGAAGCTGCGGGACAATCCCTTCCATCTCCTTTCATGGCCAGCTTGTGTGTCCTCGAATGTGCCATTGCTTTAAGCAGTCTGTGCGCTAACACAACAGAAACTGCCTGCACTCAGGAATACAAGTCTTACTGTTCTTTTGTTCTGTGTCAAGCTGTGCTCTTTATTCAGTGAAACACTAAGAAATGCTTTTGGCTATGTTTTAGGAGGTGATGCAGGATTACCAAGATGAAGTGAAGGATTTCTTTGCAGTAGACAAACAACTGGCCTCAGAACTCGAGTATGACATGAAGAAGTACAATGAACAGCTGGCCCAGGAGCAAGAGCTGGCCAGACATGCAGAAGCAGACAGGGCAGCCCACAGTGACGCCAGGGCACCCGCCACCCAGGTAGGCAGGAGCCCTGCCTCAGAGTGGCTGGCTTTCCGGTGTGCTCTGTGCTTCCCTGGCCTGCACAGAGCCCACCTGTGCTCCGTGCACCTGCTGGGCACGCGTGACTGGAGGTCCCGCAGGTGCTGCCTTGAGACCTTACCCGAGAAGTCACAGGCACAGTGGAGGGGGTGCTTGATCTGCATGGCAGGGACTTCAGGGTGCCTTAGGCCGTTGCCTTCTGACTTCTGTCTGCCCCGCTGCAGACCCAGGGTCTCCTGGGCTTAGCTCCCGCTCATGCTAGAAGCATGAGGTCCTCACTGACAAGGGATCCAGACAGAGGCGCTGTGTGACAAAGCGCTCTCCTGAAGGCCACATCTGCACAGGACACTGTGCTGACTAAGAGAAATCACACTGGCCCATGCTGATGTGTTCCAAAGTGGACTGACTGGGCTTGCTCACAGCGCGTGGAGACCTCACTTACCTTCTCCAACAGGTGGCCCCAGGCTTAGAAGCAGCATCAGCTGCCACCGGCCAGAAGCCTGCCGAGTCTCCTGGCACAAGCCGGCCCTCAGCAGCAGGGCCCAGCACAGACGACATGCTGGAGAGGGGGCCTCCAAGGATGTTACTGCCTGGGGCGAAGTAAGCAGCGTGGGGTGATGGCACCTGAGTGGCTTGTGGTGCTCTTCAGAGGTTCCGTGTCCTCTCTGCCAGTGTCACCCTCGGGAGCCCCTTCACTGTGCCCATGCCGTGAGGCTGGCCAGGGTGGCCGGCAGCGGGGCAAAAGGAAGTGGGTGGGCGTCCCAGGCCGCTGCTGCCCACATGGTGGTCTTCCCCTGAGTCAGTCCAGCGGCCTGTCCCCCTCCCCAGGCGCATGTCCCTGAGTACCATCGCAATCCTGAACTCTGTCAAGAAAGCTGTGGAGTCTAAGAACAAGCACCGCAACAGGAGTATGGGAATACCGCCCTTCTCTCTGGGTTCTGAAAGCCAGGAAAAACCCAGCAGCCGCGGTAAGCCTGAAGGTGGGCCCCAGACAGCAGAGACTTGCAGGTGACAACATGGGTCTGCTTCTCATTCCCATTACAATGGTTTCTCTTTCTTATTTGTAAGACATGTAGCACTGAGGGCTGGGGATTTAGGTCAGTGGTATAAGCACCTGCCTGGCAAGTGTGAGGTTGTGAGTTTGATCCCCAGTACCAAAAAAAAAAAAAAAAGACATGTAGCACTAATTGGGAATATAAGATTACGGATAAGAAAATGACACATATTTATGCTAAAAGATTTGGGAATGAGAAGGAAATGCAGGACTCACCCGAGGCAGAGATCTCATTGCTTCTACTCCTCACATACGCAAATGTTTATTTAGGAAATTGTGACGTTAGTATGCCTTGTTTTACAACCTGCTTCTCCAAATACACTTTCAATGACATAGAGTGAAAATTTCATGAACTTCCAAAACTTTGCCCATGGCTTTATAGCATTCCATGTTGTATGAGTACTAAAACTGTTTCTTACTACCCGATTCTATTTTTGTTTTCTTTATTTTTGAAACAGGGTCTTGATATGTAGCTCAGAATGGTCTTGAACTTACTGTGTCCCCCAGGCTGGCCTCAAACTCAAGGTGATCCTCCTGCCTCAGCCTCCCAAGTGCGTGCGGCACCATGCCCACCACTGCTACCCAGTTCTGGAAAGTATAGATGCTTTCCAATTTTTTATGTAAGTTAGTGTCACAGTAGCAAATATCCTGGCGTACACAGCCTTGTGTGAGTTGAGCATACTCCCAGCAGCCAAAGGCTGTATTTCAAAATTTTCATCATATCAAACTGTCCACCATTTGTGCCAAATGGTACAGGAATGTCTGTATTCCTGTTTAGAAACAGTGGTTTTGTAATTTTACATTGTCTTTGCTGAGATTTATAGACCAAAATTTCCATGATTTTAATTTCTGTTTCTTTGAATTCTAGTGAGAGTGGACATTTTTTCCCCCACCTGGGTCATTTATTTGTAGTCATTTCTGAATTTCTTCTTTGTAAGAACACTTTAAACATTAGGAATTTGAATTTTACCATATGAATCTTAGTTTTCTCAGTGGGTGTTTCTGTTTTGTGATGGCATCTGGGCTTTTTTCCATTCTGTTGCAGTGTCTTCCTGCAGCCTGGAGCGAGAGCTGAATGGGTCCACGGACTGGGTGGCCACGCGGGCGGTCAGCACTCCCCAGCGTGAGTAGTGAGTCTGAGTGGCCCGGTTCTCGCCGGAGCTGCCAGACCTCTTGGACAGGACCTACGTGTGCCTGTCTGACCCACTCCTCCCATGCAGCTGCATTGCATGCATGCTGGGTCACTTGGTTCACCCCGCTTACAGGTGCATCCCGAGCCTCAGGGTTCTCCCAGCCCCTTTGCAGGTACCAGTCCAGCCCAACCTCGCAGCAGCAGCATCGCGCTCCCCCTGGTGTCCTGTGCTGTTCACAGAAGGCAGTGAGAATGGCAGTTTTGTGCCAGTTTTTATTTTACAGCTTCTCATTGTCTCAAACTCCTTAGAAACCATTATCTTGAGAAAATTATTTTGCACATCAAGGATCCTTTATCCAAAATACTTGGAGCTGGGGATTTGGCTCAGCAGCATAAGTGCCTGCCTGGCATGCATGAAGTCATGAGTTCGATCTCCAGTACCAAAAAAAAAAAATCATGCCATCCAAAACACTTGGAACCAGAAGTGTTTTAGATTTCAGGGGTTTTTAGATTTTGGAATATCTGTGTGTGTAGAAGTATCTTGGGGATGCAGCCCAAGCCTGAACACAGAATCTGTTTCATATACCGCTTTTACAAAAGCACGGCCTATGGGCTGGGAATTTAGCTCAGCGGCATAAGCCCCTGCCTTGCAAGCACGTGGTTGTGAGTTCAATCCCTCGTACTGATAAAAAAAAAAAAAAAATTACCAAAAGCACAGCAGTGTAGGGTTTTTTCCCATGCCTATATTTTGACTGCAGCCCATCGCAGTCAGGTGGGGAGTTTTCCACAGACGGCCTCGCATTGGGGTGCTGCAGAACTGCTCGGATTTTAGAGCCTTTTAGATTTCCTGTTTGCAGATGAGGGATCCTGATGCGTAGTATAAGGAAAATGGTACTGTCCAAACTACGGACTGGGGCCTGTGTGTCCCCCACTGCATCCTCAAGGTGTGGCCTCCATGGGGGGCCTGCACTGGGCCACTCTCCGGCTCTGGCCCCCGTGCCGTCCTCAGCCTCTTCTTGCCTACAGCCATGCAACTCTACCAACTGTGGGGCCAGGGCCGGAGGTATAGTGGGAGTCACCCAGGGTCCGTGCAGCGACAAAGCTGGGGCTGCTGCCCAACCTGCCTTCCCCAGCTCAGATAGGTGCATGAAGTGTGATGCCTCTGCTTCGAGCTCCTGTCTGTAGGGACGGGGCCCGGTGTCAGCCCTGTGGGCAATACCACTTGCTGCTAACTGGCTGATTTCGTTAGCCTTTGTTGCTGTGCTGGGACATGCCTCAGGAGAGGTAGCCGGCAGCTGTGCCTGCTATGGGCAGGTGTGAGGTAAAGAACAGCAGCCAGCCTCTCGCAGTGTGTTCTGTGTGCTGGCTTGTTTTGCTGCAGGAACAGGGAGTGTACTTTCCCTCTAGCCCCCTCACACCATAGCCCCAGCTTTCAGTCTTTCGGCCCCCTGGCAGCATGTGCCCTCAGCAGGGGACCTGGGCAGCTCACGGATGCAGATGCACTGAACACAAGCTGGAGGTGTGTGCAGGCAGCAGGACGTGGGGCGTGATGCTGCCTGCAGTGACGCAGCTTCTGCCCATGTCGGTTTTAAACCAGGAAGAAATGCTTTAAAAAGGCCTTCTGTTGGCTCCCCGTGGGAGAACTGTCCCACAGCCGAAACACCCTGAGCGCTGGCACCATCAGTGTGGTCCCTAAATGCAGGTAGCTCCCAAGTTAGGTGGGAATGACTGTCCCAGCTCTGCAAGGCCAGCAGGAAACCCTGCAGCCCACCAAGGGTATTCAGCATAGAGACCAGCTCTGCTACATGGGCAAGGGTCGAGGAGATACCTCTTACCGCTGTAACTCAGGCAGCCAAGATGACTCTTGCCTTTGAATCTAAGCACAGTGCTCCATGGCAGGGGAAAGATGGCTATCTGGACTCTGCATAGGCTTCCAACTAGGCAGAGCAGTGCACACGTGAGGCAAGGGCTCATGCAAGGCAAGGGAAGTCTCGGGCAGTACAAGGAACCCCTCAGAGGCAGAATGCCACGCAGAGCTGTGATAAAGGCACAGTTCTCTGCCATTACTATAAAGCTGGAGCACCCCCAGGTCTTTAGAAGTGCAGGGTCCTTAGAACGTAGACCCACAGGTGCCACCTGAATTCCAGGAGGTCACAGTGTGCAGGATGGGAGGAATCGCAGTGCTCCTGGAGGAAGGCAGGCAGCTGGACCAGGCCTGCGCCCCGCTCCCTAGACATGTGTTGACAGCTCAGGCAGCACGGGCAACACCTCCGGGAGCCACATCTGCTGACACAAGCTGGTGCACATTGTGGTGGATGCACAGGTGTGACACGCCAGGGCCTGGAGAGGTGATGCCCAGGAACAGTGGCCCATGGTGCATGTGCATGGGTGTGTGTGTGTGTGTGTGTGTGTGTGTGTGTGTGTGTGTGTGTAAGGGCTGCTGGGGCCCACAGAGACCAGGTGGAGATTTGAGCTCTTCAGACCAGAGTCCTCAAGGTGATTTTTTTTTTTTTTTTTTTTTAAGAGCAGAATATCTATTGAGTAATAAAGCTTCTAAGAGAGACAGAGGGGTCCCAAGTGGGTTGCCCTCAAAGGGCTTTTAAGTGGCAGCAATTTGATTTTAAACATAACTCTGGTGACAAAAGAATAGTGTCTGGTAAGTTATAGTGCCTGAAAAACCGCAGGAGTTGCCACCACTCACTTAGCACTTGCCTTGTGGCAGGTACTTTATCATTTCATTGTGACAGCCACCTGTTGGTTAGTAAGTTTTTATCTCCACTATAGAAATGAGGAGTTGAGGTTCCTAGTGCAGCTCACACTGTAAGATAGAGCCAGAATGCAAGTCCAATCTGCTTTGGTCTGCATTCCGCAGTGTGCTCCCTGCGTGGGGTGGACTGAAGGAAGAACTGTGGACAGCCAGGGCCAGGTGGACGGGGGATGCAGGGCCTTGGGAGCTGGAATGCCCAGGGCCTGGTGATGGACTCCGTGTGGGAAGCAGCTGATGCCTGGTGTTTCTAGCGTAGATGGACCAGTTATTGAGTAGCAACTGAGGAGTATCCCTGGTATCAAGTAAGGGGAAAGCGGGAAGCGGCAGTGAGTTGGTGATGTCGTTTTTGGGGCTTCAAGTGAAGTCCCATAGTGAGTGGACCAAGATGAGCCCAGAGACACAGGACACAAGGAGTCACCAGATGCGACCACGAGGGCGCAAGGGCCACAGCAGCCTGACGAGGCTGTGGTCAGAGGAGGAGGTGGGGGCGTGCAGAAGGCTTACCCCAGCAGAGCTGAGCAAAGGCCTCACCAGGCTGCAAGCTGGGCCTGTGGGTAAGAGCCAGCAGGGAAGCTGCTTACCCCAGCAGCCAACTGTCCGCTGACGGGTGCTTCTCCTTCCTTCCCAGAGCCCCTCAGCGAGGTCACGTTCGGAGCAGGGCTGAGTTACATAGAGACATCGCAGACGCCTCTTCCCGCCAAAGGCAAGCGCTCATTTCCTTACTTGACCCACCAGCTGCCTTTCACAGTGTAGGAAAACTGAAATTGTGTTTCCTTTCAGATAAAAGTAAAGCCCAGAGGCAAGGAACTGACATTTTATGTTTATCACTGCCGGATAAACCGTAAGTTCGCCAAAGGGCCCTTCTGAGGTGGAGATGGAGTTTTCTTGTCGGGGCTTCTTTAGTCCAGAGCACCTGCCTCTCCCTGCAGGTCCACACAGCCCTCGCAGTGGAAGGTGACCTCCCCTGCCAGGAGGAAGGGCAGCCCTGCCCTCAGCAAGAGGTCCCTGTGCGAGGCGCCCCTGAAGACAGCCAACTGAGGCAGCCGAAAGGACAGCCCTCGCCACTGTCACACCAAGGCCCACTGCTGGTCTGGGCCAGGCTGGCCAGCCTTTTATATTTCTTTTTATAGAACTTGGGGTTAAAACATTGTAAAGTAACTGAATGCCAGATTAATATTAAATCTTAATGCCGTTGAATGTCAGGTCTCTTCTGATAAGCTACACATCTGGTCTTTAAGGAACACAGAATACGTCACCTTTCTTTTATATAACCAAGTTTCTATTAACTTATCTGAATCCCTTATAATACATATTTTCCTGTATCTAATTATAAAATTGTGACTAATATTTTTTCTATTTATAATTGAAGATTTTCAAAATATTGTACAGCTTTCTAAAATGAAGTATTAAAGGCTAAGACTAAATAAAAACACCTAGCATTCCACAGGATTTGGTGAGGTTTTTTGGGGGGGCTACTGGGGATCAAACTTGCCGGGCCAGCACTGCGCTGCTGAGCTAATCCCCAGCCTCAGAATTTAAGATGGGGCTTTTATTATAGTCACGGAAATTGTATATAAAGTACGTAAGCATGAAACCCAAACTCTGCCGTCAGGGAGGCGGCCCGTGGCACCTGCCACTGCCTATGCGCCTGCGGAAGCTGTCTGTCGTGATCTCAGGCAGCCGTCCCTCCAGAGCTCTCACCGGAGGGACAGTGAGAGCAAGCTAAAACGAGAAGCTGTCTGACAAAGATAAAGCCAGTGTACTGACAAATGGAAGAAAAGGAAAGCTCCCCAACTGAGAAGCAGGGGGGTCAGACTGGCCAGTTCACAGGAAGACGGCCAGTTCTGCGGAGCTGTGGTGGGCCGGGCACTGACAGTGAGGCAGGCCACAGGTCCTCTGCCAGGGGCTGCTCCCCTGGGGGGAATGCTCTTCTCCCCCTTCCCCCTCTGGTGAATGCAACTTTCTCCAGGCAGAAACGCAGTGGGGTTTTGTTGTGTTTTTTTGTTTGTTTGGTGCTGGGGATTGAACTCACGACCTCGCATTTGCCAAGCAGGCACTTTACACTGCTGAGCTAAAACCCCGGCCCCCAAATTTGGGGGTGGCGGGGGACGACCAGGGATCGAACTCACAACCTTGAGCTTTCCAGGCAGGTGCTTATGCCACTGTTTTTCGTTGTTTTTTAAAAGCAAGGTCGTGCTCTGTCACCGAGGCTGGGCCCAACTCCTGCCTCAGGAGATCCTCCAGCCTCGGCCTGAGTCCTGGGCAGCCTCGACCACAGGTGCACCCCTAGGCTTATCAGTCTGGTTTGTTCTGGTCCGGTTAGATTTTAACCCCAATATTACAGAAGCAAGAGTACTAGAAGTTAACTCTGGAGTTTTCTTGCTTCTTTTAAAGTTACTGAAAGTTTTGTCATGGGAACCTGTTAATTATAACGTACTGGATCTCAATGCTGTAATTACTTTGCTAGCCTTTCATGGGTCTTTTCGTGCAGCCTAGGCTAGCCTCAGACTCTGTCTTCTGCCCTCAGCCTATGTGCTGGAGTTACAGATGTACTATGCCACCCCGGGTTTGGGGTGGTGTTTTACACCTGAATGTAACATATGAAGTGTGACTAAAAATACATGAATAATTCTTTATTTTTAAAAATCATTTAAAAGACCCATGGTCATTGCTTCAAACACACCTGCCCCACCCTGAAGCCAGTGGGAGAGTCGTCTTTTTCTGTGTTCCGCTACAATCTCACAGCAGCTGCAGTGTCCAGATCAGTTCACGCTGCTTGTCTGTCACCGTCATTTTGGCTTTGGGGAAGAGCCAGATTCAGTGAAAAAGATGAAGACACACAGCAATGTCGTCTTAAGCCCGCTTTCTCTCCTTTGGGTGGCACTGAGAGTCAGTGTTCGCGTGTGGTCACACCTGGTAAGGACGGTCCCAGTGGAGAACCTCCAGGACTGCTTCCCAGAGTGGCAGGAAGAACCGCATGGAGGTCAGGGGCAGTGTGCCTTCTGCTTTGGTGAATGCAGAGCTGTGCCATGCATGGCCCTCCCCAAACCTCTCTGCACTCTTTCCTGCTGTGCTTGCAGTGCCGGTGCTGGAACCCGGGGCCTCAGGCACGCTAGCCAGACAAGTGCACTGCACCCATCGGCCCGTCACTGATTTAGGTGTGTGTGGGGTAGTTGGGTATAGGACATGGAAAGCCAGTAGACTCTGCCCAAGCACACCCCCACATAACCAGTGACACAGGTGGCCTCGCCATTGGCACAGTGAGTCGCCCAGCTGCTTCTGATCGAGTAGACTCAGCTTCTCTGCAGCAGTGGCAGGGACCGTGCCTTGCCAGGGAACCTGCATAACAAAGTGCCAGGGAGATGAGCACCCAACTGTAAGACAAAGACAGGCGGGAGGTTCGATGTCTTTAAAGTTTTTATAAATGAGGCTTTTAACAAACACCAAATTACATGTGGGTTAGTACAAGTCTGTGACACTATGTACAGCAACGTTCCTACCACAGGCCCCAAGACAGCCTTGCACAACCGCCGCTGACCAGCGCTCCTTCCCTGCAGTTCCCAGGCCCAGCCGTGTCACCACACTGCCTGTCAAACCCAGTTCCCAGGGCACTGGTGCAAAGACAACCTGGGGTGTGAGAACGAAGACTGGGCTGTCCTACCACAGAGACCCCAGGAAGGGGACAGTGTGTCGACCTCCAATAGGCCCTAGATAGGCCCTAGAGCCAGTGGGAAGGAAGTGGGGTTGTGATATCCAAACACCCCAAAACAGGAGCCTCCCTCCCGGTGAGTGCAGAAGAGCAACATCAAAAGGATGGCGTGTCACATACCAGCCCAGTCAACACAGCCCCAGTACTCAACAAAAATAACTGGAAGTCTAAAGAACTAAGACCCTGAAAGTAGAACTCTTAAGGTTAGGCCTGCATTCCACGCAAAAACCCTGCTGGGGTGCATAATGAACCTGCACCATGAGCAGCTCTGGCACCGGCCCCGTCCATGCCAGGAGTTGACATGGCCATGTGCAGCACCTGAAATCACCTGCCCTTGGAGGAGCCGAGGCTTTTCCACGATGTTTCTGTGTCCCCACAATGTGAGCAGTGTCAGGCAGGTAAAAAATTCAAGATCAAAATGAGAAAACTGCTGTGGACATGGGCGCTATCCTGTCCTCACCACAGGCTGGCCTCTGCCACACAGTTATTGTGAGGAGCAAGGACCTGTGATGCCGGGTGCCGTCTCCAGGGGGAAGAGGACCAGTGGATTCGGGTTCTTTAAAAAAATAGCCTGCAGACTCAGTTTCAAAACCGCCTTGGGCCTGGGCCATCTTAGGCACTGCACAAAGTGAACTACTGCTAAGCAAGTAGCAGCTGCTGAATGTCTTGAGCCGCCAACAACCAGGCCTCACTGGAACCCAAGGCTGGGATATCACACAGGATGTGCTGCCCCCAAGCACCCAACCGCACTCTGCGGCACATGGACTACCATCAAACCGGCGGGGACAAATCTGGCCAGGGCTATGAAGGTGTTGGGGCCACCCCCACTCGGAAGGGTGGCTCGGCCAGCCCCCGGAGCCTAGCAGTGTGGTCTGTTTCAGGACACAGGCAGTCCAGAGCTGAGGTGTTCTCAGGCTTCCCTGGACAGTGCGGAGGCATCCACAGTGCTGAGTAGGAGTACGGGAAGGTGTCTTTAACCGTGGTCTGATGCGGACAGCCTATGTTTTCTTAGGCATATTCTAACACTTGGATGGACAAAGGAATGAATGTTCCAACAGCCTCCTTCAGAGGACTCCCTGGGTAAAAGAATTACTGGTATTTTCCAATTTAACATTAGTATCCTAGAACTTCCACTGTCAGCTGAATTCTTAAAAAAATAGGTTTTTAAACACTGTATGACAATGTATTTACAGTTTAAATAGAAATTTTCAATAACCAAAATACATCTTTAGCAAAAATTTAGAATGTCAAGTGTTATAAAATAAGCAGACCTATAGAAAAGTGTATTTCAGTACCATTTCAGACTGAGCCTAACACAAAAGGGTTTCCTTGAATCCTGATCCCCTTGCAGACAGCCAGGCCTCCTGGGGAAGACAAGCTCTTCTTCCCTCAAGCCCTTAGCCCTCCCCAGTCTGGTGCTTTCAAACATAGGTCAGAAAGATTTCTAAGGTGGACAGGCTTTGAGAAGAGACTGCGGGGAGGGTTAGGCCACACACAACCCCATACGCCAGCCCTGTTCAGGTTCAGAGCTGGAGGTGCGTCTTGCTGTGACGGGACCACACGGGTGCACAGTGGGCAGCTCGAGTGAGCTGCTGTGGATAGGCCGCTGCTATCACCTACCACCCCATGGCACTGGCCACAAACGCGATCAACTCGCCGAACTTGACCTTTTTGTGGTGGTTACTGTGTCGTCTTGAAGGCTCTTTTATTCGTGTGGCTTGTTAAAGAGTAAGAAAGGCGTAGCAGTCAACTTTGGCCAAAATACAAAGCTTCCACCTGAGTGTCTGGAGGCATCCAGGTGCATGCAGCTGGCGGGGTGCACTGCCCCAAGGGAGAGTCCAGTAGAGGTATCTGCATGTGCTCAGCCACACCGCCAGCTCTCAGATGACAAACGAGGACTTGTGTCTGAAGTCGCCCTGTAAAGCCGGCCCACAGTCAGAACACACCCAGGGCCCGAGTTGGGTGGTCAAAAGGGGAAACCTGGCCAAACTAAGTGTGGACTAAGCAAGTCTCGGAAGAGGGAGCTGGGGCCAAACTGAAAACAAATCAAACAGTGATTATTAGCAGTAACAGCTGGACAGCAAGGGGCTCAGAGCACTGGAAGAAAGCTGGGGCAAGCGAATCTCAAATTGGCTCAAAAATGGCTACTTAATGGCTGAGACCCTACTTAAAAATAAAAAGGGGTGGGGATTAACTCAGGATGGAGGCCCTAGGTTTCACTGCCCAGTATTCCCACCCACATGTGTGTGCACATGTGCGCGCGCGCACACACACACACACACACACACACACACACACACACACAGAATAAACACAGTAATGTGTACTGGGGCTTGCAAAGCATGAATGCTGCAAGTGTGCACCATCACTGGGAGTGGATCTTCCCATGGGGCCCTGGGAGTCCAGTGGGGAACAGGCTGTCCTGGCTGGGCCATATAGACACCTCGTGTCCTACAGGCTACCTGTGCTCTGGTTCCTCACCTCCTCATCCGTCCTGATGTAGTTAACGCTGTCAGGTTTCCCCGTGCTCTTGTAGCTGTGAGTGGAAGAACAAAGCATCAGTGGTGCGGCTGCCCTGTGAATGCTGGCCTGTGCCTGCTTTCCCCTGGAAGGCAGCCCACCTCTCTCCATCCTGTTTGCTGTTGATGAAGTAGCCATGTCTGTATGCACAGCAGATGCCCAGCGTTATCAGGACCAGGACCACAAGGACGACCAGAACCCCTCCAATGATGCCTGCGATGTTCAGATCATCTGCAGAAAGCACGTTTGTGTGAAGAGATGCAACGCACTGCCCGTCCATCCTTGGTGAACACTTGGCCTGCTGTGCCTCCCACCCCACCGCTTAGCTCACTGCCCTCACTTGCCTTCCCTGCCAGAACACACAGCAAACACCTGGAATCTTTGTTCCAAGATCTGGAATGTTTAAACTGATGATCTAAAATTCAGTGTCAAAGTCCTATTCATTTCCCAATTTTCCAATGAAATATTTTCAAAAGGTTAACTCACAGACTTCCATCTGCTGCTCCTCACACCTCGCTGAGCCTGCGTCATTGGAAGCAATGCAATAGTACTGCCCGGAGTCCTCCTTGCGCACAGAGCTGAAAACCTGTTTCCAAAAGTGGCAGCTCAGCAAGCAGACGGTTGATGGCCAAGGCCACCGCTGCCTCCCCGGGTGCTGCGGGTGTCAGCAGCTGGGAGCCATTGCTGTCTTGCTCCTGTTTCCCTCTCTGGCACTGGTCAGCTTTTTCCTGCTAAGTTCTCTCTGCTCCTGCCTAGAGGGGCCCAAGCACATCCCACTAGCACTGCAGACACAAAGCTGGGCAACCCCCAGAATGAGAAGCTGTGCTTCACTTTTACTCGGCAGACAGTGACAGTGACTGCTCCTCAGGCAATGCTTCGGCCTAAACAAAGACCAAGGGTCCTATCGGTTACGGTGACCTACTACCACACATGCTGGGCATTCCACAGCCGGGACCTCCCTGATGAACACACAGAGTGCGAGCCCAGGGCAGCTGGCTGGCAGGACAGCCTGACCCGTCTGGTTTCCTCTCTCCATGCCACTCGTGCTCCACCAGTGGCACATTTCATCAGTGAATACTTCAATCTCTTGAAGATGAGGACTTTTCAAGGCCACACTCACTATCATGCCTAAAGCAGCACCAGTGTCATCGAACATCCAGCCAGGAGCCAAGCTCCCCTGATGTCTCACAATAGTTTGTGCAACTGATTAGCCACACTGGACTCAAGTAATGTCTGCCTACAGCACTTGTCTAGTATCCTTCTTCGGTCTCTCTCCAGTCTGCAGTCTCCCCTTTTATTTTACTACCCCTTGCGCTCACTCCTGTAGAATCCCTAACATCCTGGATATTTAACTCCTGTCTTAGCATGCAGTCTTACTATCTCTCTTAATAACCATTCTTTCTATAAAAAGCACTGCTTGGTTCAATAAAGACATCACCTTTACCTCTCAGAAGAGAGCTTACCAGGGGCTGGAGATCTAGCTCAGCGGCATAAGCGCCTGCCTTGCAAGCACATGGTTGTGAGTTCAATCCCCAGTACGGATTAAAAAAAAGAGAGAGAGCTTACCAGAGTGCCTGTTTCAGAGTTTAAGAGAAAGGAGGAGTTTCGGAATCTGGGGTTGGCCCTGGAGTCCATTGGCAGTGGCACATCATTGCGGTACCAGCTGTAGTGGGGCCGTGGAAGGCCCTCGCTCTCTTGGCACTGCAGCGTCGCTGTCTTGCCCGCAGGCACGGCCTTTGGTACTCTGCAGATGGGGGTTACTGGCTTCACTGCAGGAAAAACATGGGCTGTTTAGAAGTTTTAAACCGAGGCAACATAGCTGAACACACCTGAATAAATCAGCTACCAACCAGGAAGCCCAGCTGAGTGACCTTGCACTGCTGCTGTCTCCCAGCTGACCTGCTGCCACACTGCATGCTGTCCTCGGTGCTCAACCACAAACCTGATCCCTCGAGCTCCCAATTCCTCCCACGTTAGGGCAGGAGAGGAGCCGGGGGACGCTGGAGCACCCTAGGAAAAGGGTAGCGGCTCCATTCCCGCCATCTCCCACTCACACAGGCAGCCTCAGCCTCACTAGCTCCCTTCCCTAAGCTATAAGACACCCCCAGGAGTAAGCTCTGGATGGAAAGAAATCAGAATAAGAACTGATCTCTTACCCTTAGCAACCTATGAGGCTTGACAGATGAAAACGCTTGACCAGGAGAAGTTCCTACCTTGCACAGTTAGCTCAATGGCAATCTCATCAATTTCTTTGCGGTCATTTCTAGCAACCACCTCACATCGATAGAGGGCTGCATCAGAGCGTGTCACATTCCAGATCTTGAGGGAAGTTTTCCCCAATATTTCTGCACGACCTGCCAGGTCCCCTATGGAAAAGAAGACACAATGCTAAAACACTTTTTAGAGACATCTTTGCCACTTGAAGAAGATTCTGTTTCTCCATATAATGGAATGAACTCCCCAAGGACAGGAATCATGACTTATTCCTATTGGTAACATGAGTACCAAAAATAGACTCTGGAGTATAAGTAGTACTCATTTTGTATGTCTCTGCTAAGCCAGAGAATGCATCTCTTTCTCATCATTCCCAAGAGGGATACTCTGCTAAAAGAAAAACAAAGTAAGTATTAAAAAAAGAAATCTGGGGAAAAAAAGAATGTTGGGACAATGGGACAATTAGGTATCTACATGCAAAGGAAAGAAATTGAGCCTCACAACATGTACCAATGACCTAACATCCAGATGAGACTATGGACTTCGATCTTCACAAGGCCAAAACACAAGTTCACTGGACATCGTCAAGCTTAAAAATAACTGTCCTTAGAGAACACAAATATACATTCCACAAAGCAGAACACAGTATCTGCCTATCATGTATCTGATGAAGAATTATTATCTATAATATGTATTTACAACTAAGTAAAAAAATAAAAATGAAGGTTTGAATAGACATTTCTCGAAAGAAATGTAAGACTGCTTGATATGCACATTTAAAGATGTTCAAAATACAAATCAAAAACATCTTGCCATACTGTGCTACTTTCCACCCTCTCAGACAGCTACATCACAAAGTCTGGTGGTAAGCACTGATAAGGATGCAAGGAATGCAACACTAGTAGGACTGTAAGACACTGAAACAACTTTGGAAAACAGTCAATGTCTCTGAAAACTGAACATGCCACTGTCACATGATCCGCGGATATACTCTTGGTCACTTATCTTTCAGAAAGGAGAACATATTCATGCAAAAACCTGACCGTGAATGTTCACAGCAACATTACTGGTAACAATCACAAAATGAAACAACCCAAATATGCATTAACCAGGGAAGACAGAAAACATGTTTTACCTACAATGAAAGTCATAAAGAAGGAGATATTAACACCTGCTACAGTGTGAATGAATCTTGAAAATACCATGCTAAGTGAAAGATGCCAAACACAAGGACTAAGATTCCTTCATACAAAGTGCTGGGAGTGGGCAGATGCATAGGTACAGAAAGCAGGCGCAGGGCTTCTGGTGGCCATGATGGATGCTGACAGTTACGGGGCTCTTCACGGCAATGAAATGCTGTGGAATCTGATAGTGGTGTTGGCTGCACAACTATGTACCCTGCAAACAACCGTTCAACTGTCCATTCTAATGTGGTGCTCTCAGTGCAATCCTGCAGAGCACATGCAAAGGCCGAGCACATGCAAGTGTTCCTCCAACCTGCGTGTCCTGTGCGGAAAATCCTCGTTTTCATCCCCATCTGTATGGCTGAGAAAAAAGTTAATTCCCAGAAAATTCTTTACAGAATGTTTTACTTGGTCTCTCTGATGATCCCAACTGTATGCACTTAGCAGAGGGAGCCTATGTGGCCAAAGAAAACACTTATTTCACTGAAAATAACATGTCCATCTCTTTAAAAATAAGGGCTGAGGAAGTACCCCTTGTTAGTAGGGGAAAACATATCTTTGGTTTGCAGAGAACCCAAACCAGAATGTCCACATTTTAGGCTATTTCCATAAAATCCTTCTCAACTTGCAAGTTCTCTGAGTACTCTCAAAGTGCCTACTCCTGTAGGTCTGGTCCTGCCTCCCTTTTGGCCAAAGGAAGATGAAGCCCTTTCCTCCCTCTGCACGGCTGAGGCCCTCGCTAGCAGTTGCCCAAGGGGGCACTGCCTCCACACTCAGTCTAGGGTGCCCACCGCTCCTGCAGGCGGGCTCTGCAGATGAAACGTGGCAGTCCTACTCCATGCCATGGCTATGCCGGCAGCTCCACTCCCTAAGGCAGAACAGCTCCCTCAGCCTTCCAGTTGATTCTCCCAGAACCTGCGCTCGCCACACTGGGGCACCTGCCTGGCCGGGAGCCGGCCCAGTCTGGGCTCCTGCTCCACAGCTTCTCTCTCTCTGCTCTAGGCCTGGCCACAGCGAGGAACCTGCATCCCTCTCTCACGCAGAGCTCTCTTCGGTTTGTATCTTTGTGTATTGTTTCTCTTCTGCCCCACATCTTTCTCCAAGTCATCCCATCTTGCCTAGTGAGCTGGCCATTCTGCATACCGTCCCAGACCACAAGAAGGTGTCCTTACTTCAAGGCCATATCCCCTGGCAGCTGGTGCTTGGCCCCAGATGATGTCTGCTAACCTGTCCAGCACTGCTTTTCCCTTGGGGAAGCAGCCAGCACAACCCCTGGGACATACGGGTGGCCTCTGTGCCACTGTCCTGATTACTTCGCCTGTACACTCCCGGCACAGGTCATAAGCAGAAAATGGCTGAGAACACCTGCTTTTATTCCTCAAAAATGGCTGTACGTATATCTAATTACCTTACATGTTGTTATGGTTCATGTCTGGACATCCCCCCACAACCTCCCATGGAGGGGTAGGCGTTTCAAAGATGGCTGGATCCAGAGTTTGTGATTGGTTCGCTGTCTAGCGCTGGCCTGGCGGTGTGAGTGCTGCACCTGCCCTGGGGCAGGGAGCTGGCACACAGCATAACGGAGGGGAAGTGGCTTGCTTCTCCCTTTTGTGCTTTTGCTTTCATCACTTTTGGTATCTGCCGTAACCACCATGCACTGCTGCCCCTTAGCCACGCCACCCTGTCTTGGCATCAGTTGCATATGGACTGAAACCTCCAAAACCTGAAAGCTAAATAAACTTTCCCTTCCTTCATTATGGAGATCAGGTGTTTTGTCTCAGCAATGAGAGAATAGTAACCAAGATTCCTTTTATGGGTTTTTGGCCTGTGAGCCTGACTTTTAATCTGTGCTGATGGCAATTAACTTGACAAAGACTTTTTTTTTTTTTTTGGTCTTTTTCCTTTTTTCTCGGTACCGGGGATGGAACTCACAACTGCCTGATTGCAAGGCGGGCGCTTATGCCACTGAGCTAAATCCCCAGCCCAACATAGACTTTAAAAAAAAATAAATCTGATCTTAGCAGAAAATTTTTTTTAAAATGGGGGTGCAGAAAGAGGAAAAAAAGAATTAGGATGTCACATACCAATGAAATTCTTAAAGTCAATAAATGAATAAATAAACAACAGCCAACAGAAAGAGGGAAAAAGGAAAGAATACCTCATTGCAAACCCCTTCCATGTGTCAGATTCATTTTGGACCACAATGCACCTGGCTTTCTATTCCAGAAACACGGAACTATAAAATCTACATTGTTTTCCTTAAGGAATTCTTACTTCACCAAATACTAATACTAAAAATGCTTTAACTTTAAAAGTTTGATTTTAAAAATGGATTGTTACATAGAGTTACATTCTAACTAGTTAATATTTGCTGACATAAGCCAACAGGTACAGGGAAGCTCAATATACTGCTTTTGCATTTGAAATTTTCATGGCAAAATGTTGTTTGTTTGTTTTAGACACAGTGTCATTATATAGTTCAGGCTGGCCTTGAACTCACTATGTAGCCCAGGCTGGCCTTGAACTCATGGCAATTCTCCTGCCTCCGCTTCTCCAGTGCTGGGATCACAGACATGTGATACAATGCCTGGCTTCATAATAGTACATTTTAAACACAGTTCTGGCTATTAATGTAGTCAGTAGTCTGAGATACCTTTCTGGTCACTACTGCATGTCCCAGCCTAGGGACGAGAGGAAGGTCAGCAGGCAGAGGGCCAAGGGTCATACCTTGAATTCTGTTTTCAAAAAACACATATGAAGTCTGGTCATCTTGGATTTTCTTCCACTCGATCCTGGGGTCACTGGTCTGTGAATCCGTAATGATACAAGACAACTCCACACCTAATGAGCAAAGGGAAAGTGAGCCCTGTGACTACAGAGTGCTTCCGGACTCACATGTGTGCCTAGACCCTACAAGCCATCTCTAGGGCAAGAGAGGCAGATACCAACCAGGTATCTCCAGGTTGAGTCTCTGAGAAAATAGGCTTCACCAGAAAACCTATTCGCCAGAAAACCTATACTACTAACATTGTGACTCACTTTAAACAATTTCTTTGTTGTTTAAGCACAAGCCAAGCAGTAAGCAGGTGTCAGGTGATGTAGCCCACACAGAGTGATACATGGCTCTAACAGGCACACTGCTTAGCACCCAGATCACCCCCAGCACAGCTGAGACCCCAAGCATGTCCTGCGCTGACTGTAAGACAACCACGTGTCCACTAGAGGGTGCCCAGCCTCCTTGCAGCATTGTGTACTTACTCTCAAACTCCTGTACCACTGGGTTCCGGTTGCTGGATTTGAGATTCACTGCCTCTATCAAGCAGCCTAAAGGGAAGAAGAAAAGCCAAATTAGAGGTGATACATTTCTAAACAGCAAAAACTTGGGCTTTCCCCACACATAGGTGACAGTCATTAATCACAGAGTGCAGAGAAGTATTATATTCCAAAACTCTCAGCAACACGCCGCAGCAGCAATTGACTGTTCCCTTTCAGAACTCCTGCCACTCCTCCCTCGGGCCTCTCCGCTGCCTTCCAGACTCCAAGTCCTGCGAAAGTATTCTCAGTATCTAGCACCTAGCCAAACTCTTGGGCTAGAGCCCCTAGGTCAGCATCAACTTCCTCTGGGCAGTTATCAGCTAGTTAAGGTCTGGATGCTCCTCTGCTTTCATCTCATTTTCTGGTCCCTGAAGAAGTCTGCCCCAGTCTTCATGTGACTTTCATGAAGCCAAATGTGTACCACTGAGGATATAAAGATATGCTACATTCATGGTCTCAAATTTCTCAGTCTTGGAGGGAAGATCAAGTAGATGCATTAACTACCTACAAAATGCCATCCTTCAGCTACCTGGCTCTTCAGAAAGCTGCCATTCCCAAAGGAGGCCTTCATACAAACAGCACTGAGTGAGGCCTCCAAAAGCTGACTTATAGGAAACACACACAAAGGCCTTCTCCTCCTTACACGGAACAGGTTGCTGGCCACAGCAATCCACTGCTCTCTTTTAATGTATGGCAAGATCCAGCTCTTTGTATTCATCCCATTACACTGTGGTCCATTTTTTAATATAAGGTATCACTCTTGTCTTAGTAAATGAAATGAGTAAAAGGAGATGGAAAACACAAATATACCTGAGTTGCTAACAGTTCTAAGATATTTACTTTTAAGGAAAGTTACGGCACCAGGACAAATGACAACAGTTTTACTTTGTTTTGGAAACCCTGAGCCACTCCTCCTGGAGACCAGAAATATATCCCACACATATGCGCTTTCTACCTTGCCATCAGTCTGAAAGCTCCCAGCGACCCACTAGTAAGGACAAAGGATGCTCTGAGTAGCTTACCAAGGCCACCTGGGAACCTTCTAAGGAAACTGGCCACACACAATCCTTTTGGTATGATCACCATCACTCAGATGATACACCAAGATTAGCCACAAGTAACTGTGATTAGGGACCAGTGTTGGACTTAGCTACTTTTCTCATTGCCGAGGCAAAATACCTGTGCCAAAAGATAAAGGAAGAAAGGTTTACTCAGCTCACAGTTTGTAGAGGTCTCAATTCATAGTCAGCTGGCTCCAAGGTAGGGTGCCTTGGCAGAGGGGCATCACAGAGGAGAAACAGTTCACGGTGGACAAAAGAGCAAAAGCAAGCAAGAGACAAGCTGCTCTTTCTGTCCTTTCTGTCTTATCCTGGTATCCTACTCAGGCTGCCCGTCCTTAGTGCAGACAGCACTAACCCTTAATCATAGCATTGCACTGTGAATCAATCCCACCATCATGCAGCACAAACCCAAGATGCAGCCACCCCTGAAAAGCCCCACCTATGGACACATGAGGCCTCGAGGGGACATCTGAACACCAGCCACAGCATAGGCCCAAAGGCCAGCGAAGGCTGCACAGTGACTCACACTTGCCAGCGCTACCTGACCGGACAACAGCAGGATGCAGTCTGCTCCCTCTTCCCTCACCACCTAACCCATCTTATTTCCAAAGAAGAAAGAAAAAGTCAAAGCACATCCATCAGGGGCAACAATGGTACATACACTGCAAACTGTCATCCCCAAATTATTCACCCAGAGCACAAGACATCTGCATTCAACTGTCTGAACAATCCCAGCACAGATCTCTCTCTTCAATGACTTCAGAGAAGTCAGCAGTGTCACTATCTTAATTACCTTTTTATATACATGTACCTATATACATGTACATTTGTTTGAGCTTCTCATACTAGTGAGACAATACAATGTTTACACGTCTGTCTAATTTATTTCACTGATGAGCATGGCCCTAAACTGCATCCATTTACCTATAAAAGTCTCCAGTGTATCCTTCTTTATGGCCAACTAGTACTCTATTGCATAAAAATATCACATCTTTTTTATCCACTCCTCAGTTGATGGGCATTTAGATTGTTTCCAAGATCTGTCAGTTCCCTTCTTTAACAAGTGTAAACCAAGAGAAATGAGAAAATGAGTGAGAGAACTAAGCACCACAAGAAAGGATAGGAGCCTATCTTACTGGGGAGAAACATACTCATTGATAAGGTGGAAATACTTCAGTTGGCAACAAGCAGATGATCTTGGATATAAAAGATCAGTTCATTGCTAAGGCAACTATGGGGGCCTTACAAGGTCAAGTTCTAAAAAGACCAATAGATTCATCTTTATGATAAATCTCTAGAGAAAACTAAACCAATTTACTGTTTAACAACCTGAAAGAAACTAAGGTAATAAGCACCTCTTTTATTCCTGTGTCCTGGGACAAAGGATGTACTAAATTAAATCTGGCAAAAATGAGGCCAAAGAAGTGGATTCCCCGTACTGCTTAATCATTCACCAGGCCAGTTAAATACAAGATGACCAAACAGTGCATATTTTTCATTAGTTTTATAACATACAGGAAATACAAAGCTGACAACTTTATTAATCCATTCAATAACATTTCTGTGTATGGTATATCGTAACGCATCCATTGCTCAACACACTATTACAAGCTGGACAGCAGTATCTAGTGTCTTTCTGAGTCCCTTTTGCATACTGTCTTCCTTTGAACAGCACACCTTACACTGTCGTATGGGCCTTTCCTTTTATTATGCGGGTGGTATATTTGTATAAAATATCTACCACTAAACACAAAGACACTGATCACAGACATCCTGGTTGGTGTTTCATGACCCTGTATTTCTCAATTACTTGGTCTATCAGACCTAAGCTAAACTGTAAATGGCTTTTAGAATCCCATTTTTTAATAAATAAATGAGTTCCATATTGGTTTAGAAGGTGCATAAATATTTTATAATATGTTTTCCATATTTTTTGTTAGACATTGGTCAACTCTGCCAACACCACCCATAGAATTATTAATCATTGACCAGTATTGGAATTTTTTGTCTTATTTTTTCTTTCAAGTTCTATTATTTCTATATTATGAATTTTTGACAATAAAGAGACACTATTTTGTCTTTCCATTGCATAACACAGCCTTTCCCTCTAATCTGCTATCTTTTCTCAGCTTTTTCTTTTATATATCTTTTGGCACTTCCTTCCTCTTCAGTCTTAGGGTTCCAAATGTGTCTATTCTGTAGCATAAAAGGACATCACTGAGTTCTGAAGAAGTATAAAAACCATATCTACTGTATTTACAATAAGAAGTTTTACAGATTGTAACACAAAATTATTGGTTATTTTTCACAAATAAGCATGAATTATTAAAATAACCAGAACTTAGTATTAGCTTTCACAAGAGACCAATATCAAAGGCAAATATAACATTCTAAATAAAAAAGTACACAAAACTTAGTAGGTATAATACAAGCAGACACACAAGTCTTTCTTGTGCATAGAACTGACAAGTAGAAAGCATTATCAGCCCACATAATGCTGGGGCATCAGTGTGGGAACAACGCGCTGCCCAAGGGTCACTTGAGGTCACCTGAAAGTGTTACAGAACCTTGGTGTGACCTCATGCCTACCCAGCTACCCTAAACAGGTGTCACAGGCAGCCAGGGGACCCAGATCTGCTAAGAGTCCTTTATTAGAATTCTCACACTAAACCTAACAATTCTTTCACTTACAAACATCCTAACTCCTTACTTTGCTCACTGCCAATAGCCTATACTCCCTCTTTAGAATTTAGTAATAACTAGCCGAGCACCTGCCTGGAATTCCAGCCACTCAGGAGGCTGAGGCAAGAGAATATAAGACCAGCCTGAGAGAGTCCTGTTCTCATGATGAAACTTACAAAATGCAGCCCAGCACTCCCTGGGTTCCATCTTCCAGTACTGTAAATATGTAAGTAACTAAAATTTAAAAATTAGTAGTTAGTATATAAACATGAGGACTGGAAGCCAGAAATGCAACACTATTAATTCTGGGATTGCTACTTCATGTGTGCAGAGAAGACGCTGATGTAGCCAGAATCTTCTGGAAGTGGTGGCTGCTGAAGACCAATAGTACACAGAGAATTTCCGAGCTACTCAATTATTTACAACTAAGCAAAGGAGTTAAGAGAAAGAAAAGAGGAAATCTATTACATGTAAATGCTGTCCTTATTGAATTTCTCATCTGTCTTACCCCATCCTTCTGACTTCTGAGATCTTTGGGATAATCCATTCATTTGGCAATTACTATTTAGCACTTCTTACATGGTAAGGCCTGCCGTAGATATTACAAATGATATAAATAAAACATAAAAATCTATGCTTTCATGGAGCTTACTTTTCAGTGTAAAAACAGGCAGCATATTTACTTATCTTTATATTATCTTCAATGCTTAGACACAGTAATAGTATGGAATCAATATAAAGACAGTCATATAACCCAGTAGTGAAACTTCATGTGATTTTCAGAATATCTTCAAAGAGAATGCCAAAATCATTCCATGGGAAAATGACAATCTTCACACAAATGGATGCCTGGAAAACTAGACATTCACATGCAAAAATGATAAACAGCTATACATACCATGTACAAAAATAAACTCAAAAGGAACAAGTATCTAAATGTAAGAGAGAAAACTATGAAATGTTTAGAATAAAACAAGGAAATACCTTTACATTGGTTTGGCACTGATTTTTTATATGACACAAAAAGCAAAGGCAACAAAAAGAAACATAGGTAAACTGAACTTCAACATACTAAACACTATCAAGGAAATAAGGAAACGGAGAAAATTTCACAACACACAAATGCAATAAGGATTAATGTCCAGAATATACAAAAACTTCTATAACTCACCAGCAAAACATCAGCCCAATTAAAAAATACATAATGGACATTCACCAAAGACACACAGTGACTACAGAGCACAAGGGAAGGTGTGCAACAGAAGT